GCTAGGGTACAACAAATATATTTGTGTTATATCTGCTCTCTGGCGTATCTGACATGCTGACGTCCATGGATTCTGACGGCTCTGACGGCTCTGAGAATGTCTGAGGCTTGTCTGAGGCTGTCTGATAATTCTATCTGACGAAGAAATTTTGCAAAAATCCGAGATCCTGAGGACTGGGCGTATGAGCCGAGCTGATGCAATCTGAAGTGATCTGAACACTTATGAAGCCCCTGACGGCACCCGTCAGAGGCTTTGCACGATTTCCTGATGCAGCAAAAGACCAAAGATTCCAACCGAGAAACGAAGGGCAGCAGAGTCTCCCCCGAGACCTGCTAAGCCGCCGAAGAAATCACGTACCGACAGCGCCGACAACGCTCAGCCTAGCTTGAAGGCGCCGACAGCGAGCGTGAAAGCACCGATGGCGAGCGCAAAGGGTTTGGCGGCGAGCGCGAAGAGTTCAGCAGTGAGCGCGAAGAGTTCAGCGGTGAGCGCGAAGAGTTCAGTGGCGAGCGTGACAGGTATGGCGGCAAGCGGCGCGAGGACTGCACAGCGCCGCACCGTCGAGATCGAAGATGTTGAGGACGTTGATGAAGCGTCTTCGCGCCGAAGATCGACCGAGCCAATAAATGTCGACACGTCGAGCTCCGAGGACAAAGCAAGTAGGAAGGGGAGTGACAGTGACGGCAGTGAGGATCTTGCCGAGGAGACAGCCGAGCAGGAGCTAGGTGAGATTATGGGTGCACTCAAGGAAGATGCAGACGTAGTGACTATGACCCACCTTGTAGCGCGCATGCAGCGCAAGTGGACGGCCCCGGCATATGCTTTCTTCTGGCCAGACCCAGCCATCGAGCACATTGATGGACGGCGGATACATACCTTCCGATGTGCGAACACCGGCTGCAAGCACGACATGCAGCGGTATCTCGCTTCGAAGGATGCGACGTCGACAGGCAACCTGCGTAAGCATATCAAGAAGTGTTGGGGTGTCGAGGCGCTCGAGGCCGCCGACTGGATGTCGACAGCGTCAAAAGCTAAGGAGAGCATCGAGAAATATAAGCGGACGCAGGATATCAAGGTGGCGTTCGGCGCGGCAAGCCAGAAGAGTTTTCGCTACTCAATGATTCAGCACACACCCACGGAGACACGGTGAGTGGTCACATACCACCAGAGATAACACATCTAACCGTGCACCCAGCGCGGAGATCGTACGTTGGGTGGCCGAAAGCATGAGGCCCTTCAATATTGTGAAGGACCGTGGGTTTGACTGCTTGATCAAGACGGGGCGGCCAGAGTATAAGTTGCCGTCGCTGACAACGGTTGGGCGTGATGTCCGTAAAGTCTTCACGCGTGTGCGGGGGCGTGCGGCGAGCTGGTTGCAGGCAAGCATGGATGAGCTATAGATAGACGTCGAGATAACGTAGCTCACTCACCGATAGGAATACGACGGTGAACTGAACTTTGCAACCGATGCATGGACCTCGCCCAACCAAAAGGCGATGGTGGCATTTACAGTCCACTTCGAACATCAGGGTGCACCAATGACCATGGTGCTTGACGTTGTTGAGGTCGCAAAATCGCACAGCGGTCTGAATCTTGCAACTGTGTTCTCGGACATGATACATGAGCTGAAACTCGACACAAAGGTTAGCTCACTGATGCCACATAACATGTTGAGACTTACCCGCACATGCAGATGCTCGGCGTGACCTCAAACAACGTGATGATAGATGAGATGGAGGCCATGATATTGTCATTCCGGGGCGGCCGAGCGCGCAGCCGGTGTTTTTGTCATATCATTAATCTAGTGGCGAAGATGGTGCTGCGTCAGTTTGAGCCACCAAAACGCAAGAAAAAAGGTAAACAAACGGGGACATACCTTGACGAAGATGACAATCCAGACTTGTCCAATTGGGACAAAGACCTGCAAGCGATGATGGAGGACCTCGATTTTGATGACGGGATGAGAACGCGCAAGGCGCCGATAGTCTGGATGGATTCTACAATGTCCACGATGATATGGACGCCGCAAGCAGAGCCGCGACGGACGCTGAGGTTCGCCCCGTCAAGATGATGCTGCTAAAGGTAAGTTCAACGTCTGGATGCCTTGAATTAGTTACTCACCTTCATTGTATGAACCCCTCCAAAGCTCCGCAAGATCTCCATGGCTATTCACCACTCGACCACGCTCCTGCTGCCGACGTGGAGGAAGGTCGTCGGGGAGCTGAAGATGAGGGCCCGCAAGCTCCCCCGCGATGTTCGGACGCGGTGGAATTCAACGTTCAGGATGCTTGATGTCGCTCTTGAGTACAGAGCTGCGATAGACAAGATGACTGAGGTGCAGGCGAACAACCTGCGCCAGTGGGAGCTCGATGAGAGAGAGTGGACAATTGCCATGCAACTGCGTGACGTGCTACAGGCGAGTCACCATTTAGTCACATTGTGGGTCCACTGTTGACTTACCGTATGTGCTCAACAATACCTCTTTCGGTCGCTGGCGCTTGCCCTCTTGTCCCCGTCTTGCGCTCGCCCTGGGGCTGTCCTGCTGCTGCTGCCTTCTCACCCTGCCGCTGCCGCTGCGCGACCCTACCTTGTCGACATACCGCCGTTGGCTTGCCATCTCCGACTGTCCACCCACTGCCGCTGGCCGTTCGCGGCTGCTTGCCGTCCCACAACTGCACAGTTGACTCGCGGCCATTCCGTTGTCAACGTCACATGGCTGCCATGTCGACTCGCCGTTCTCTCATGCACCCCCGGGCTGGCACATGTTCGCATCTCGTGACGGTGGTTAATGTCGCGCACTTCCGGCGCGAACAGGTCTTCTACGATGCCACGCATTTCTTCTCGCGCGAGGGCAAGGATGCCCCCGGCCTCACTGACGTTATCCCAGCAATGGATATCATCGACCAACAGCTTGCCACCGATTCCCTCAACCAAACACTTGACCCCGCCATTTGCGTCGCGGTCAGCTTGGGCAAGCGCGCCATTAACCGCTACTATAACAAGAGCGATGAATCAGCCGTCTACCGCATCGCGATGGGTAAGCACCACATACCTTAATGATCTGAATGTCCTGACATTCAGTTGCAGTTCTGGATCCTTGCAACAAGCTCCAGTATTTCCGTGACAACGCGCGGCCGGATGAGTGGATTGTGGACGCGCGGTTCTTGGTGTGGCAGGCCTACGACAAGGATTGGAAAGGTCACGGACTGCCATGTGAGCAACCAGAGGACACAGACAGACTGCAGGTGCGTTCCATGCTATTGTATCCCTCCCAGTTTTGCTCACTACCCAGTCGATGGTCATCACTGCACATGTAGCCGCCAACGGGTGCGCAGCCCTCGGCGTCAACCAAGAAGCAAAACATGTTCGACGCTGCGCGCGCAAACCGCAAGAAGACTGCGGTTCCCATCGTCGACAAACTCGATCATTACCTCAGCTCCGATCCTGATGCGTCCATTGACAGTGCACTTGGCTGGTGGACTCGTGCTGAATCACGGGCGATGTACCCAAGTCTCTCCCGCATGGCCGTCTCGTACCTCACCATTCCTCGTACGTAATGCCGCATTCATTGTTGTCGTAATATTGACCACTCTTCTCACCACAGCTACATCGGTCGCAGTCGAACGGCTCTTTAGCAAGGGCCGAATTTTCATCTCTCACCTGCAAAATGGACTCTCCGCGGAGTCGATCCGGGCACTGATGTGCCTGAACAACTGGAGCCTACTGGGATTCATCAAAGACGAGGACGTCAGGTCTGTGACGCGTGAGGATGCTTCCAAGGATCCTCCGGAAGATGTGGAGGATGTGTGGGGCTTCTCGGAACCACGCAACGATGCCATATTCTTTGTTTAGTTCAAACATCCTGTACATGATGTGATCTCAAGCTCGAACCTGCGCTATACTCATCTGTACCCGTCTGTACCCCTGACCCGCCATGAACCCTCCGTACCCGCAAACGACCCGTACCCTCCGCGCGGGTGCGTGACCCCCGTGGGTACGGGTACGGGTAGGTGCCCGAGTACCCGGGGGTGTACTCATGCAATTCACTAGCCGTGATCCGTGGATTGGCTTGAACATATAAGCCCCTTTGTCTTCGCATGGGCAGCACTGGTGTGTCCTCATGTTTGATACCTCCTGCAATGGCTGTCCCCCTATGTATATATACTGCTGCACCAAGCAATTCAATGACACATTTATATCATGACATGTGCAGTGTGCAACAGGAAAATCGGGCACTCGCTCATACGTAGCTATAAGTAGCTATAATTGGAAGAAATGTTAAAATTTTCTGGGCATCTTGTACGCGCTCATAAGGAACCCACCTTTAGTGAAAAGAACGTATAACACTCCCGTAACATTCATACGAGAACGCGCGTTTGCTGTTATGACTACTCAAGAGACAGCGCGTCCGGTGTTACAATGACTTACGACACATCATTGTAATACATATGAGTCAGTGATAACAGCTATGGCCTCGCCTCATTACTAGCCATAAGACCATGACCTTAGAGCTCTGACCAGGTACAAGTATACGGGCATTGGATCATGAGTAGTCATGATCCACAAGGTCAGAACCTATGCTTAGCTGTAGGTCGCCCTGTGTAGGATATGAAGTACTCATCACTACGCAGTCATCATTTTCAAAAATGTTCACTGACGACTCGCCAGGCACTAATACCAGTATCAAGTCCCTTGTCGTATGCTAAGATCCGATCATTAAGTCTGCACACAATAGTCCGTTACTACTGACACTTTACTGCGATCTAATGCATCAATTTGCCGGGATTTGAACATCTGCGCGGACTAAGTTAGTAGCACTGACATGAAGACGAACCATGGAGCATTGATGTTCATACCGCTGCGTCACTATGACGTACACCAGTCAATGCACGCAATCCTATATGTACGCAAGTCACGCAGTCGGTCAAGCACGGGACCAAAGAGCATACTATATTGTGTATCAAGGTGGGCGACACGAGCGATGTAATACGTTCAAATGCTCAGTGCGAAGGCCCGTCACCGTGGCCGCGTTTGGCACGGTCCAACAAAGCTGCCTGATCCCAGCCCTCCAAGCCCTCTACATTCTCCTTGTACTGTTTCAACGCCTCCGACCCAAGGCTATTGAGCTCGCGCAGCACCTTCAAAGCCTGTTCCAGTCGGTCTAGTGACCGCTCACCGATGTGATACTGCCGGCGAACAGTCGCAGACTGCAAGTGGAGCAGTTCTTCGATTGCCTCCTTCGAGATCAACAGGCTTTCGCGGCACGCCTGGTCGATGTTTGCAACTAGAGCCTCGTCAGGTAGATCCGAAGGACTTGACATGAGGGGAATGAGGTTCCAGGAGCATTGTGTGAGCCGTTGGACGAGATGGAGGTTCTGGAAGTTAGATTCGCTGCGCCGCCACGGTGATTGTGGATCGTTAATGGACATGTGGAAGACACGCTCCGATATGTAGTTGTCCATGTACTCGGTTTGAGCTGCATGTTCTTTCTGGCCCTGCACCGTCGATCGCGGCCATTAGTAGCTAATTCAGTAGAACACGAAATTGAGTGTGTACATACCGTATCATTCCAGCAAATCGCAAGTCTCTCTGTCCAGGATTGACTTCGCCGCATAGGTGGCGCAACCCATGCACCTTCCATGTCGTCAGGTTGATCGACCTGCCGAAGTGCAGCCCTTCGGAATAGATGTAGCTCGTCATTAAACCTGAAGACCCTGGAAGCACGTAAACTCACCCAATGCTAAGTGAGTTCTGCAAATGTTGGGAGGCACCAGTGTCGGCGACCCGGGTGCCGCCAGCACTCGTCTCATTCATGGCTACAGCTGATATAAATTCGGAATCAGACTGTCAATATCTACTTATAATCGGGCTGTGACTCACAGTATACAACGGTGTATGGATAGTTGAGTGCTCGGATGTCACAGTCAATGCAAGAATACGTTGCGTGTTGACGTTGATCTTTGGTTGAACTCTCGCCACGCGGTGCGTCACGTTGCAAGTTTCCCAATTCGGTATTGCAAAAGCGCCGACCCAGTGGCACGCAACTGCAGCGATGTTACTCAACTCTTGGTGGAAGAACGAGTTGCCCACAATGTTTCTGTACGCAAAACGCATTTTTAATAAGCAAAGAACATATCTACCAAGTCTCAGCCCTTAATCATTGAAGCCGAGATCTGGAGGTGGGCTAAGGCCACGCACTCACATGTCACACTCCGTGACAAGCAGTGACTTAATCACAGTTGTGCGCTGCACACAGAATCGGATTTTGTGCAGGCTGAGGTTCAGGCAGGCCGATGTTTTGGCATAGGAGCAACAATTAAACGTTGTTGTACTAGTGACACATGTAGTCAAATGAACAGGACTCGGAAGGGGAAGGTAGATAGTATGTGACTCTAGCATGTCACGGTACTACTAGTATAGAATCAATCCTAGTAGAAATGACAGTAGTGCGGGCGCCGGCACCGCGTTCGAGACGTAATAGTAGTTGATTTGGAAGCTTGAATATATACAGATAAGTAAGATGTAGAATGCAGAAGGGGATACTAAGCATCAATTATCGCCTACTGTGCTGCCAGTGGCCGGTGCGCCGTCATCGTCATCGTCTGCATGATTGATGGAATCCAGGAAGTCGCGCTCCTCGTTGGTGTACTCGTCGTTCGATTGCTCTTCCGGGTACTGATCGGGGAAGAGCTCGTGGTTGTAGTAAGCCACGATATCGTCGTACTTCGTCTTCTGTTGGCGGCTCTGCGATAGTGATCGCAGAAGTTCGAGGCGCTTGTTATAGAATGCAAGGAAGTCGTATTCTCCTGATTGTTCGGAGAATTCCGCTGCTCCTGTAAGGACGAAGTAATTCTGCAGTACCAAGGTAAGTGATAAGCTGATGCCGGGCGGTCACGGAATGCGAGTGAACAGACTAACCACTGTTGCGCCAGCGACCAACAACGCATCTGTGACACCACTCAATGCCCAGAGCCTTGCATTGGATGCACGGGCCTTAGGGTGAGCAGCCCCGCTCTCGCTTGTTGCTGCAGATGGTCCGTTGAGGAGGTACTTGAGCGACTGTTTCGGTGAGTCTTGCAATCTGTATAACTCATACTAATCGTGGGAGCATACCTTCATGATAGATGGACCGCGCATATGACCAACAACTCGGTCGGTCCGAGATTGGATAGGCCGGTCGTACAGGAATGCATTGTCCTTGAGCAGTTCCTGTACTTCAGGGATGCCTTGGCGCTTCGATTTTGTAGAGAAGAGATCGGAACGAAACTCGAAGATGGCACTATGATTCGAGGCAACTAGATGCACCCAATATGAACGCAGGGAACGGGCCCCTTCACAGAACTGCACGGGTCATGATTTAACTGTAAGCTTGGTTATTTCATGGGCGGGTACTCACCCGTTCCTTGAACCACTTCTCATGAACGTGAGTACGGAGCCAGTTCGGGAGCTGTTGAACCATCTGCCATGCTTGCTCGCTTGCTTCGGTAGCGTGTTCAAACGAGTCAGCGGACTCAGAGACGCAGTCTTCGACATTTTCCGGGAGCTCGCCGAAGAGCGCAGCGTCTGGCCACAACGTGACTGTGGCAGCGAACTTCTTTCCGGCATGTAAGGCTGCTCGCCATACACTCTCGGATACACCCTCACTCGGGAGTCCTTTGCCGTCAGACCTGCGCCTCTTCGGATTATTCTCCGTGTCACTGCCACCACTGAAAGACACGTCCTCCAGTTCGGCGATTCTTGCCTTGGATGCGCCAAGGCGCGACGCAAGATCGGCCTCGTTGTTCTTCGACTCCCGCAAGGCCTGTCAGCATTTGATTCAATAATCATTATTATCCGAACATGACCAGCCCCGATAAAAATGTGTTGATTCACTTCGGGCATGACATTACCTTCTGCATGTCGTTTGCTTGCTTCTCCAGACGCTGGATCTTCGCTCGGTACTTTCGCTTCTTCTGCGTTAATTGCTGTATTTCTGCGGATTGACCATCAGGCTCAGGCTCAGGCTCCTGAGAAGGCGAGTGTTCTGCCGGGCCTGGCGGCCGGCGAGCTTGAACCTGAGACGGCTCGGCATCAGACGCCATGCTTGAATGGTATGTTTGTGTGCATTAGATATTGAGAAAGGCCAGTCAAATATAAGACTCGGAGCAACGATGATGGTGCAGGTTCCGGATATTATGAGGGCAGATATGCTTGGTCGGTGGCAAAGTTAGAGGAGTCGTTGCGACCGCCACACGTTGTGGCAACGAGTGACATTCCAAATTTGGCAAGTGTGATAGAATGAGTTGGTAGACGTACATTATTGCACGGAACGCAAACGTAGATACATATCCGGGTCAGTGATGTCCTGCACTGTGAGCTCCTGTGCATCTGGCTCCAACGTGACTATATGGCATGTCCGTACTATGGACTCTGCGAACACAAACGTATCCTCCTGATCATCAACTAGCCGGATGTAACCAAACCTTCGTCCACGGCACACATACCGCCTCAGGTATACGAGGTGGTACGCCTGCGAATTGACGTGGATCTCACATAACATGTAGACCCGACCGAACCATACACCATCTTCTCCACCATCAACAATGACGGTGTCGTGCCGGGGACCGGTCCTCCGCCACTTTGGAGTTGCCCTGACAATATCTTGATTGATGCCACCGGACTCCATTGAGACGTACTTGATGCGCATGCAGTAGAAACGGCGGAGCTAAGATGGACTACAGTTAGAGTAGAAGCACTTCGCACAATCATAAACTCATACCGGCATGCCTTGAACCCATCTGTCCGAGACTGTTGCATCAAAGTGACTAGAAAGGAATCTTGCCAATTTCCGAGCATAGCGGTCTAATGGGATCCCTTCCTTCGACCCAGCCATAATCTGAACAAACGTGGAGAGCGAACATGGCTTGTCTCGCACGCCAAGTCTGAGTCGCTGATCGGCCACACTGTTATCGCGCTCCGGAACGCTAGACTCGTCATTTGGATTCGCCTCGAGCTCGGCATCGTACGCATGCACTCTCTCAGCAATTTGCATTATAGCATCACGCTCTTCGGCCATCCGGGTCATCTATACGTATCTCAATATGCGTACAGATTCTTGAGACGGTTTACAGTAGTCTACATACCTGCGCGTCCAAGCTATCAGGTTGTCGGCTCGTCCGAGCATAATCCCGTTTGGTTTGGCGATGTAATGACTCGCCAAAGCTGGCCGCGTAGTTGTCGTGTGGCCCCTTCCGCCTCAGACAGTCGACTGTATGCACGGCAAAGAGATGGTTCTTGATCCATGAGAATGACAAGCCAATGAGTTCGTTGTTGTGAATTGACTAGGTTTCGAGGATCAGTTCAATTCTCGATATGATGACTCAGATGAAGACATACCTCAACGTAATGGCTATATCTGCCTAGATGATCCTCGAGGTATGACAACGTCAACTCTGTGTGACAGGTGAACTCTTTTGTGAGTATATACGCGCATGCAAGCTCCCGCAAACAAGGGAGAAGCCACGGCTCTGCGTCAGGCCAGAGACCTTCCAAAAATATTGGGAGATACTGCAAGTGTCAATGTGTCAGCTCCAATTTCACCGATCACAAAATCCACACATACACATAGGATCCGCCCAAGTTCATGGCCTGCAAGATACTTCAGGCGTGTCACGCCATGGCGGAAATGGTGCAGTGCTGAGCCCGGAAATTTTGAACACAGTTGGAACCTAGTAAAGAGCAAGATGCCACAGGATAATTCAGATAGGAACAGCGATTTATAAACGCAGATCTATACCTCCGGTCTAGCGTCTGGCGTGATCGCGTGGGTAGTACGTCAATAATGCGTGGCCAGATGTGATTACCGTGGATGCCTTGCTCAATCTGATGCAAAGGATCCGTGACGAACATGCGGTAGAGCGAGAGGAACATGCTCAGGCCAAATAGAAAGATATTCTATGTGACGCCGTCGGTTGTCTGCTCAACCATCACAGGAACGGTACGTACAACAACTGTGTCGCGCAGAGATTCCGCCTTCAAGACTGCTTTCTTTGCCTTCTTGTGACGTTTTGTTCGTGACATTGTGATCAGCTCAATAGCTCGTGTTTGTTTTCGCATAGGCCACGATTGTTTGCTTGTCCATAACTCGGAGCGTGGGACAAGGCATATTGGACATGGGTAGTGGCTCCGGTGACCCAGAATTCCAGATAAGCGCACTCTGAGGAGTCAGGAGTCAGCTTAGCACGAAACGTCAAGAATGGCCAAACCACGAACATCTCCTCGTAATCGGCTGACAGGACTACTACCGTTGGATAACCTTGTATCTTCAGTGATTGCATTGACAAGAGCATCCCGTATTTGCTCGGAATCTCTAACGTCTCGAACACAACCTCTAACGCTCGGTGGTAGACCTCAGCGCGATGTTGCACTAAATGCGAGTCGTTGTCTCCCTCTTCACCATGAACCTATGCAACGGGATCTTTCAAGTTCTGTCAGACTGCAAAATGAACTCGGGACGTACAACGGGTAAATAAGCAATCAGGGTGGCTCGGCCTTTGTCGCGCGAGGTGCGAATGCGCTTTGGTACGTTTGCAATCCACATGTAGACGGGCCAGTACTTCACGTTCCCAAAAGACGTCACGCGTGTTGCATCGGCATACACGTGGAGGTTGATAACAATACCTGTGTTGCCAATCTTTGTCTGATGAGATCAGAGGTGTTCAGCAGCCGTATGCTCGGAGAAAAGGCTTGAACTAAGTACCTGAATTGCCCACCAATCATCGGCAGTCCAAGACTCATCCCATACTCGCATAAGACGAGGTTCCTCAGGGTGTTGAACATACCGACGCTGCGGATAGAGCACTAGATGCGACTCTATTAAAGGATCCGCGAAGAAATCGACGCAAACGGTCCATGGGTCTCTGTAACGGAGGCTGTATCTTTGCTCCGCTTGACGCGCAAAGGGGACGGTCAACTCCGCTGTCCTGAACTGAGAGGGGCGCCATCAGTACAATACTAGAGCAAGTGATACACAGCAGCTATCACCTCGGGAAGCTCATCTTGCTGTCGCTCCTGTGACAAGATGGCATGCATCTCCTTCGCATTGCGAAGAGTAACACCATGCGAAGATGGCGCGCCGGACTGTATTATTTGTAGCTGCTCGTCTATCTGTGAATCCGGAGCGTCTGTGCGTAGAAAGAGCTCCGCTTGTTCAAAGTCCAGCCACGTACGGAAGGGATGCCATGGTGGCCGTGTCTGAGTAGAAATTGAGCGAGCTGGCGTCTCCGAGGAGTGGTCGTGCGTGGAACGCACAATAACGTCGAGGACCTCCGGACGTCTCCCGCTAGCAGGGTGATACTCAACATAGACTTCTCCTTCTTCGAGGGTCTCAGGACGGGCAGTGTCCGTGTATGCAGCCTCGCCAGGTTCCGCGTCAGCCTGAGGGTCTATGCCTGTCCCGGACGATACACTGGCCATATCCTCTAGTCAAGGGGAACGGCCGTGAGCTGTGAGTCAGCAGTGCATAGCCATATCAAGATACACATGATACTTACCGTCTGAGTCTGACTGGATGTCCCCATGTGTTGCAAGAGTTATCCCGGGCTGTGGCACATCGCTGGAACTTAAGTTCGGGAATGACGAACGTCCGTGCTGAATTGGGACCGCCTCAAACTCCGAGTCTGTCAGGTCGCTGTCGAATCCTGCGCCAAGTGACCCGTCAATGTTCGGTGAACTTGACGTCTCTCTTCGCTCGGAGACCGCGCCCGGTCCACTGGCAACGCCTCCCGCGGGTGGCTGTGCGCTTCTCGATCGGGCACGTATCAGCAAGACATTGCATCTGCGCAATGTGCAATCCGAACGTACCAAGATGTCCTTTGCTCGGACGGCGCCGAGGCTGTGCTCTGTGCAGTAGCGATCCTTGTGCGTTTCGCGATCTTGCATGCACGCAAGTGCGTGGACGGACCACCGTTTCTCTTGGAGTACCAGCGAGAGCAGTAAGGACATACCCAGTCAAGTCTGCTGGTAAACGTCAGCGATTCCGCCCTGGCTTGACGAGCTCAATTTCGCGATGTTCTGAGATCTTGCCGCATCCGGCGTTCAAGTTGAAGTTACCGCCCAGTGGCAATACACTCGTTAGTATTGATGACGATCTCACACGAGCAAATGTGGAGTATTGTATCATTGTTGTATGTGTGGTATAGCCGAATGTAAGACTCCACCGAACTCTTGCAGGAGTGTCATACATAGCCACGGTGCTTTCTCGCATCTCACACGATTTAGCGCTGACTCGTGCAGCCAGTAATAGGGTCTTATTGCATTCTTATGCGAACTCACAAGTCCACGCTTACGATCTTACTACTTCATTGTAAGAGAAATTTTGCGAAAAGCACTTATACGTCGCCTCCATTTTTCCTGTTGTGACTATGTGAGCGTGTACGTGAGTGAGAATACAGGGCAACCGTTACAGCAGTGCGATGACGTGCTACTGTATGGCGGTTGTTGGGCTAAGCTCACCGGTAAGTCATGAACATGCTGACAAAAGTCTTACCTGTGCTGACAGTTTTCTGATGCAGGCATTACACATCTCACCTTTCGATAGCATTATCCTAAAGATGTGAGTGCTAATCTCAATCCATAACATCTTGCAGTAGGATGTTATGACTTCGTCAGACTATGAAAGATAATAGCAATGTAGTGACAGAATCCAAGGTCATCTTAGTGATAAGTATTGAATGGTATGATATACATGATGACAGTGTTGCGCTTTTGGCAATGTTGTGTGGCTGTTTATTTTGTGATTTGTACCATAAGTACTGAGGTCCATGAGAAGGTGAGACTAGCAATAGACTCTACAGTATGAGCCCTATCAGTCAGAATTTTTTGAGAATTTTTACGGTCTATAGTAGCACAGTGACAGTGCTACTAATGGCCTTGTGGCTGAATTCAAAACTCAGCCCAAGATCTTGGCAGCCTGGAATACCATAGATTTGCTGGTAGCTGTACAACAATGCAGCACAATCAATAGAATCATAGTGTCAGTGAGCTCTATCATGTATCTGGGCATACTGAGGCACACCAATGTTCACTGTAGCAATGTCTATGAAACAGACCTAGAGGGAAGTGCATGCCAGTTCATGGTGTTGCCCAAAAGGTAGCAATCAGGTTGCTGAAGCTCTTTGATCTGTCCTCATGTCATATTTCCTCATGCAATGTTATTTTTCTACTAAGTTTTGCACACTGTGATATCCCTATATGCGAATCAAACATCAAACTGAAGGACAAGAAGTGCAAGCCCCGCAAACGTTCAGATCGTGTTATACCAGTTGCACGGTCGCCCAAATTGGTAGGTGCCTCACAAAGGGGGTAATGACTGTACTTAGCTGTAATGGTTGGAGTCGGCAAACAGACAGCTGAGCCGCCTACATACAGATCTGCTCATGATCACTTCAAGATTCAAACGATGGGCCGTCATCGAATACACACCTAATGCACAAGGATAGCAGAATACAGACCACATAACGACGTGCGACGAAGATGATGCGGCAAGAATGATTTTGATCAGAAGCCTCTGCCCCTGCCCCTGCCTCGTCCCCGTCCCCGTCCCCGATCCACCACTCGCCCGCGCCCACGGCCCCGAGCATCGTCCTTTTTCCGGTTCTTTGGTTTTGGTGCGTCGTCAACGAGCAGCGTGTCGAGAGGGAGGGCGTCGGGGAGGACGAAGTAGCGAATGTTGTTGCCGCGGATCGAGAGTGAATCAAGGGACGAAGGCTCGCGATTGCGTGCGGTCATCTTGACGGTCTTGAGGTGCGTGTTCATCTGCATGTCAACGCCTACAAGTCGGTTGAGTGGCTGCAGGGATAGACGGCGAGAAACGCGTACCTGTGATGGTGCCGTGGACGACGGAGCCGTTCTTGAGCTCGATCGTGACCGTCTCGTTGTTCAGTTTCATGAGGAACCTATGGCCCAGTAAGCAGGATGCAGGGAGCATAGCCGATCACGACGCGTACCTTACGAGCTTCATGGCGGACGCGGCGACGGCGACGATGGGAGCGACGACGACGGCGAGAATCAACGAGGACGCTGTGCGGCGAGGCGCTGGTGCGCGCATGGGACGCCCGTGCACGTGCTGGCGGGGAGAGCCGGGAGAGGCGAAAAACACGACGCGCGCCGGCAGCGGCTCGGCGTCTCTCGACGTCCCATAAAGCGTCGTCGCAGGTCGTCGCTGCCCTCGTCGCTGCCGTCGTCGCTGCCCTCGCCGTCGTTCTTTAAAGCGTCGTCGCTGCCCTCGCCGTCGTCGCTGCCATCGTCCTCCTCGTCTTGTCTTCAATCTGCAGCCGTGCTGTGAGTTTCACGCCTCTTGCTGAGGCCGTCCCCAGGCGCCATCATGCTGCCCAAGGTTGCAAACCATCTCCTGCACCACACCGCGCGTGCCATCTCGGTTGCGCAGAACCAGACCGGCCACACCATCCGCAATGTCCTCCAGCTCCAGTCGTCCTCCACTCCGTCCACCGCATCCGGCAACTTTGGTGGCTGGAACGGGACCTCTTCCTCTCACTCCAACTGGAACGGTCGCGGCGCTGGCTCTGGCGGCGCCAAGTCTCACCCCGGCGGTCGCTCATATGCTGGGTACACGGTGCGTCACTCCTACCACCTATGCCTGTCCTCATTTCGCTCACTACATATTATCTGTACTCGTAGGGTGCTGGCAGGGCCGTGACCCAGGCCGAGTCCATGTCCGTTAATGACCTCGATCAGACCCTTGGCGACGACTCGGACGATGTCCCTCCCGCTCTTCGTCGCGGCGCCCTCGCCCTCAAGAGCCACGGCGCTGCCCTGCCGTCTCGCGCAAGGTCACGCACTGGCCTTGCCGTCATCCGTACAGCGCAGTCTCAGGCAAAGTCAGCCAGACCCTTTGGCGGACAGACGGTCGTCGACCCTTGCTCTGGCAGCGGTGCTTTGTCAACTCAAGCCACCGCACTTCTCCTCCACAGGCTATCCGCGCGTGATGTGCCCGCCCGCTCTCAGTCGACCGTCTCCACTCTCCAGACGGTCAGCGACTATCTCGACGTCGAATCCCCTCCGGCTTCCTCGCCCACCAGACAACCCTTGGACGCATTGTACTCTCGGCCTCACTCCCCGGACACGTCTCTGCCCACCCCACCTACGGAAGCCGCGGAGGAATCGCTTGATAACGAAGTGGCTGACCACAATGACTTCAGCTTTGCTGCTGGCCGTAAAGACAGAGGCACGGTGGAGGAGCTCGTTGCAAAATTGCGTTCTCGTTCGGCTCCCCCTTCCGTTCGTTTATACAATTCAGCTCTGTTGGCATTGCATACAGTTCGCGTGCCCAACGGGTCTCTAGGGCCCCTCCTCGAGCTCTACAACGACATGCTCGCCCGCTCTGTTGCCCCGAACTTCAGGACATACGTCATCCTCATACAAGCTTTCACGGACCGTGATCGTGATGTTCACGAGATGCTGCGTCGTCTCGAGAGGCCTATTCGATGGCAGACGACGCTTGGAGTTACGCCGGACGTTGGAGAACACACCCACACCTCGGGCTTGCGTGCTGAAAATAACTTTCGATCCGCTATGATGCTGTTTCAGACGGTTTGCGCCGATCATCGCACGAAGTTACCTCTTCGCGTCTACCACAATCTCCTCCAATCTTGCGCCAACCACGCCAACACGGAAGCTGCTGTTCACGTCTTTGCTCATTTCGAACGTCGCAAGGATGTCTTACCCAGCCCCCGTACCTTTGAGCTGCTCATGTCCGTCTATAACGCCGCCGGCGACTGGGAAGGCGTGAAGGATGTCTTCGAGGAATTTAGGAAGGCTTGCAAATCTGGGATGATTTTTGCCTTTGTGGAAGGCGAAGCCGACGCTTCCGCTAACCGTGTCATGCGCTCCTATCATATCGACGTCTGGAACAGCATGATCGAGGCGTACGTGCGGAGTGGACAACATACGGCTGCCCTCGGCCTGCTGGAGCAGATGCTTGACACGAAGGCTGGCGACGCATTCAACGTTTCGGACGTTCCTCCTCCATCCATCGACACTTTCAGCCGCCTGATTACATCGTTCTGCCAATCGGGCGAGGTCAGCACGGCGCTGGCGTGGTTCAATAGGCTCTTGCTGCAAGTGGTTGGACCCCGTAAGCCTCTGGACGCGTCAACAAGCCCGGGTAGGCCAGACAACACCATTTGGACGACTATCATCGAAGCTCTGTGTCTGAACGGCCGGGTCGACGATCTCCTCACAGTCATGACTTCCTTCGAGCGGCTGGCTGATCAGGACGGCCTCTTGCTCCCGAACGATGAGGCTCAGTTAGTGCTTCAGACGTTGTTCCGCCACCTTACGCTGCATCCGGACCTCGAGGAAGCCAAGGTGGCCTCCATTACGGATACAGTCCTCGCCCTGGTTGCTCGAACTGGACCTCACCTCCTCTCTCATCCTGTGTACGGCGAGGGACATCGCGAGCTGGGCATGGAACTCCCGCATCTCCTGCTCTCGAAAGGGAAAGCAAAGGAAGCATGCCGTCTTGTGCGCTACTATGTCGTGCGTGAGACGAGAGTCAGAAATGGCCTCTCCGCGCAAGAGCTTCCCGCGGGGTTCGTCTCGAAGGCGCGAGTTCTGCACGAATTCTTGCAAGGGTTCGCTCAACGCTACATCGAGGAGGCTGATGGGAAGCTGTCCTTGCCGGAGACGCTTGACTTGGGTTGCCTGTTCTTGCGCTCGCATGCGAACGTTCCGGTGGATGTGCTTGCATGCTGCCAGATGCACTATGCTGCTGTTCGGTCCAGTCCCTCCGGGCTGCCTACACTGTCCTCGCAGGAATGGGCTGTCCTAGTCCTGAGCGCCTTCACAGTCGACGGTGTTGCAACAATCGAAGACGTTCTTGCTGACATGGCGCGAGCGGACGTGAAGCTCAGCAACCTCTCGATGCATCTTCGTGTCCAACTGTACAGTCGCCTGCGTGCCCAGCGAAATTCATCTTACGCCCTCGAGCTTATGCGCCGATACGATCCCGCTTTCACGCCGACGTTGGATCTACCTCCCCAGGACGATGTCAACAAGCAAGACGGTGATGTCGCGCTGCAAGGCCGAGATGTTCCCTCCCATATCATGGTGGATCAAGCTCACAGCGCGTTTGTCTCAGAGTTCTGGCCCATGTCTGCTGCGCGTATACCTGCCACCGAAGCTTATAAACGGTTCGAAGCTGGACGCGCACGGAATAAATATCCCCGTCTGGACGTCATGGCTCGTCTGATTATTGCCCTCGGCCGACAGCGTGAATTCGAAAAGGTGAGAAACCTGTACGACAGCGCACAACTTGTTCTGCAGACGATGGAAGGCGAGAAGGAGCGACAGTCGTACGCCTGGTTCCTCGTGGAGGATGGCATGATCCTTGCACTTGCTCACGGTGGCGAGGCGAATGCTGCCCACGTCCATAGGCTTCGCATCATCGACCACGGGGGCGCGCCTTCTGCCGATGCGTACGGTGCATTGATTCACGCTGTCAAGGACACGACGGATGACGCAAGCAACGCCATCGCGCTTTTCCGCGAGGCCCGCCAACTCAACGTCGTTCCTAACACCTTTATGTACAACACCACGATCTCCAAACTTGCCAGGGCGCGCAAAGCTGATGACGCACTCGCTCTCTTCAAAGAGATGAAGACTATGAATGGCATGGGGCCTTCGTCGGTGACCTACGGTGCGGTCATCGCAGCGTGTTGCCGGGTGGGCGACGTCGCGTCCGCGGAGAATTTGTTCGCGGAGATGGCTTCTTGTTCCAGCTTCAAGCCCCGCGTCCCTCCCTACAATACGATGATGCAGGTGTACACCACTATACGGCCGGATCGTGCTCGCGCCCTTCATTACTTCGACGCTCTCACTGCCGCGCGAATTCAGCCTACTGCGCATACGTACAAGGTAAGTTTGCCTGATCTGATGGATGACCAGGTTTAACCTTCTTCGCCGCAGCTATTGTTGGACGCATACGGGACGATTGAACCCGTTGACGCGGCTGCCATGGGACGAATCTTCGACAAGATCACAACTGGTCGCAAACCAATCGTGCAGGGCACGCATTGGGCCTCTTTGATTCACTCGGTTGGATACGTGCAGGGGGATGTGGATGGGGCCCTGGCTCTGTTTGACACTATCGCCTCTCATCCCTCTACACGAATGTCGGGTGCTCAACTGCCTGATGCCGTGGTTTTCGAGTCCTTGATTGCCGTTCTGGCTACCCACCGCCGAGTGGACCTCATACCGATCTACGTGTCGAAGATGAAGGACCTCGGGATTCATATGACAGCGTACATCGCCAACTTCCTCATCAAAGCCTACGCGTCCGCTGGTGACATCGAGCGCTCGCGAGAGATTTTCGAAGGCTTGGCTGATCCTCCCGAAGGCGTCGCCGCTCCCCATAATCATGCACCTCATGATGCACAAGCCAGCGAAAGTGCACAAGTACCAGTTGATGCGCTTGTATATCGCGAGGTATGTCTCATGGCATTGTATTGTAGGCTCAGACTGAAAAGTGAATAGCCGTCGACTTGGGAAGCTATGGTGCGGGCGGAACTAGCCCATCGCCATCGGGAGAGGGCAGTCGCGCTGCTTGACCGAGCACAAGCAAGGTATGTCAAGCGTCAGCCAGTTCCGCGGGCACGAACTGACGCATCCTTCGCAGGAAATTCCCTCCCGCTGTGTGGAATCGCATCAACGGGATTCTCCTTGACGATTCGGTCTCCCCTTGGGCTGGTTCCGAGTGAGCTGCTGCCCGGCCCACATGAGAGCTTGTATTGGGGTTGAGTGTGTAGCCTGCATCTGCCGTTGCATCCATCCATTGTAGCATAGTCAAAGTATGCGCTTACTGTACCACCCGGTTAATACGGACAAAAAGTACTACGGATTACCCTAGAACATGAGGACATCACAACGGCGATAGATATATGCTAATCTAACCTGTCCGACTTGCGGTATGCACCATGACCTGCCTCGAAGTCTGAACTCAAAATTCTTCGCGCAATGAAAAACACAACGAGGATTCCGAGCACAACAAAGGACAGTGTGCGCCATGGGTAGAGCAGCACAAACGACTCGATGGACGTCAGTTTATTATTGAGATACTGGAAGCATGTCAGGATTAGATACTGACGGCGTGAACGAAACACATACCCGTGCCAAACGCTCAACGATGTTCTCCGAGTGCTTGTAAGCGATCGTCGCCGCCTGTGCGCCTTGGACAGCAGAGAAGACGCTCGTGGTCGTGAGCTGAATCTTCTCGCCATACTGGTCCACATCATAGTACACTAGACGCTGAAATCGAGCGCCAACCGTCAGCAACACCCGACGCACGAACCACACGTCCGACTCACCGAATGGTCCGCTACGACGACCTGCGGGCCGTTGTCGGGCTTGACGCCATACATGCTCTTGAGCCACTTGCCCCACTTGCCTGCGTCCATCCAGACGAATGTGACGCCGGCACCGCTCTTCGCGTTGCGCCACTGCCGCGCGATGCGCTGGACTTCGGCGGCCGTCGCCTGGAGCTCCGCAGCGGGCGCGGCGGCGAGGACGACAAGCGGTTTGTGCGGCGCGTTCATGACGTCTTGGAAGGTATCCGAGTCGAGCTCCATGCTCGTCGGGAGGCGGTTCTTGAGCAACTGTGGGGAGTGATGAGCTTAGCCGCAAGTATGGGCTGGTTGGAAAAGGACGTACCCAGTTCACGAGAGCATCCTTGTCGTTGGCAGACCGAGTTGCGGGGAGCCGGTAGACAGCGGCGGGTATAGCGTCATGGTCCTTCAGCGCGAGGACCACGGCAGAGTCGGACTGCACATTGAAGTGCTCGAACAACTGGGGCGAGGCCGATGTGAAGACCGGGGGAGAGCCGAACAGAGCCTGGGCAGCCTCCACGACATCGCTCTACACAGGACATTGAGCACCATGTTTGGAGTGTGAGGAATGGGCTACATACGACGATATCCTTGTCGGAGTATGGGTGAAGCAAAAGATACATCGCAGGGTACTCTGCGATACGTGCGCTGAGGTCCTCGTAATACAGCTCCTGGATCGGCCTAAAGTAGGATAATTTAGAACAGACAGCTAAACGCGACAAGGAACGCGACGACGCACGGTCCAGACACCTTCTCCGCAAATGCTTTCAGCTGATCGAGCTTGCGGCCGCTAGTGTACTCGACCTTTCCTGCGTCCTTGCCGCCGTAGTAGACAAGCTGCGGGAAGCCCGGGACGCCCTCTGCTCGGCACAATGAATCGTACGCTTCGCAGTTGACTTCCGCGATGGTCAATTTGTGCTGCAACTGCTCTGCGAGCTGAGCCCATATTGGTGCTAGCTTCTTGCAGTGTCCACACCTTCATTTTATGGCGCGTCAGACAGCATTGAGTGGAGTATCCACGCCGGGAACGTACCATGGCGCATAGAACTTGACGAATAAATGCCCCTCATCCACCGCGCTTTGGAAAGTCTTGTCATCAAGAACCAGCACCTTCCCATCCGGGTTGAGGTCTTTCGCAGGGACAGCCGACTTGTATGCTTCCCTGTGCTCCTGCACCTTGAGTTGGGGCCCAGGCTCAGGTACAGCGGTAACGACCGGGGCCTCGGTGGTCTCTGGCAGGGCAGGCAGGGATGTCGGCTCGGCGTGCTTGGACAGATACGACGTGACAAGTTCGTGGGACCTTGCCTCGCGGTATGTTTCGACGAACTTGCCGTCGCGGTAGAGGTTCATCTGGGGGTAGCCGTCGACGCCGTTTGCTTTGCACAGGTCTGCGGGAGGCTGATTGAATGTGACGATCAGCATTTGTGGACATGGGCTACGTACCGCCGTGGACGGCACAGTTCACTTGCGCGAGGTGGATGCCCGGGTCGGACATGTTCGCGATCTCCTGGACGATGTTCTTCCATGTGGGCATGAAGTTGCGGCAGTGGCCGCAATACGGCGAGAAGTGCTCGACGAACCTGCACGGAGCACACGTCAATCTACCTGCATGCTCGAGAAGCTATTGCCACGTACCAGACGCCGCTGGCGACCGTCTTGTCGAAGTCGTCGGGCGTGAGCACGAGCAGCTCGACCTCGTCCGAGCTGACCGGAAGGGCCGCGATGGCGAGGGTGAGGGACGCGAGGAGGAGCGAGGAGGGCAGGCGGAGGAGGTTGGCGAGCCGCATTGTGGGCGACGAGGCCAGCGTCGGGGCAGAAGAGTAGGATGGAGGAGACAAGGAGAGCGGGAGGCGGCGCTGAGACGGCCAGCCACAGCCACAGCATGCTCTCCTTCCACCACCACCACCTCCCGGCACACATCCACCTCGCCCTCTTCCACCCGGTCTCTCATGCCGCCCAAATCCGCGCCCGCATCGTCCGCGCCAGCCAGCTCGAGGGCCCCGAAGGCGACGCGGAGCGCGAGGCCGTCAACTTTGCCTTCATCGACGCCCGTCTGGTCCGCCAACTACCTCTTTGTCCGCGACAATCACCCTTATTTCCCTCCAGATCACCAGCACTCTGCACCTGCAGACGGCGATCCACCAAGCTATCCTCGCCGAAGCCCAGGGCGCCCTGCGGACGAAGACAGTACACTCCGAGATCCTCTGGGCACTCAGTCCCAACAACAATGTGTGACTTGCGCTCCGTATCCTCCGCGTCGACTCGCCGCTCAGACGGCCAACTACATAGATCACTGAAGCCATTAGGCGTTTCGGTGTGTCGGACAACACCACGGCGCTCATCGTCGTCCGTGTAGGCTCGTCCGGGATACCGGACATTGAGCACCGTATGAAGGCGATCGCCACGGGCGACATCCGTCCTCTGTCAGACCTCTCGAAGCTCACAGACTGGGCGACGGTCAAGAAGGTGCGTAACATCGTCACTCTCTTGGGAACGTACAAATGACGGGTTGGCCGACGATGCAGTACTACAAGCTCAATGCGGACCCTGCGATGAAAGCACCGGGCCTATCCCCGGAGCAGCAGAAACTCGTCGCCGACGAGATCGTCGTGAGCACGGTCGCAATGAAGAGCGTAGCTGCATGATATTACGACCGTGTGCTCGGCCTTGTGACCGTTCGCGTATTCATTGCTTGTTAGAGGAGACTGTAGCAGTAGCAGAACCGTATATGTAGAATACCAGCATCCAATCAAACATCGCACTCGGAACATTACGCGGAATAGTGGATGCAGTACTAGTAGCGTGAGACGGAAGGCTGGCTGCGAACGAGATCGCCCCGGCCACGATCTGCGCGCCTGTCTCTTGTACCACCGCGTCGTCCACCGCTCCTGACCACTCCCTGTCCGCGCGGACAGAACACAGCAACCTTCATCTGCCTCAGACGTAGTCCAAGATGTCAGGAGCGCTCAGACTGGCCCACCCACTTCGGACCGCCGCCGCACGGCCTGCCAGTGCTCGCTTTCCGTGTCCACGCCGTCCAGTCAAGCCCGCATGCTCCAGGCACTACTCTTTACCTCCGCATACATCAGGGAGGGATAGGGCTGCAGTGGGGGTGAGTACCGCATGCCTCCGCCGCAAACTCCAGCCGCACAGCTCAAAACCAGGTCTTTACACCCAAAGCTGCAGCACTCTTTGTAGCGACCGGCGTCGGCCTGTTCCTCTACTTCAGATACGAGAAGCAGACGTTGCAGGAGCGAAAGCGTGCGTCCGCGTAATCGCTACTCGATTGATAGACCTAACGAGGATACGCCCGTTAGAAAAGGAGCAGGAAGACAGCCAGGTCGGCAGACCGCACGTCGGCGGGTCCTTCAGCCTCACGACACACGAGGGCAAGCCCTTCACCGAGAAGGACCTGGTTGGAAAATGGAGTCTCATTTACTTTGGCTTCACAAACTGCCCGGACATCTGCCCGGAGGAGCTTGACAAAATGAGTGCGGCGGTGAACGAGCTCGGTACGTCCTTCCCGCTTCACCTCACATACGGGACGCCTCGCTCAGACGTTCCTCTCACTCTCAGACAAGCAATACGGGCCGGTCGTGCAGCCCATCTTCATCTCCGTCGACCCCGCGCGGGACAGCACCCCGCAGGTCGCGCGCTACGTCTCCGAGTTCCACCCGCGGTTGGTCGGGCTGACGGGCGACTACGGGGCGACGAAGGCGATGTGCAAGGCGTACCGCGTGTACTTCTCGACGCCGCCGGACGCGCGGGCGGACGACGACTACCTCGTGGACCACTCCATATTTTTCTACTTCATGGACCCCGACGGGAAGTTTGTGGACGCGTTCGGGAAGGTGAGCTCGGTGCAGGACGTCGTCGCGCGGGTGCAAAAGGAGATTGGGGAGTGGAAGGAGAGGACGGGGAAGACGACGTAGTGTGCGGTCGCCTCTGTAGTAGTCTGTTGCGTGCCTTTACCGGCGGATACATCACCCCTCTCAGCGATAATGCCATGCCTCGCGCGAGTCGACCCGGCGGTCTGCTATGATTGAGCAGCAATATAGAATGCACATTAAACCTAGGCCCCAATCACTCCTCAGCCTCGAGTTGGGCAACCTTCTGTTTCGCCAGGACCTTCATCCGGCGAAGGTAGCTGCATCGTATCAGCCTTCAGTCTGTGTCAGTAGACTGGCAGGACGTGTTACTCACTCCTCATACTGGCACCTGGACGACGGTCAACAGCTCGTCGATTGCGGGAAAAGGTACACGACGCTCACTTCTCGTACGAATGCCTCTCATTCTCGCATTCCCATGGAAGGTAGTACTTCTGCTTGCGGCAGACGTTGAGAGGAATGAGCAGACTGCCGTTGACAGCATACACAGGCCGTTCAGCTGGGGTGCGGCATGAGGGTCAAAGATACGCACGCAGAGCACTGGTCCCGCCACGCGAGAGGGACTCTGTTCTGCTTGAGCTCCTCCTGGGATGCCGTGGTCGAGGACGCCATGAGAGAGTGGTCTGCGATGCGCCCGCGACCATCCGCCACAGCCCAACTCGGTCCACCCGGCAATCCCCATGGGCGCCTACCTCACCACGCCCAGAATTCACCAGTGATTCAAGCACGGAATATGTGGTCTGTGATGGCTGCGTACGGACAAGATACAGACAGACAACGCTCATTTCTTGTCCTTATCCTTGTTCTCCTCCTGCTGCATGCTCATCGCAATCGCCCTCGCGATCTCGTCCTCTTCCGATATCTCCTCGTCCCCGCCCGCCATCTCGACGTCCGTCCTCTCCGACATCGCCAGCGCCTGCTGGAGCATCGCCTCCTCCTCGTCATCTGTCGGGTCCGCGGGTACCGATGCAGCAGCAGGCGCGGCCGGCGCGGGTGCGGGCGGTGCTGCTTGTGCAGGCGCCGCAGGGGGTGCTGACGGACCCGGCACAGAGCCATCCGCCTGCGTGGCTGCGGCCTGTCGTGCTTGCTCCTCCTCCAGTGACATGCGCAGTGCCTGCGAGCGAACAGTCAGCCGCTGACCGCGGTAATCATGATGATACGGCGACGCACCATCGCCAACTCGGGGTCCAGACTTGGGTCGACGCCGAACTCGAAGTTCGCGCCGGCGGCGGGGCCCGCCGCGTCGCCCATGGCTTCTTCTGGGATACCCCGGTCGCCAGCCAATATTGCCGACGTCAGGACGATGTCAGAGAGAAGATGGGGGCCGGGTGGTACGGTTATGAGATGGCTGCGGGCGGTCATGGTGAGCCGCAACGCCGCGCACGAAGAACGATGGACGCGTACGAGTTGTCACCACTTGATGCATTCTCGACGAATGACTTGAGCACGCTCCGCTCGCCGTCCTCGATGCCGTCGCCGAAGGCGATGAAGTCGACTGCGACGTTGTTCTTCTTGAGCTTCTTCGCGAGCCGGATCATGGCCTTCTCGTCGGCGCCCTGGCCCTCGAGCGGCGAGCCGACGAAGACGACGATGCGTTGCCGGAGGTTCTTGTTCTGTCTGTGCTTGAGTGCGAGCTGCGCGACGGCAATCGCGGTGGGGATGTCCGCGGTGCCGCCAATCTTGTCGGACGTGGAGTGGAGTGCTTGCAGGATCTGGCCGATGTCTTTGCTGTGTGTTACGAGGACCTCTGGGCTACGCCAGGCAGGAGGGTTAGCCGGCCGCGCACCGTGAGTGAGGCCTCGCGCACGCACCCCTTGCCCGCCATGGTCATGATGCCGACCGTGTTCTCCGGGTTGGAGTCGATCTTGGTCTGGAAGATGGTGTTGACCGCATCTGCCTGGGAGTCGAAGCGCGAGGGCTGGTAGTCGCCGTTGCGCATGTACTCGGAGTTGTCGATGATCATGAGTGTTGCCTCGAGCGGCATGGTGGGCGAGTGGAGGACGGGGACGCGAGAGACGCGACGTGCAGCAGACGCGACTCGCGCTGACGCGTCGGGCGTAGGCGCGCGGTGTCGGCACGTGACAGCATTCCCATTTTGGGCAATCCCGCCTGCGGCCGCGCTGGCTGGGTGCCCCGGGGCGGCTGGGGTCGCAGCGCACTGCGGGGCGCGGTGTCGGCGCTGGCTTGGCCGCTGCGGGCAGTGCTGGGGCGCAGGCCGGCGACGGCGGCGGCGCGGCGGACGGCGTGGGGCGGGGACAGCCTGCCCTGAAGCGATCGGATAAGGGCAGGATCTAGGGGCATCGGGGAGACTGTACCGCTCTTGCTCACGTCCTCCATCATCAAGTAAGTCCCCTCGCCGCCTCACCGCTCACCGCAGGCTCACCGTCTCTCTGCGCCCCCGCAACGATATATATCTCCCACCCACCAGGCCCTTCTCCCACCCACTTTCACATCTTCTCTCACGAACCAAGTCGCCAAAATGGAGGATGAGGTAGCAGCGCTCGTACGTGTCTTCCCGTCACTCCCACCGCGAAACCTCTCTCACCGCGCTGTGTCGCTCGCTGCAGGTCATTGACAATGGTTCCGGCATGTGCAAGGCTGGCTGTAAGTTCCATCCGCCCCAATCATCCCATCAGTGCTAATTCGCGTCTCTACAGTTGCGGGTACGCGTTATGACGTTTATATGTGTCTGAGGCATGAATACTGAGAGTTCTGGGCCAGGTGACGACGCTCCCCGTGCCGTGTTCCCGTACGTACCAGCCTTGCCTCCCGGATGAGCGACCGACTCACTGACGTGGCACAGGTCCATCGTCGGCCGTCCCCGTCATCAGGGTGTGATGGTGGGTATGGGCCAGAAGGACTCCTACGTCGGGTGCGTGCACTGTCGATTCGCATGCCATAGCCCCTGTCTCACTCGATAACCCAAGTGATGAGGCTCAGTCGAAGCGTGGTGTCCTCACGCTCAAGTACCCGATTGAGCACGGTATCGTCACCAACTGGGACGACATGGAGAAGATCTGGCATCACACCTTCTACAACGAGCTCCGTGTCGCACCCGAGGAGCACCCCGTGCTTCTCACTGAGGCCCCGCTCAACCCCAAGGCTAACCGTGAGAAGATGACCCAGATCATGTTCGAGACGTTCAACGCCCCCGCGTTCTACGTCGCCATCCAAGCCGTCCTCTCGCTGTACGCCTCCGGTCGTACGACCGGTATCGTGCTCGACTCCGGTGACGGTGTCACCCACACTGTCCCCATCTACGAGGGGTTCTCGCTCCCGCACGCCATCCTCCGTATCGATCTTGCCGGCCGTGACCTCACCGAGTTCCTGATCAAGAACTTGACGGAGCGTGGCTACCAGTTCCACACCACGGCCGAGCGTGAAATCGTCCGTGACATCAAGGAGAAGCTGTGCTACGTCGCGCTCGACTTTGAACAGGAGCTCCAGACCGCGGCGCACTCGTCTGCTCTCGAGAAGAGCTACGAGCTGCCCGACGGTCAGGTCATCACGATCGGCAACGAGCGGTATGTATGGGAACCTTGTCTGCGTATACATGACGTTGAGTTCCCGTCATAGATTCCGTGCTCCGGAGGCGCTCTTCCAGCCCGCCTTCCTCGGCCTCGAAGCCGCCGGTATCCACGAGACGTGCTACAACTCCATCTACAAGTGCGATCTCGATATCCGTCGTGATCTCTACGGTAACATCGTCCTGTCTGGTGGTACCACCATGTTCCCGGGTATCGCCGACCGTATGCAGAAGGAGTTGACCGCCCTCGCGCCCTCGAGCATGAAGGCGAGTAGTGTCTCTGTCGTACCGCAGGCTCCGTTCTAACCCCCATGCAGGTCAAGATCGTTGCTCCCCCCGAGCGGAAGTACTCCGTCTGGATCGGTGGATCCATTCTCGCCTCGCTGTCGACCTTCCAGAACCTCTGGTGCTCAAAGCAGGAGTACGACGAGTCCGGCCCGGGCATCGTGCACCGCAAGTGCTTCTAAGCGCGTTGCATTCCGCGTGTGGTGTCGGTCGGTCGAGTGTCGAGTGTCGTCGGGACTGTGAGAAAGAAGGAAACAACAACGTCGATGTAGATGCCCCCTCCCCTTACGTTACGCTACGCTACGTTTCCGCGATCTGTCTGCTTCTCGAATGCATAGCTTCCATTTTGCGCGTTAATGCTGCTGACGGTTTTGGTCGTCGTCGTCGTCGTCGTCTTTGTCGAAGAGGAAATGTATCATAATGCGTCGTGAAGACATTGAAGTTGTGCGGGCGTTGGATATCTGTTCTGTGGTGCCGTTGCTTCTCCCAAGTGGCAGCTAAGTAAGTGCTCGGATGTCTGAGAGTTAAGCTGACGTCGTTGGGCTAATAAACGAGATGTGAACACAGGATTCATTGCATTCAAGAACGCATTATCCAACTCGTTACACATGTGTAGTCCCAGCCGACGGTGAGAACTGAAGTACTGAAGGCCAGATGTTACCATCCAGGGCTCTGCTGTCGTTACCTCCTCAGTACTCAGGCTATTGGGGCTGACCTGATCGCCGCGCACAGCATCGCTTGCTTCGTCAATCGACAGCTCAGCTACAACTACCCCGCTTCGCTCGTCAGGAGAAGGGCGTCGTCACAACTCACGGTCGAATATACCGGACTTTGGAGGTGCGTCCCGGTGGTGAGATCGACCGCCCGGACTTGGTGAAGCTCAGCGAGGAAATCATGACAGGCGAAGAAGTTCCGTACGTGTTCCAACGCATCGTGTGCATTTATGGCTAGCTGATGTTCATGCTGCGCAGCTCTCGGGCGTCGCAGCAGGTAGGGTATGCGGCGTGACGGTCATCCTTCGTGGCTCGACATCACAAATGGCTGACGAAGCGGAGTGCTCGCTGCATGACGCCCTCTGTCCTCTCGCGAACGGTCGAGGACGTTCGAGGAGACGCGGAGCATGATTCAAGTTGGCGGTGACCGCGCGGAGATGCTCGTGAGCGTCGCGGTCGACAGCGCCGCGCGCACCGTCACTCGGAGCAAGAAGGCACTCGCCGCGGAGGCCTTCGCGCAATCACCGCGCTCACCAGGCAGATCCCGACGATTCTTGCGAACAATGTAAAATATGACTCGAGCGACCTGGTGACAGTACACTATGAGGGGCTTATGCCAGTCTTGGTGTGTGCCAATGTCAATGGTGAACTTATGTGGCTACTAACTTCGGGCGAGACGTGAAAGGGCATTATCCGATCGATGACAGTGCTGGGAATCCTGAGAGCTACAAGCTGAAGTTGCAGGTTGTGCAGCATGCTTAGTACAAATGAAAGGCTGCTGAGAACGATCCACTGGTACTTATTCAGGACTGTGGTTGGTGATACTTATGTCTGTTTGTAGCATCAATGGTTTTTTGTGGGCAAAATCACAGGGCTGTAAGACAGTTATGAGGGTGCCAAAAATGCAATGGGGCTGGTGATATTCCATCTATTGATATCTCAATTGACAGTATCTGTATGAGATGGATGACAATATCTGATTGTTTGAGTCTGCTGCTAGTGACTGATGATATGATGCACTTGACATTATCACAATGTTTGGAATGACTGATTTAAAAAAGGGTCTGGAAACCCATGTCAATCAGGTACTATGATCTAAGTGAGTCATGCTTCATGTTACATTGTGACAGCTGAAAGCCAATAACAATTCAATTCTAGACAGCTAAATGACTTGCTGTACCTAAGATATGCTTTGGCTACTGAGATGCAGGCCCAAAACTCTTCATTGATGAAGGAGTTTGCTTCAGCTGCTCAATGGCTTTATTGAGAACATCCAGGAAGTATGCATGAGTGCAAAATGCATTGGTGTTGCCAGCCTGAGAGGATAATCTCAGCTGTTGACAATGTTGTTAGGTTCATCTCACTGGCATCAAGCAGTGAGCAGACTTACACCAGGATAGAGCTGGAGCAGGTCATTCTTCTCATGTGCCTCATGAGCAGTCTGGATGGCCGATCTAAGCTGTGTCATCACCTCAGCAGCAGGGGCAGAGAGATGCTGTCTAATGAAGTCCTTTGTATCAGCACCTTTGACCACAATAATCCAGGACAGGGGCTGCCTGCGCGTTCGCTGCAGAGCAATTTGCCGCACTTCCATGGCGCCAAAAATGTCCTTGAATACCTTTGCGAGTTCTCCAGGGTACCGCGGAAGAATCAGGAGACGTCGCAAGATTGAGTACCCAAAAACATATCCAATGGACTCGAGGTCATGAACCACTGTATGTTCAATTGGCTCGTTGTTGTCCATTGCTTCTAGTAGCTGGAGAGCCATGAACTGAAGTGTACCCTACAATCACGAATGAGCCAGTGACCTAGGTATTATCCTCAGAGAAAACACTTGCCGTGATAGGCATACCACGAGGTTTCATTTCTGTGAACCTGATGTGCGTGCGGACAGCAGGCTGTGTCATGATGCGTTCACCAGTTGGGCCAATGGCCTTCAGAACGGGTTCCGCAACTTCCTGGTGTACCTGGTATCCAAGCGCAGACTCATCCACACGTGCCATGTCGAGGTCGGACAGGAAACCCGCAGCTTCTGCAGAGCCCATCCAGAGGAACAAATTACCAGGACTGATGTCACGGTGGAGGATTCCTTTCTCGTACAGGTACTGGTGAACTGAACATGGATATTCACATAAATCATTTTGTCCGCACCGCATGCTTGTGACACTCACCTTGCACAATGTCACGGAAGGCACACAGCAGCTGGAGCTCATCGGTATACCTCCACAGAGGTTCGCCAACGATATTGAGGATGATCCGATGAAGCACCCTCGACTCGGGTCCTTCCTCAGCACCACGTATTGCCGCCGTCGTAAGCTTCCTGATTGTCGGAGGAACCTCATAGGTAACATCACCGCCACATACAAGCCGCGGTATTCCCGCCGGACAGTCTTCGAAGGTACTGATCAATGCATATATGTCAGCCTCGCGCGATCGACGGGGGTCACGCCACGATGACTTCAAGACATGAAGACGGCCGGCGAATGCACGCTGGCCTTTCTTCGAATAGACGACCTCGATCACGCGCCACACGGTCGTAGCTCGGCCAAGGAGCGACAAAGACACCCAGATGGGCGGACCTATGGTACACCACGTTCTCCTGCCGGAGTCTTCGAACGGAACGAGGTATGAGGGGAAGCGGGTTCCATCGCCGTCAGGAAGGATCCTTGCTCTGAGCTCGGGTGAGAGGTCCTTGCCAGATCGTGCCACATAGCCCTCCAACTCTCGACGAGTGATCGAGGAAGCGGAAGGATCCTTCCCGAGAGCGGCATCGCTCAACAGACGTGTGAGCGCGCGGACGACCCGTACGAACGTCCTCGCATCTCGTGGGTTCTCCGATCCGGGGTCGGAGTCATCAATGATGCTATGCAGAGGAGAGAGGAGGACACCGCCGTGATCCACGATCATGACTCGGAAGTCCGTGCCCGTAATCAGGAGTATGACCGAAAACAGCCAGAACTGCCGGCAGGAGAGATGGATGCGCGCGTAGTCCGCGCACTGCAAGATAGCTTTATGAACCGTTTTCTGTAAATCCTTGGGCGGTGTGTTCTCAGCCGGGTCGACCTTGATCTCGGCAAACCCGAGGTAACTGTCCCAAGAGTGCGCGACAGACTCGCCGCTGACAAGATCGAAGTCGGGACGTAAGTTCGCGAAACCGGGGGTGTATGCTTCTTCCGCTGACTCCGGGGCATCCCAACGGTGCGTACTATTGGCAGCCATGACAAACCGACGCTGCACGTCCTGCGGCCCGTCATAATCAGTCAGGAAGTCGAAGATGTTTTGCTGTGAAGGTCGACTTAGCATCGAAAGGATTCGGCGAACAACGTCATACGTACCAGAGGGCCATACATCTGTGCCTCGACTTTGCTCTCCTTAACCTTCCGAGCCTGCTTGTTCTTTTCATCCCCGTCCCCACGGCCTACACGGCGAGAGACGACCTTGCGGTCGCTAGAGAGCCTGACAAGCTCCTCGAGATTCTGCGCCTGCTCTTCTTGGTAACGTTCGTGGCAGCGGTCAACGACTGTGGCGTCCTGTTCGAATATGCGGAGACGCTCGAAGACAGAATCCTGGTCGTACGCGACACGTCCGAGGAGCTCTTCGGTGAGTATGCGGTGGTCAGATGTGCTGTGAGCTGCGAAAGTGGTTCCACCGGCGGACGAAGCTTTATGGGGTGAGTATGTGTCGTCCAACATGATGGGAGGGGGAGACGGAGAGGTGATGTTGCTCACCAGAGCTATATATTGAGCCGAGCTCGAAGAAGTCCGGCTCGGTATCAGAACTGTATCTTCTCTCCATGTGTACAACGTGAACAAATCGATGCGGTCTATCAGTCTTCGAGGCGCGCACGCCGGTGTGCCAAGAACGTATTTGTGCTGTGTACCCTGAATTTGGTTTCAGAGCAGCCATAGACCGGAGAACGACTACATACTGTATGCGCTGCCCGTAAGCCTGTAAAAGGCGCGATACGGTGCTTCAAGTGACTAGTCGAATGCCTGCAATTTCCTTGGGTTTGTCTTTGGTTCCTCTGATAAAGCTCCACGCAGTTAGCAGCGTGGATCAGTCTAATTGTCATGCACGGCGCTCACACGGACACGAGCTGGGGTACGAATGTTGTAGAAGCTGATATCAGCGGTCGCCGTAGAAGCCAGATACCGCGGCTAGTGCCACATACACCAGTAGTACGCCTGGACCTACTATAAGAACCTGTAACTGTGAGTATACACCGGGCTTCGATGACAGAACACTTACGGCAGATCTGCGACTCTGGACTCGCAGCACAAAGCGACTCGTGAGTAAGTCTTGTCTCCCGTAGGCAGACCCTAAAGAAGACCTCTTTGAGTGAGGGAGAGGACGGTCTGTGTAAGGGTGGCGTTGTGGCGGCGTGGATGGCGCGAGCGTGTGGCGCGAAAGCTTCCGCCACTGAACGCGTGAAGGTTGGAACTTGCACTCATCGACTCATCCGCTCGCACTGTTGTCCGCCTGTCTGCCTCTGTCTGCCCGCTCACTCACACCGGCGCACGCCGCCCGCCGCTATGATTGCCCGTCCACGTCTCTCCCCTCCGCCCCTGACAGCGGTGACCAGCAGCACTCGTACGTGGCTTCCCGTCTTTCCCACATCTCTCACCGCGCTGCATCGCTCGCTGCAGGTTATTGACAATGGTTCCGGCATGTGCAAGGCTCGCTGTAAGTCGCATCCGCCCCAATCGTACCATTACTGCTAATTCGCGTTTCTACAGTTGCGGGCACGCGTTATGACGTTTAGAATATGTCTGCCCAATGTCTGCCGCATGAATTCCGAGAGATCTGGGCTAGGTGACGACGTTCCTCGTGCCGCGTTCCCGCCCTGCCTCCCGGATGAGCGGCCGACCCACTGACGCGGCACAGGTCCATCGTCGGCGAAGGACTCCTACGTCGGGTGCGTGCACTCTTATTTCGCATTCTCATTTGACAATCGTAGTGGCGAGGCTCAGTCGAAGCGTGGTGTCCTCACGCTCTAGTGCCCGATTGAACACGGTATCGTCCCATCTGGGACGACATGAAGAAGATCTGGCATCACACCTTCTGCAACGAGCTCCGTGTCGATGAGCTCCGTGTCGCACCCGAGGAGCCCCCGTGCTCCCCACTGAGCCACTGAGTGACCGCTACCTCAAGGCCGCCCGTGACAAGATGACTCGACCAATGTGCGAGACGTTCAACGCTTCCACCCAGGCCGTCCTCCGGCTGTAAGCCTGCAGTTGTACGACGGGTATTGCGCGACTCCGGTGATGGTATCACCCACACCATCCCCATGTACGAGGGGTTCTCGCTCCCGCATGCTGTCCCCCGTATCGATCTTGCCCGCCCTGACCTCACCGAGTTACCGATCAAGAACTCGACGCAGCGTGGCTACCGGTTCCACACCACGGCCGAGCGGGAAACCGTCCGTGACATCAAGGAGAAGCCGTGCTACGTCGCGCTCGTCTGTTCTCGGGAAGAGCTACGAGCTTCCATTTTGCGCGTAAATGCTACTGACAGTCCCGATTGTCGTCGTCTTTTCTTCTTGTTGAAGAGGAAATGTATCATTCAGTGTGTCGTGAAGGCATTGAAGTGGTGTGGATTTTGGACATGTGCTCCGTGATGTCGCACTATTTGTCAACAAGTGCAGTTGTTGATGTGCTTGTATATCTGAATATCAATGGAGCAGTGCTTTGAGAATACAGTAATTGACTCATGACTTGGATGAGTGTTGTACTCTTGTTCGAAGAGCTACCAGTGATAATTAATGACCGATGTGCCTGTAAGTTCTGTTTCACTTTCACTGATTTCCTCAAGCAGGCCCTCAAGCTGAATGGTCTTATACTCCAGTACATAGCCAGACATACTGTGTATACAAGGAATAGTTGAACTCATTTGCTACATATAGCCTTCAATCTTCAAATAATGTACAACCAAATGTGTTCCTTGTGCTAGTCATCCTCCGCTACTCCTACATCCCAGAATTGATATCATATAATGACAAGATGTCCAGCATCAGTCTGCCTTCCTCTTCTTCTTGGGGTTGCCAGAAGACTGAGACAAAGCTGAGGAGGGAGATTGGGTAGCTGCATTAAATGTCTTCACAGATGCTGGTGACTTCTCCAGTCTCTTGATGCCTTGATCCAGAACTTTCAGGTAGTAGCTGTGGGTACAGTCTGTCTCTCCACTGGTTTGAATGCCTGAGTCTTCATCCTGTGATGTAACAGAGAAAGGAGTTGGTACTATTGATAGCCTTTTGTATGATTAAGACTCACAGAACTATACATGTCATCTTCATTGGCATTCTGGAGCCTAACATGGGCATCATGGATGGCTTCATTCATGTAGCGCATAACATGAAGCACAGGCCGGGACAGATGTTGGGCTATGAATGTTTGTACTTGATTGTCCCAGCTGGTTTTGACAGCCCATACCAAGGGTGCTCCACTCTCACGCCACTCCATGATATCAAGAAGTGACATGGCACCAAACACCTTCTTGAAGTACTTGTCAAGCAATTCGGGACAACCCTGGCTGCTGGCAAGTCGCCGCAGAGCAGTGTAGCCTAGAACATAGCTGATGGATTCAAGATCATGAGCTGCAGTGTGTCCAATGGATTTTTTGGAACTGATAGAGCCCAGGAGTTCAAGTGCCATGAACTGTAGGGTTCCCTGGAATTATTGCATGTGAACATCTGATTTACGAGACAGAAAACAACAAAACAGAAAACATGCTTACAGTGACAGGGATGTGACCGCGTGTATCGTCAGTGACACTGGTATGTTCGACCTTGGATGCCATATTCACGGGTTCCTCCTGCGCGTGTGGCAGCACACTCTCGTCGAAATGGGCCAAGTCGAAATCAGATAGGAAGCCGGCAGCCTTCGCCGAGGGTCCCGGCCAGAGAAGCAAATTTCCCGCACTGATGTCCCCATGAATGATTCCCTTGCTACACAAATACTCGTGTACTATTCGCAACGGTGAGCCAGGGTACCTGATGCATGAGTTTAGGCTCACCTTCGACGACCGCGCGGAACGCACGCAGAAGCTGCAACTCGTCCGTATACTTCCACAAGCCCTCGCCAACAATGGACAGAACGAGGCGATGAAGCACCTTCGACTCGCTGGACTCTTGGTCGCCACGTAACTGTGCCGTGGTCAACAGTTTTAGCGGCTGACGGTCCCCGTAGAACACGTCTCCGCCGCACAGCAATTTAGGAACGCCCGGAGGGCAGTCTTCATACGTGCCGATTGCCCTGTACAATGCCGCCTCAGGCGACTGCCGCTGATCGCGCCACGACGACTTCAGTACGCGCATCTCGCCAGAGAAGACGCGTTTCGGAGACGTCACTAGCTCGACTACACGCCATACGGTCGTCCCTCGGCCGAATGGTGAAAGAGAGACCCAGATAGGCGGTCCAACTGTGCACCAGGTTCGGGCGTCAGAGCCGTGGAACGGTATAGTATACGCGGGGTAGTAATCGTCGTTCCCGGACACGATCGCCCGCCTGAGCTCGTCGGGGATCGACGACCTTTGCGCAAGCTCTTTCAGTTCCTTCTGTGATAGCGGCGTGACGGAAGGGTCTTGTCCCAGCTCCCTCTCGCTCAGCGATCGGGTGAGAGCACGCACGACCCGTACGAACATCCTCGCGTCCCGCTGGCCCGCGGCGCCGTCGCCGCCATCGTCGATGATGCTGTGTCGCGGAGAGAGAAGGACACCCGCGTGATCAACGATCGCCACCCGGAAATCCATCGCCGTAATCATTAGCACGACGCTGAAGACCCAGAACTGGCGGCAAGCCAGATGGATGCGCGCGTAATCCGCGCACTGCAAAACCACCTCTTTCACCGTCTTGTTCACGTCGTGGGGAAGGTTACCCTCCTCTTGGTCGGCTTTGACCTCAGCGAACCCTACGCAACGGTCCCAATAGTGCGCGGAAGAGCCGGGGTTGACGAGGTCGAAGTCAGGACGAAGTCGAGGGAAACCCGGAGTGAACGCATCTTTCGCCGCGGTCGGGGGGCCCCAGGCATGTGGAACTTGCGCGGCCTCAATGAATCCCCGTATCGCGCCTTCGCGGCCGTCGACGTTGGCTAAATAGGTGAATATGCTTTGCTGACAAGCCACACGAGCATGTAAGCGCAGAGCCTACGCCACAGACGACATGATACTTACGAGGGGCTCATACATCTTCTGTTCCACTTCCCGCTTGCGCTTCTTCGTGCCCAGAGCGCCGCCGCTGTTCTCGCCACGAGATTCATCCATGCCAGTGACTTGAAGCAGTCTCTGGAGATTATCATTCTGCTCGGCTTGATAGCGTTCGTGGCAGCGATCGACGATGGTGGCGTCCTCGTCGTAGATGCGGAGTCTCTTGAATACGGTCGGATCGTCATACTTGACACGTCTCAATAACTCGTCCTTGAGTAGGGCACGGTTGGATGATGATTGCGCTGCAAAATTACCCGCGCCACCAAGAGAATAGGTGGGGGTCAGATATTGAGTCGTGTCTTCCGACATGGTGGACGGGGGAAGAAGGAGAATGCTCACATGAAAGACTACCCTCATCCTCGTCGGAGTAGTCCGAGTCCATATCGATGGTATAGCTTCTTTTCATGACTGAGCACACCGTCGTATCTGATCAGTGCGAGAGGGTACACTTGGACGGCTCGTGAGGCAGGATTCGAAGCACGTTGCGCGAATTACCTAGTCATAACATCGCCGCAATTGAGTATAGCTGCATGAAAACATTGCTCTAGGACGTACGAGTTATGTCTGCCGCACAATATGGACACGGTCAGAATGAGAGGCAAGATGGTTTTTTTTGCTGATTCCAACCACAGCGTCGACCAGCGTCTGCAGCAGGCGATCGTCGGTAACCGCTGAGCGCTGATACCGCACAACTTCTGGGATGCTCTTGGTATTCTCATGCAAACCTACTGGCATGCGGTCAGGACACTCATATGGACTGGTTGAGACGAGTCACCAGCCATCCACGCTAAGCCAATCCAACCTGAGAAGTCGAAGGCAGCGGCTGCAGTATCAGTTGAAAAAGCGGGAAATCTACTCACGATGTTCGCATCAGCCAGCACGACTTCGTGGTGGGACTGACTGTCAACGACGGCCGACTCGGAGGCTGGATCACGTAGTATCGTTGTCAAAAGCACTCGAGCTACCGGGGCTGACAAGGAATTTGGCTCAGTCAGGATTGACGCGAATGAATGTCAAGTTGGCATACCGGCGGTAGTAGTAGGTGTCCTGGGAGCAGATGTTGCGCGACCGTCGTGTGCTCCGTACCGAAGTGAGTAGCCAGTCACATAGATCTCGCCGAATTCAATCGTCCTGCCAACTTACGGGTTACCTGCAACAAGAAACAAGTACGCGCGTAAGTCAGTAGCCTGCTTGTCACATGACAGTGTACATCGTATACGGCCCCACTCGAGTATCGCTTCAAAGCGACGACACCTAACATATATTGTCACCAAGAACGATCACCGATTGTATGTGCACCATTCCACAGTGAGGTAAGTCCTCGCAGCCAACCACCAGTCCTCAACGCTGATACGCGCCAATATGTAGGGCCTATGCAAGCATATGGGGTTTGCCGTGACCGGATAGCATGTCGTGTCTATTAAGGTATACGGGTAGAATACTGATGATGTATGTCCCTCGCCAATCCCGCAATACGCATCAGCATCTACGCCGCCTCGCTCTGCTGCTCCCAGTTGGGGTTCCAGGGGCCAGCGTCGCTGAGCGAGCAGCCGCCGGGGCACTCGCACTTGCCGCCAAACTCCTTGGGGAGGTTCTGCGCGGGGATCTGCTCGAGGAGCTTGGCCTTGTAGTCCTTGCCGAGGATGTCGATCTTGGACACGGTGACCTCGTCGAGCCAGGGCTTGATGATGGACCAGACGGCGGAGAAGGCCCAGGGGGCGTTGATGATGAAGAACTTGCCCATGGACTCGGGGTAGCGGTCCTGGCCGATGGACGACGCCTGCATGACATAGTCCTTGACGCGGTAGAAGTTGGAGATGGACACGCCGGCGAGGTCAAGGATGGTGCAGGACGTCTCGACGGGGTGGCCGATGACGCGGGAGCACGCGGGCATGCGCTCGTTCGTGTTCTTCTCGTACTCGTACACGAGCCGCTTCAGCTGGCGCTCGGGCGTCGTGATCGCGTAGAGCTTGCCGATGTCGAGCTTGCCCAGCTGCTCGATGTACACCGGCCGGCCGTCCTGTGGGGCGCTCAGCGGGCGGGCACGGCGGGTGCGGCGGTGAGCATGCACGGACCTTGTCAATCTTGTGGTAATATTGCGGGTAGTACTTGTCGACCTCTGCCTTTTCCTTGAAGTCAAAGTTTCTGCGCGCGCGATCAGCGGGCGGATGGGCGGCGATGTGCGGAGACGGAGACGTACTGCAGCAGCCCGTCGACGCCAAAGTCCTTCCGCCACTGCTCGCACGCGTACAACATCGTCTTTGCCTTCTCCACATCGAATCGCCTCGCGCGGAGGAAGCTGCAGAGACTCCTCAGCACACGCGCACTCGCCAGCTCTCTGCGCTGCGCGACACTCACCGCAGAAGGAGCGCATCGTCGTGGCGTTCGGGGACAAACTTGCCCTCCTGCTGGAGCTCCTTCTGGAACTTTTCGAGGGCGTGCTGTTGGGGGATGGTGAGGTTGCCGAGGCGGCCAGGCGGGGGCTTGTAGTTGGGGTCTGTCACGCCGGGGGGCATCTGGCTGGCGCTGGCGGGCTGGAGATCTGCCATCGTGTCGGTCTAGCGGGCGTGGTGGTATAAGAAAGAGGCGTGGTCGTGAGCGGTGGTCGTGGCGGAGGCGTGCGGTGGCAGGGGCAGGAGGAGGAGGCAGCGGGAGACTCTGAGGCGATCCCAATCGGGCATGTCCCTGGCGGCCATCGCGCGCGCTGATTGGCTCCCCGCGCAGCTGATTGGCTCCCCGCACGCGCAACGGACACCGCCCCCAGCTCGCCAGTCGGTTTCACGCGCGGTCTTTTCGCATCTCGGTATTGCTACATAGGTCACATACACAACAGCACGACGACGACACACGAAGCCCGGCTGCAAGTTGAGTCGCAGACATCGGGGGGCTTCGCACAAGCAGGGGCGTATACAGGGGCATGAGGACGGCCGGCGACGTCGCGCCGCCGTCCCGGTATCGTGAAAGATGGACAACAGTTGGATGCTGCGGGGTGGGTAGGAGGGGTGCGCAGGTTGAAGTGCAATATCGGGGGTGGTGTTGTACATATAGTAGAGGAAGCAAGGTGAGAGTGGAAGAGTGGCCCAAATATCCCAGCGTAGATGAGCGTGCCGACGCCTATTTAAACTATATCCCAGAGCTCCTCCAGTGCGCAGCAGAACTACCGTGTCTTGCGTGAGTACACCGCACACGAACTCACGCGAAGCGCGCACTCACCTTGCCGCACGCGACCGATGCGCTCAGAGGAAAGTCGCTGATACTGATCTTTTCGTCGACAACCCCGTCCGCAAAGTCGTCCCTCCCTCGCGCCATCGCACCGACGAACACCGCCACGTTGTGCGTCTCGGGCAGCGTCGGCAGGTACCGCGACAGCCGCACCGTGGGTGCGTCTCCCGACAAGGCTACATCGCGCACCATCCGTCAGCACGCACGACGCCCGCGGAGCCGAAGCAGACGGCCACTCACTCAACTTCATCGTGTTCGCGGGAAGATGGTCCGTGACCGGGTTCTGCGCGCATGTTAGCACGGGGCGTGGGACCGGCGGCAGCGCACGCGGCGCGACATACCTTGATGACCTTGAGAAGCTTCTCGGGGCCATTCACACCGCGGATCGAGAGCTTGTGCAGCAATTGGACTGGCAAGGCGAGACGGACACAACGTCAGCGCCGTGAGAGACGGTGGAGGGAGAGGGGGCGACGTACCCATCAGGCCGCTGAACCGCTTGAACGTCCGTGGGATGCGCACATGGGGGTTGACCTCGATGAGAACGCCCTTGGCGGTGTGAATGTACACCTGGAGCAGGCCCGCCTTGTTGAGGGGCGAGTCGAGGAGCGTGAGGAGACACTGTGGACAGATCGATGAGCCCGCTGCTGACCACAGAGAGGGGGCGAGGAAGGCGGCGGTGTGGTGGCGAGGGTGTCCGCTGTGGCCCCTGTCTCGACGGGGCGCCACAATGCGCATGGCACGCACAGAAAAAGACGGTGTTGCCGCGGATCGAGGAGAAAACGAGAGGCGTGGACTGCGGTGCGAGACATACCTGGTGTGTAATGTCCGGGCGCGCATCTGCGATGTCCCTGCCGGTCTTGGCGAGGATGCCCTGGTGGTCGTCGCAGTTGAGGAGGGCATACTTGACCTCGCCCTCGCGGCCGTTCTTCCCGCGGCCATTGCTGCTGACCCTGTACGCCTCCAAGCACGCCTGCTCGAGGATGACAAACAGCCTCCGCTGGGTGTTCGCATTCGGGCCCTTGGGTACGTGCGCCTGGACGGGGAGCATGTGCGGGTTGGCGGCCTGGTACATGGGGTTCTTTGACTGGCCGCTCGCGGCCGGGTTCGCGCTAGCCATCTTGCTCCTGTTTTTCTGGGGCAGCGGTTTGGTCGGGCGTGGTTCAGCGGAATTTTGTTGGCGGTGGTGGTGGGCGCCGGGAGCAGAGTCGGACGCGGACTCTGAAGCGTCGTCCGAGTCTGCGTCGGGATCAATTTGCATGTGCTCTTTTTCGTCGTCGTCGGGCTCTGCGTCGGGGACCTGGCGGCGACGCTGGCGCGGCCGCTCAGCGGGGGGCGTGGACTTTGGGCGGGGCGGGGGGGCGGAGACGGCGGGGGAGCGAATGATCTGGACGGCATTGGCGCCAGAGTAGCGGCGACGGCGGGGCTGGGCGGCGGCGTCGATGGACATGGCGGCGGTGGGCAGGAGGACTCTTCGAGAGGATATTAAATAAAAGACAGATCGGCTGCTGGGTGGGACGAGGGAACACGGCGGCGGCGATCGTGCCAGTGATATGCAGCCCCCAGCGCTTCTGTCCGCCAACTCTCCCGCACTCGCCCAGCGTCGGCCACCCAGTCGTCTCACACATCGCTTCATGTTCCATATCTGTAGTTCTACTGTACATCATCGACACAGTGTTCGCCCGTCTCTCCCTTGCCGCCCCTGCGCCCCTGCGTGCTTACTCGCAATACCTGACACCGCGCCCGCGTCAGCTGCTGCCGGCCCAGAACACGCAGCACCCACCTTCGCTCGCCAAAGTCGCCCAGTCCGGGCACAATGTACGCCTTCTCGTTCAGGCCTTGATCAATCCACCCCGTGATCTGCAAGACGTCAGCCGCCGCGCAGCCTGTGCCGCACGCCCACTCACCACGCGCAGTGCCGGGTACTTTGCGCTGAATGTCTTGAGGCCCTCGGGCGACGAGATCTGGGAGCACGTCTCAGCCGCACGCCCCGCGCAATGCTCGCAGACACCCACCAGGTTGATGAAGATGATGCGATCCTCCGGTACGCCGTGCTCCATGAGCACTTCCACCGCCTTGATCGCCGATCCGCCCGTCGCTGCAACGTGCGTGAGCCCACCTCCGCGACGAAGCCGCGAAACGCACCGAGCATCGGGTCCAGGAGCAGGACATACCGGTGCGCAATGTCCTGCGGGAGCTGTCCGCTACCCGTCAGCACCGCGAGTCCGCGCATGTGAGCCAGTGCACACGGACCTTTGAATAGAACAGCTTCGGCTGCGCCGTCTCCTCATCCTAGCGAGGCCTGAGCGAGTGTCCCCGCGAGCGCTGCACGTACACTCACCCTCTGGATCAGAATCTTCCCGATCCGCACGCTCCTGCAGACCTCCCGCAGCCCCGCCTCCATCGCCTGCTCGCCGTAGGTTAGCGTTCGTCCGCACAGCCCGTCCATATGTACCGTACCTCGCCCGCCCGCAGGATAGACACCCCGCATATGTGCCCCTCGAACCCCACGCCCTCGTACGTCACGCCCTGCCCGATGCCCATCACGCGCGCCGTCCCCGAGTCGGCGCATCGCACTCACCGTCGGCGTCTCGACCGTCTTGGGCACGACCGGGAGGTGGTTGAGGCCCTCTTCGACCAGCAGGCGGATGATGCGGTCCGAGTAGAACAGAAAGTCGCCGCGGCTCGTCGTCTTGTCGCGGATGATCGTGTAGAGCGCCTCGAGCTGGGCGGTGTGCGGCAGCGTGAAGACGGACGGCGGGACGGACGCGGGCGTGTTCTGCGACGTCGGGGCGTGCTCGAGAGGCATCGTCGTGGTGTGCGGGTAACGCTGCGTAGGAGCTTGTCCACGCGATCAGGCTCGAGGACGGGCGGCGGAGCATTATATGCGGCGCCAAGGGCGGATGCTCATCCACATCTCGAAGATCGGCACATCCTCTCCCCCGCCGTCACACCCAGTACTGCACATCGTAGGCGTGCCTCATGCATACTGCTCTCTTCAGGGGCGTCGCGCGTAGATTCTCGTCGAGCTACTCAACACCGATGCAGGCTCAGGGACGCGCGCCGCATGGATCGATCGCGTCCGGGACGTATGTTTACGGGAGTACGATTCCTCGCACGAGTATAAGTTGGCATTCGGTAGTCTCCCGTAGACATTCGGTGAGTAGCTGCTGCGGTCATGCTCGGAGGTCGTCACCATCTTCCGACATCTCCATTTGAAGGTGAGCGTGCCATCAATTGTTTTCCGTGTTCAACAAGCGAGAGAACTGGTACCGTGGTTCACACCCAACACGGGGACTACAATACTGGACTTGATGGTCAAGCTCAAGCTAAACACGGCTTACCGTACCTTTCCAGGTCCCAGCTGAGGATGAGCACGCACGGTCTATTAGCCTGTCTCGTATGTGTACAGTTTTTGATGATGATACCAGATGTCAGCAGCCCACATCGTCCTCTTCACATTCTCATACTGCCTCACGTCTCCGCGGCGTTGCCCGTAGGATATCATCGACGCTATGGACAAACATCAGTACGACCGACCGCAACCTCAGCAAGTGCACTTACCGGATAATCATCTCAGCAGCTTCGCTCGCACTGATCACGACCTGCCGCTTCAGCTTGTAGCTCTCCGTGACACCTAGCGCCTTCATCGACCCGATCGTGCCCTCGTTCATGTCTGGCCCAGTATCAGTATCAGCCAGGTTACTTCGCCTTTAACGGAAGCACACGCACCAAGACCAGCATCCATCCGCCCTTCATAGTGAGCCGCACGGAGCTTCATCACCAGGTCGCTCGAGTCGTACCCTGCATTATCCGCAAGGATCGTCGGGATCTGCCTGAGCGCGTGCGCGAAGGCCTCCGCGGCGAGTGCCTTCTTGCCCGTGACAGTGCGCGCGGCGTTGTCGACTGCGACGCTCATGAGCATCTCCGCGCAGCCACCGCCGAGCACGGTCCGCGTCTCCTTTACCGTCTGCGAGAGGACGGAGAGCGCGTCGTGCAGCGAACGCTCCGCCTCGTCGACCATCTGCGACGTTGAGCCGCGGAGCACAACCGTGCACGCCTCGCCTGCGGCGACGCCCGAGAACTTCGTGAGCTGCCCGACGACTGTGAGCCGGATGTATGTGCAGTTCATATGTCGGGACACCGACCTTGTCCTCGCCGATCATGATTTCCTCGATGAGCTCGCACCGGCCGAGCTTCACCAAGTCCGGGCGGTCGAACGTGCTCACGATCTCACCGCCGGTGACGAGGGACAGCCGCTCTACACCCTCAAAGTCGGCATGCTCGATCGTGACGATGCCTTTGTCCGCGAGGAGCGACTCGGGGTAGTTGTAGATGAGCTGCCTGTTGACGAAGCAGTTGATGCCGTGCCCGGCGATCGCGTCCACCTTCGCCTTCATTTTCTCCTGTGAAACGTATGCGTCAGCGTGTGAGCGAGATACATGAGATTAGGAGAAGAAGCGAGGGTGGGCGAGATCGTACCCGCTCCGCACGCTCGAGCTCGGCGAGCTTCCCAGTGCTGTCCACCTTCACACGCGCTCCGAAGATCTTGATCTTGTCCGTGTCCATCGCTGTTCATGAAGTATATTCAGCTCCGCTCGTGAGCGTGTGGGAGCTGCAGTGAACACTCACAGGTGTTCGCGATGAGAATATTGGCGTTCTCAAGCCGCTTTGGGCAGTTGATGCCGATGGTCTTGTCGAGAATAAATCCTGTGCGGACAATATGACATCTATGCCCTGGCAAGTTGGGAAGAGGGCCCTACCTTCATCGAGGTACGAGTCAGTCAGCTTCTCGCCGACCTTCTTGATAATTTGTATGTGGTCGAGGTCTGTTGAGCCCTGTTCTCATGCCCGTGGTCAGAAGAATCACTCGATAGTACATGCAAATCACATACCTTCAGTCGGAGAACCGCATCGACCGCAAGGTTGGCGAAGTATTCCTTGTCTTGTGAGAGGACTTTTGAGGAAAGGGTGGTCCGTGCGATGTTGAACAGATCTTGTCTGAACTGTGCTGGGTCCGCACTGCGCGTCTCTCCATGAGCCTCAGGCCCACTTAAAGTACCTCCACTTCCCATACGCACCTGTTGTCAATCGCAGCCTTCTCCAGCGCCTGCAGGGCAGCAGCACTCGCGATCCGGAAGCCCTCCACAATCGTCTGCGGGTGGATCTTCATCGCAATAAGCTTTTCCGCCTCCCTCAGCAGCTCCGCAGCCAGAACGCAAACGCTGGTTGTGCCGTCGCCAACCTCGTCGTCCTGCACCTTCGAGATGTTCACGAGGATCTTTGCAGCGGCGTTATCGAGTTGGATCGCTTTCAGGATGGTTGCGCCATCATTCGTGACATTGATATCGCCAGTGGACCCGGACTGGAGGATCTTGTTCATGCCCTTGGGACCGAGGGTCGACTTGACAAGATCGCCGAGCGCAAGAGCGCCGACGAAGGACGAGAGACGAGCATTCTCCGCCTTCTCTTCTGTGGCCTGTGGGTGCAGCGTTGCATGAGTGGCTGCTGGAGAATAATGGATGAGAACAGACCTCTGCTCCGAAGATGTTCATGGACATTTTGGTGGGTGGAAGAGGACTTTGTCGACGCTCGCAGAACGCGCGATCGACGGCAGGCGTCAGACGACGCGTCTTTGCCGGTGGATATGTTTTGGCAGACTACTCACACAGCGCTGTATGCTGCATTACCCGCGGTAAGTCTGCATCAGTATGCTACGCGCGGAACCCTAGGCTAGGGGCTGCGCGCCCCAGACGCGCCCGTACACGTCGACGTCGATCGCGGCTGCGCAGCCACCACACCTGCCCTCGTCCCAGTCGTCGTCTTCCGTCGTTGTCCCCGACGTCCTCCACGTCTCTCCCCATTTCTCGTCCCTCCTTTTCTCCCCCTTCCGTCTCGTCTCTGGTTGCGTTGGTTCCCCCATGTCGGGCGGCGTCAGAGTCCGCGCCGGGAGAGCACCCTCTCCTCCACCTCTTCCTCACGCAGCACCGCAAAGCGCGCGATTTCCCCGCCCACAACACGACCATCTGGATGCAGATGCACGGAGAGAAGCCGCCTCGAAAGGCTACCTGCCGACACGCAGAGGCTACGCGCCCGGAGGCCTTAACATAACCTCCGCAGAATGGAAGCTACTCATCCTCATATCCTTGGTTGCAGTGTTCGTGCGGTTGTACCGTATATCGCAGCCAGATAGCGTTGTGTGAGTTGTGCTTACCGCCGTACGAGATGCCTACTTACGTCCGGCACAGTTTCGACGAGGTACACTTTGGCAAGTTCGCATCCAAGTACATCAAGTCGCAGTACTTCGTCGACGTGCACCCTCCACTAGCCAAGCTCCTCATCACGCTTTCAGGCTTCATCTTTGGATATGATGGCAACTTCGACTTCAAGGATATCGGCAAGTGAGTACACGAGATCACCACAGCGACCTAACCCAGACGTCATATATACAGGGTGTACGAGGCCAATGTTCCATACGTCGCCATGCGTATGGTACCCGCTCTCCTCGGCGTAGCCACTGTCCCCGTAGCATACCTCACACTGCGCGCCCTTGATTGCCGTGCGACGACCGCGCTCCTCGCCTCCCTCTTCATCACCTTCGAAAACGGCCTTGTGACCCAGTCCCGGCACATCCTCCTCGACTCGCCTCTCGTCTTCTTCACGGCTCTCACCGTCTTCTTCTGGACGTGCTTCTGTAACGAAGACAAACACGAGCCATTCACTGAAACCTGGTGGGCCTGGCTCGTGTTCTCGGGTCTCTCGCTTGGCGCGGTCGTCAGCTGCAAGTGGGTCGGGCTGTTCACTATCGCCACTGTCGGTGTCAGCACCCTGAGACAACTCTGGACACTTCTGGGTGACTTGCGTGTCTCGCCACGCTTGTTCATGCGGCACTTCATGGCGCGCGCTATTTGTCTCATCCTGGTCCCAATGCTGTTCTACATGTTCATATTCTGGATCCACTTCATTATCCTGCAGAACCCTGGTGACGGAGACGGCTTCATGAGCTCTGAGTTCCAGCATACGCTCAACGGTCGGGGCATGGCCGACACTTTCGCTGGTGAGTTGCTCGTTGACTACAGTACGCGAACTATAACTGGGATGCCGCCGCGACTCTTGTACGGCTCGGCAAAGTCGGAGGGAGGAATACGAACGTGGCGTGCGGCATCGAGGTTGCGGCTTTGCGTACAGCTGATGTCGTGCATCAGACTGATTTTGCGCAGATATCGGCATCGGTTCCAAGGTGACCATCCGCCATGTGAACACGCAAGGTGGCTACTTGCACTCGCACCCTTCCAACTACCCCAGCGGCAGCAAACGTAGGTGTCACGTCTCTTCGCATGTGTGTTATCATTGAACCATACCCAGAACAACAAATCACCCTGTACCCGCACCGCGACACCAACAACGAATGGAGAGTGCTCAACGCGACGCGGGACGGCGACCCAGACCACGACTGGGAGGGCAAGCCGCTCGCGTTCATCGAGCACGGCATGAAAATCAAGCTGAAGCACATCACTACGGACAAGCACCTGCACTCACACGATCACCGGGCACCCGTGTCCGACGTCGACTTCCAGAACGAGGTCGCGGGCTACGGCGTGCCTGGCTACGCGGGCGACGCCAACGACGACTGGGTGGTCGAGATCTCCGAGGGTGACAAGCGGGACCGGGAGTCGAGCAAGCGCCTGAGGACGTTGCGGACGCATTTCAGGCTGAGGCACGCCATGTCGGGATGCTATCTGTTCTCGCACAAGGTCAAGCTCCCGGAATGGGGCTTCGAGCAGCAGGAGGTGACGTGCAATAAGCAAGCCGTGAAGCTGAACTCGCTGTGGTTCGTTGAGACAGCGGAACACCCGATGCGTACGTGTCGCTGGAAAGCAGACCTGGCCATCGCTGACTTGGGGCATTGCAGTTCCCGCCGACGCGCCCAAGGTCAATTACAAGCTCCCGGGCTTCTTCCGCAAGTTCCTCGAGTTGCAGCAGGTGATGTGGACGACGAACGCTGGACTGACGGATCGGCACACCTTTGACTCTCGTCCCGAGTCTTGGCCCCGCCTGCGCCGTGGCATCGTGAGCGGGCTTATGTCTGATACGGAGAACATCTCGCTGATATCCGTGTGTCAGAACTTCTGGGTGAAGGACCATCGTCAAATCTACCTGCTAGGCAACCCTATGGTGTGGTGGTTCAGCACTGCAAGCGTGTTCGCCTATATCGTCACTCGCGGCTTCCTCGTCCTACGAGCCCAGCGTGGCTACAGGGACTTTGAAAGCAGTACGTCCCTAATCACAGACAAGTAACACTTGATACTCACATAACCTCGTCAGCCCACGTGGTCAAGTACGACACACTGTGTGGGTTCCTGTTCGTCGGTTGGTTGCTGCACTACTTCCCGTTCTACATCATGAAGCGTCAGCTGTTCCTGCATCATTACTTCCCTGCGCTTTACTTCGCGATCTTGCTCTCGTGCGGCGTTTTCGACCTCGTCACGTCCACGCTCAAGCCGCGCATCCGCCTGCAGATCGCGGCGGTCCTTCTGATTGTGGTGATCTGGAACTTTGTGTACCTCAGCCCGATCGCATACGGGAACTCGTGGACGCGGAAGAAGTGCGAAAACGCGAAGTGGCTGAAGACGTGGGACCTTGCTTGGTACGTCCCAGTGCTTTCTTGCGCTTCTGCCGCTGAATTGGCGGTATCTGCTGCAGCAATGAATTCTACGATGACGTGAGTCTGCAATCGCAGCTTCTCGGCCTGACCTGACCGTATTAGCCACAGACCTCGCTTTACAATACACTGCCCGCAACACCGCAGAAATCAGCTGCCGTACCGACCGCGGAGCAAGTCGTGCCTCCCGTCCAGCAAGAGCCTGTGAACGCGAAGAACGTCCCCGCTGACGAAGAAAAGGCGGCTGAGACGTCTGCCGACTTCGGGCAGGCTGAGCCTGGACGGAACGTGTTCGAGGGTGTACTGCACGAAGAGTTGAAGAGCAAAGCGGAGAACCTGCCAGTCAAAGCATCAGAAGACGCTGCCGCTGCGCAGCCCACAGACCTGCCCCCGCCGCCAATTGAGTACGCTGACCCGGAGCCCAAGCACGAAGGCAAGCCTGCCGCTGAGGCTGCAGCGGGCGCTGACGCAGCGGCCGAGAAGCCTGCGGCTCCGGCAGCTCACAAGCACAGCGACGACGAAGACGCCAATCCGCGCGTGGAGGAAGTGCTCGCGCAGATGTCGCAGGTTATGGCGAAGGTCGAGGCAGTGCTCGCGGAGGAGAAAAAGCAAGACGACACAGGGGTCGACCCGGTCATCCCGGGGACGGAGCCGGAGAAGGAGGGCGAGGGCGAAACCCCGCAGAGGGCGCAGGGCGCTCAGCAGGAGGAGGAAGCGGAGGCAGATCGGGTGAGGGGAGAGCTGTTCCCGGACGCGCACCTCGACTAGTTGTTGGTTCGTAGTGTATATTTATCGTCTTGTAGTTAATGTATCCCTTCTGGGACGTCGTTTCTGCGAAACTTGGAGGAACATCCATACCCATTGCCTCATTGACATGAGATCGCCGAGGCCAGCTGCCCAACGCTGCTAAGTTATGAATTGTCCTATCGGCCCCATCTACAGCGTTCAAAACATGTATCACAAGAAATAACGAGGTTACCCTGCTGCCTGCGCCCGTTCCAGCATCTTATTGACCACCACCGGCCTGCCAGGGGTCGGATGAGCACTCAGATCCGCCAACCGTGCCTCTCTCATCCTCCACAGCAGCTGGATGAGAAAGGCCGGGGTGACAATCTCAGGATGTTGGTCTCCGTGCCCGTGGTCCCCAGTGGCCGGCGTGCCAATGGGGCTGTTGCCCATCGGCGTCGCACCCATGATGGCGCCGCTCGCGCTGCGCTTCAAGCTCGCACGCGCCGAGTCCACAGTGCCGTCCTCCTTCCAGCGGTCCCAGAGCGCGTACAGCGCGACGATCTCCTGCGCGATGGTTGCGACGAGGGCCATGTTGACGTTGAGGCCCGCGAGGAAGCCGACGATATCTTGGGGCTGCGCCCGCTTGAGCGGGCTCGTCGTAGTCCGGGACGAGCGCCGCGTCGTACCCATGCCGCCCTGTGCGCCGCCAAAAGCGTGCGGCAGCTGGGACTGCTTCTCGACGTCGCCGCGCGTCTCTTGGTGGATGGCGCAGGCCATGTAGATCGCGGTGACAGCGATGAGATGCGGTGGGTAGATGAGACAGAGCTCAGAGCGGTACGTGTCGTTGATGATGAACCTGGCCGGAGAGTGAGTGGCGGGTGGACGCGATGGGGCGAGGTGGCCTACCATGCCATCTGCAGGGCACCCTCGTGCATCTCGAGCCTGCCCTCGCCTGTGCCCCAGTACCGCTGCCCGTTGTCGATGCCCGCACCCAGCTCGCCCGCCTCGGCATCGCTGATGCTGTCACTGCCCTCCTTCCAGCACAGGGTCATGAGGGTGCGGTACGGGTGGAAGACGGTGAGGTCGCATTCCAGGTCATCGACGAGGTAGAACTCCATCTCCGCCAGCTTGGAGTTGTCCGAGGGGAACGTCTTTATGCCATACTCTGCCGTCCGGTCAGCATACCACGCGGCGCGTCCGGGACGACGGTGCTCACTGCTGAAGAGGCCGCGGGCCTCGGAGACGACGTTCTTGATGTGCACGGGCGACTCCTCCGCCTTCGCAGCGACGTAGCAGCACGCGGCGATGACAATGAACGGGTCGGTGTCGCAGTACGAGTTCTTGAGGTAGAAGCGGCGGAAGAAGACGGTCGCGGTCGCGATCACCCGCTGTCTGAGGGATAGCTTCTTGCCTAGCCTTGCGATGACTGGCGGCGATGTTCAGCAGATGCGTAGCTCTCAGGGCTGACAACTCACGACCAGCAAAGAAGAGGGCGAGGAAGTCGAGGTGCTCAGGGTGGTCGACATAGTGGATGTCCTCGGCACGCGCCTGCCTGAGCGCAGCCCTGTCCACATTCCACCTGGTACTGCTTCGTTCAGCCTATCCGTCCATCCTCGTTATGTGCGCCGAACTCACTTGTGCGAGCTGACCCAAAAGTCAGTAGCCATCGCCCATCGTGGCCTCCGCGAACGCGCACGGAAGCGCGCATGGCCTCCAAGCCGCCACCGCCGTCTCCCGCCCACCTCCTTCGCGCCCACGGTGCCGCGATACCCAAAGGCCCTCGCGTTCTCAAACGACAATGAACGGCTGCACACTGGCGACGCAGACCGCACGGTTGCACGGACACGCGTACGCTGAGGCCCGTCGAGGTGCGGCACACACCGATGGCTTGCTCGGGATACAGGAGTAGGAGCTGTAGGACGGACAGATCATCACGTACGTCGCGTTTCATTATACTGGGCATTCATAGGAGTAACCCCATGTTAGGCATGGCAGACACAACAAGCTGCACGTCTGGCAGCGCGTCCAGGAGCCCGCTGCAGCTCTGCAGCACCACCGTGACTCGGCTCACAGACGTCTCAGCTATGTTACTCTATGGACGTGAACGTGCTGAGCTACTGCCGGGTTACCCTCATGCCCTGAGTGGGATCTACTCGTTCTGAGGAATGTTGCGCTCTCATCGTAGTGGCGAACCTTGCCGATTCTTTCTCGGACCAGATTTCGAATGACTGCGCTAAACTATCAGACTGCTTTAGGCGGACATGTGGACGTTGCCGCCTGGGGATAGGCTTCACGCTGCAGTTGGGACAGCAGGCTAACCTGACGTCCCATCCCTGGTTTGTCTCGGTGTGAATTCTACTGGTACGTTCCATGGATTTGCGTTGTCAGTCTCCGCGAATCATCTCATTGCACGTGTGGATATTACGGTATTGTTGCTTCAATCCCCTTGCCAGTCGATATTTGCTCACGCTAGTCTAAAGGAATTGAAGAAGACCACGCGTGCGCGCAAGCAGCGTTCACGGTTCAATCGCCCAGGCAACGCGTTAATTAACGTTCACGATGGCGATGGGGTGCACGCGCTCAGTGCATGGGATGGCAAGTGCATACTTCCTTGCGTAACGGCGCATTCGACGTTTGACCTTTATACCTAGAATTCAGCTGTACTCTACGAGGAACCTGAAGAGCCTCGGCACGCTGGATACCACAAGACAAGCTGCCAGGTGATCGTATTCGCCCGACCACAGCCACCGAGTGGTGCTGATGACCACATGGACGAGGAGGACAAGGCTGGGTCGACGATGGCTCGCTGCTGGCAGCCGAGACCTGCGCGTCTCGTTGTGGACATTAATGGACTTCAGGTCGCACTCACAGTGGACATGTCTTGCTGTATCATCATGATATGTGTGATACAGTACGAATGCCTTTGCTCGCTGAGCTACGCGGGCCCTGGAACTCAACAGGGCGCAGCAGAAGTCGGCGGCATAGATGCTTACGGGACTGGCGAGGGACATGCATCATCAGTATCTTACCCGTATACGAGTGGAGGATTGGTACATGCAATGCCGCTATCGGCGCTCACCCAGGTGTTCAGTGGAGAGCGGGACCGGCTGCAAGTACCGCGCTGTGCAATGCTGCACATCCATGCATTGACTGTCAAGTCGATGATGACCTACTTCTGCCAATTCGTACTTAGAGCAAGGGGCGGAGTCCGTGTCATGTGACACCTTGTTCAACAGCTCCCTCGACGCTCTCCGAATCCCATCTTGCTCCCGACGCCATACATACTTAGTCTCATACTACTCACCGCTCGTGCTACTGACTTTGATACGAAGCACGGAGCCCTCCGCAGGCGACGATCGGGCAGCATCCGCGTCCAGGCGCGTCTTCCCACCAGTACGTCAACTCAGAATCGGTATCGACTTGATATATTCATCGCCAGCTCTACTTAGCAGCCCCAGTGGTCCGAAGAAACAAACATCGTTACTCCGTGTCATAGCATCCGAACTGGCTCGTTAATAGTCAGTGTTCTGGTTTGTAGTCGCGGTTGTAACTTAACGCTCATATTCAGGTCACGACTCGAGTAGACCGCCAGCTGCTTCCAGTGTATATTGCGGTCGCTGCCTTCGCGGGTGGCTGATGACTCGTAACGACCAACCATCATGAAGAGAAGCCACGGCATCTTGATTGATTCGGAGTACTCCGACGAAGACGATAGCCTTTTGTGTGAGCATTCTCCCTCTTCCCTCCCAGTCATCCATCATGTCGGAAGACAAAGCTCAATATCTGACCCCTACCTATTCCCTTGGTGGTGCGGGGAATTTTGCAGCTCATTCATCGTCAAATCATGCGCTACTCAAAGAGGAATTGCTGGGACGTGTCAAGTACGATGATCCGACCGTTTTCAAGAGACTTCGCATCCAAGACGAGGACGCCACAAACATCGAACGCTGCCATCAATTCTATCAAGACAAGCAGGACCACAACCTCCAGAGACTGCTTGAGGTCACCGGAAAGATTGATCCTCGAGGCGAGAAGCGCAAGCGGGAAGTAGAACAGAAGATGTACGAGCCCCTGGTAAGTATCATGCCTTTTGTGGCGTAAACTTTGTGCTTACTATATGGCCTTCCAGCAACAGATCTTCAACTTCTTGGCCAACTTCGACGGCCGTGCAGGTGTGAGACGAGACTTCATCGAGTCTGCGCAAGCGCCACACGCCTGGGCTCCCCCGACTGCGGCCAAAGATGCATTCACTCCGGGTTTCCCTCGATTCCGTCCCGACTTCGACCTCGTCGATAAGGGCTCTTCCGCACACCACTGGGACAGATGTGTGGGGTTCGTCGAGGTCAAAGCCGACCGAGAGGATGGTAATCCTCCCCAAGACATGAACAAGACGGTGAAAGAGGTGGTCATGCAATGCGCGGATTACGCACGCATCCATCTGGCTTGCCGCCAGTTCTGGGTTTTCAGCGTCGTGCTAATCATTACGGCGATGGACTTTCGCGTGGCAATCGTCGATCACACGGGCGTTCTTCTCTCTCCGCGACACAGCATCATCGACGATCGCGGCGACGGCGCCGGCGGACAGCGGGACGCGAGGATGTTCGTACGGGTCGTGCGCGCCCTCTCCCGATCACTGAGCGAGAGGGAACTGGGACAAGACCCTTCCGTCACGCCGCTATCACAGAAGGAACTGGAAGAGCTTGCACATAGCTCGTCCATTCCCGGCGAGCTCAGGCGAGTAATCATGCCTGGGAACGATGATTATTATCCCTCTTATATCGTTCCGTTCCACGGGCCTGATAATCGAACCTGGTGCACGGTCGGACCGCCGATCTGGGTGTCTCTGTCGCTTTTCGGCCGGGGGACAACCGTATGGCGTGTGGTCGAGCTAGTGACCTCAAACACGAAGCGCGGCTTCTCTGGCGAGATGCGCGTACTGAAGTCGTCGTGGCGAGATCAGCGACGATCGCCTGAGGCGGACTTGTATCGGGTCATCAGCACGTATGATGACTGCCCTCCGGGCGTTCCTGAACTGCTGTGCGGAGGAGACGTGCTCTACGGAGATCGTCAGCCGCTGAAGCTGTTGACCACGGCACAGTTACGTGGCGACCAAGAGTCCAGCGAGTCGAAGGTGCTTCATCGCCTCGTTCTGTCCATCGTTGGCGAGGGCTTGTGGAAGTATACGGACGAGTTGCAGCTTCTGCGTGCGTTCCGCGCGGTCGTCGAAGGTGAGCCTAAACTCATGCATTAGGTACCCTGTCTCACCGTTGCGAATAGTACACGAGTATTTGTGTAGCAAGGGAATCATTCATGGGGACATCAGTGCGGGAAATTTGCTTCTCTGGCCGGGACCCTCGGCGAAGGCTGCCGGCTTCCTATCTGACTTCGACTTGGCCCATTTCGACGAGAGTGTGCTGCCACACGCGCAGGAGAAACCCGTGGATATCGCATCCGAGGTCAAACATGCCAGTGTCACTGAGAATACACGCGGTCACATCCCTGTCACTGTGAGTGACACGTGCCTTGTTCAGTCATGTCCAGATATTGACCCACAATTATTCTAGGGAACCCTTCAGTTCATGGCACTTGAACTACTGGGTTCTGCATTCTCCAAGAAGGCAATTGAACACACTGCAGCCCATGATCTTGAAGCCATCAGCTATGTTCTGGGATATACTGTTCTGCGGCAACTCACCAGTGGTCAAGGTTGTCCTGGGCCGCTTGGCGAGTACTTCAAGAAGGTGTTTGGTGCCATGTCACTTCTTGATATCATGGAGTGGCGTGGGAGTGGGTCACCTCTGAAATGGGCTGTTTCAAACAGCTGGGATGAGGAAGTAGAGGCATTTCTCAGCCAACATGTCTCTGGGCCTGTTGCTCATGTTATGCACCATATGAGCCAGGTAAATCAGAATGCCCACCTCAGGATAGAGAATGCCACTGCAAGGCGCAGATATGAGTCTGTGAGTCTTACCCTTATAGAGCCCACTTGACAGTGCTAACTTTCTAATCTGCTACATTGCAGGATGATGACTCAGATACTGAAGCCAGTGAAGAGAAAGACTGCACTCACAGCCACTATTTGAAGATTCTCAATAAAGGCATAAGGAGACTGGAAAAATCCCCAGCATCTGTGAAGACATTCAGCCCAGTTTTGCAAACCCCTTACTTGGCCAAATCTCACTCCTCTGGCAACCCTAAGAAGAAGCAGAAGAAGGCAGTCTGATTACTGGACCAGTGGGTGCCAACAGAGGAATGTTGTATGTAATTGGCACATGAGGAGCACAGTTTTACCTTTCGTAACATGTACTTAGATGCCATATGCATGAGATATTGATTGTATATTCTCATGCTGTCAAAGTCACATTCTATCAGGCCATAGTAGCACAGTGTAGCATCAGGGGAGGGCAGGGCATCTACATCACCTTTGTGATTTCTTTAATAAGGCAGGCGTACTCCGTTTAGATTGCGGTTCCGTTCTCGCCTCGCTGTCGACTTTCCAGAACTTCTGGCGATTGAAGCAGGAGTACGACAAGTCTGGCGCGGGCATCATGAATACAAGTGCTCTAAGCACACCGCATGCCGCGTGTGATGCATGGGGGTCGAGTGGCGACTATCACAAGGACTGCGAGAAACAGGAGCGACGACCTTGACCTACTGAGGGCCCTAGTACGGAATCGACAGCATGACATGAATACTAACCGCCTGCATCACCTGCATGTTCGACGGTGCGGAGGTCGTAGAGCTTGATCTGCATACAATCGGCGATACTAGTGAATATGGTGGTACCAACGGTCAGCACGATGTCCCCGTAGAAATCACGAACGGATACCAAGATCGACTTTACATCTGAAGTCGTAGCAGAATATTGTGGATATTCGCGGCTTCGAGTCCGAGCTAACTTCGGAGCATGGAACCTAAAGGCGACACTCAGTGTCATGTAAACCCACGCAAGTTTTCCGTACATACCGCTCGTTGCCGATGGTGATGACCTGACTGTCTCGGGCAGCTCGTGACTCTTCTCGAGAGTAGACGAATGCGCAGCGGTCTGAAGCTCCTATTCAATGTCGAGCGCGACGTAGCACAGCTTCTCCTTGATGTCACAGACAACTTCACGCTCGGCCGTGGTGTGGAACTGGTAGCCACGCTCCGTCCAGTTCTTGATCAGGAACTCAATGAGGTCACGGCTGGCAAGATCGATACGGAGCATAGCGTGCAGGAGCGAGAAACCCTCGTAGATGGGGACAGTGTGGGTGACACCGACACCGGAGTCGAGCACGATACCGGTCGTATGACCGGAGGCGTACAGCGAGAGGACGGTCTGGATGGTGACGTAGAACGCGGGGGCGTTGAACGTCTCGAACATGATCTGGGTCATCTTCTCACGGGCGGCCTTGAGGTTGAGCGGGGCCTCAGTGAGAAGCACGGGATGCTCCTCGGGTGCGACACGGAGCTCGTTGTAGAAGGTGTGATGCCAGATCTTCTCCATGTCGTCCCAGTTGGTGAAGATACCGTGCTCAGTCGGGTACTTGAGCGTGAGGATACCACGTATCGAATAAGCCAAGGGGCCATGGCATGCGAAATAAAAGGGCACGCACCCGACGTAGGAGACCTTCTGACCCATACCCACCATCACACCCTGGTGACGGGGACGGCCGACGAGGGACCTGTACCACGTCAGTAAGTCGGTCGCTCATCCGGAAGGCAAGGCGGGGTACGTACGGGAACACGGCACGGGAAGCGTCGTCACCTAGCCATATCTCTCAGTATCCATGCCTCAGACGCATAACGCGGACCCGCAACTGTAGAGACGCGTATCAGCCCTGATGGGACGATTAAGACGGACTTGAGACGGACACGACTTACAGCCAGCCTGGCGAATGCCGAAACCTTTGTCAATGACCTGCAACGAGCGACGCAGCGCGGTGAAAGAGGCTTCGCGGTGGGAACGACGGGAAGACACGTACAAGCACTGCTGGTCGCCGCTGTCAGGGGCAGAGGGAAGGAGAGACGCGGACGGGCGATCATAGCGGCGGGCGTGGAGGCGGGTGCGTGCGGGCAAGCAGTCGGGTGGATGTTGGTCGCGGGCGTGAGCAGGCTGGCGTACGTCGGTGCCAGTGAGCGGGCAGACAGAGGCAGACAGATTGAGATAGTGCGAGCGGGTGAGTTGATGAGGGTAAGTTCCAACGTTCACGCGTTCACGCGTCCAGGACCACGACTCGGATGTGGCTGAAGCTTTCGCGCCACACGCTCCCGCCGCCACAACACCTTGTAGACGTTCGCCCAGGCCGCCGTCGCTTCAAGCACCGTGTCGCGCCGTTTAGGGGATTACGAGCGCACAACTCCAAGTACGTCGTTGTTCTCCGCTTGATGTCTGCTCTGGAACTAAATGCTCACCGATGTGCACGCGATAAGTAGACCGCATCCATCTGTCCCCGGGTACAAATGGACTCGACAAGATACAGTCTTGATTCCGAACCGGAGCTGGTCTCGGAATATAGCTATGGTGAGCGACATCGCTTCTCCGTCTCCGCCCATCATGTTGTGCGACAGACTCACTTATGTACAATTTTCACCCCGTAAACCTTCGTCTGCCGGCGGACATGCTCATTCAGCTCACAGCACGTCTGAGCACCGCACACTCACGCAGGAGCTCCTCGGACGTGTCGCGTACGACCAGGACTCTGTCTTCGAGCGACTCCGCATATTCGATGAGGACGCCACGGTCATTGACCGCTGCCACGGACGTTACCAAGTGGAGCAGGCGCAGAATCTCGAGGACCTTGTCGGGATCTCTCGCGACCCCGACGTCGTCTCTCGCGGTGTAAGTCGTGGGGACGGAAATGAACAGACGTGGCAGGATCGGAAGCATCAGGAGACCGAAGTCGAAGCACAGATGTATGGCCCTCTGGTATGTCTGACGCTGTTAACCGAATCCTTTCGATGCTAAGTCGACCTCAACAGCAAAACATCTTCGACTTCCTGACTGATTTTGACGGGCCGCAGCACGCGCAGCGTCGGTTTATCATGGCTTCCAATAGTACACACCATTGGGAGGCCCCGGAGTCAGCGGAAGAAGCATACACCCCCGGTTTTGCGAGATCACGTCCCGACTTCGATCTTGTCCGCGGCGAAACTGAAGCGCACTATTGGGACAGTTACCTGGGGTTTGCCGAGATCATGGTCGACCCGACTGAAAACGAACCGCCCAGGGATTTACAGAAAACGGTCGCTAACGCTGTGTTGCAGTGTGCGGACCACGCGCGCATCCATCTCTCCTGCCGGCAGTTTTGGATTTTCACAGTCGTACTCTTGATTACGGGCACGGACTTCCGAGTCATGATCGTGGATCACGGCGGTGTCCTCCTCTCTCCTCTACATAGCATCATTGATGATTCCGACCTCGGATCGGCGGGCCCACGAGATGCGAAGACGTTCGTACGGGTCGTTCGCGCGCTCACGCGTCTGTTGAGCGATGACGCTCTCGGGAAGGATCCTTCCGCTTCTTCGATCACTCGTCGAGAGTTGGAGGGCTATGCGGCACGATCTGGCGAGAACCTCTCGCGCGAGCTCAGAACAAGGATCCTTCCTGACGGCGATGGAACCCGCTTCCCCTCATACCTCGTTTCGTTCCCAGAGTCCGGCGGGAGAACCTGGTGTACCATAGGTCCGCCTATCTGGGTCTCTTCATCACTCCTTGGTCGAGCTACGACCGTGTGGCGCGTGATCGAGGTTGTCTATTCGGAGAACGTCCAGCGTGTATTCGCCGGCCGTCTTCATGTTTTGAAGTCATCGTGGCGTGACCCCCGTCGATCGCGCGAGGCTGACATATATACATTAATCAGTACCTTTGAAGACTGTCCGGCGGGAATACCGCAGCTCGTATGTGGCGGTGATGTTACCTATGATGTCCCTCCGACAATGAAGAAGCTTACGACGGCGGCCATACGTGGGGCTGTGGAAGGACCGGAGTCGAGAGTGCTTCATCGGATCATCCTCAATATCGTTGGCGAACCTCTGTGGAGGTATACCGATGAGCTCCAGTTGCTGTGTGCCTTCCGTGACATTGTGCAAGGTGAGTCTTGCCAGCATACAGTACGGACAAAGCAATTTATGCAAATATCCATGTCCAGTTCACCAGTACCTGTACGAGAAAGGAATCCTCCATCGTGACATCAGTCCTGGTAATATGTTCCTCTGGACAGGCCCCTTGGCAGCAGCTGCAGGTTTCCTGTCCGACCTCGATATGGCACGTGTGGATGAGTCTGTGCTTGGACACCCGGTACACCAGGAAGTTGCAGAACCTGTGCTGAAAGCCATTGGGCCAACTGGTGAACGCATCATGACACAGCCTGCTGTCCGCACGCACATCAGGTTCACAGAGACGAAACCTCGCGGTATGCCTATCACGGCAAGTGCTTTCTCTGAGGATAACACCTAGGTCACTGGCTCATTCGTGATTGTAGGGTACACTTCAGTTCATGGCTCTCCAGCTACTGGAAGCAATGGACAACAACCAGCCAATTGAACATACAGTGGTTCATGATCTCGAGTCCATTGGAAGTGTTCTTGGGTACTCCATCTTACGACGTCTCCTGACTATTCCGCGGCACCCTGGACCACTCTCAAAGGTATTCAAGGACATATTTGGTGCCATGGAAGTGAAGCGCATTGTTCTGCAGCGAACGCGCAGGCAGCCACTGTCCTGGTATGTTGAAGTCAAAGATGCTGTTACAAAGCACTTTATTACAGACCATCTCTCCCCCCCTGTTGCTGAGGTGATGAACTGCCTTGAGAGGGCCATCAAGGCTGCTCATGAGGCAGACCGGAACAACGAGAAGCTTGATATGTATCCTCGTGTAAGTCTGTTCACTGCTGGATGTGATGGCCCTAACAACATTGTCAACTAGTTGAGCAGGGACTCTAGCACCAATGCAGTTTGCACCCATGCATACTTCCTGGGTGTTCTCAATGAAGCCATTGAGGAGCTGGAGCAAACTCCTTCACTAATGAAGAGGGTTGGGACTGCATCTCAGTAGCCAAAGCATAGCTTAGGTACAGCAAGTCATATAGCTGTCTAGAATTGAATTGTTGTTGGTTGTCAGCTGTCACAACTCACAATGTAATATCAAGCATGACTCACTTAGATCATAGTACGTGATTGACATGGGCTTCCAGCACCCTTCCTTATCAGTCATTCCAAACATTGTGATAGTGTCAAGTGCATCATATAAGTATCACCGACCACAGTCCTACGTCACTGTGGTGTGACACGGACTCGAGGCTCATTGTAGGTGTGATGCCGGATCCTCTCAGGTCCTTGTCATAATACGTAAGAATTTTACAGTAAAGGAATTGCCCATCGGCGGGGCACTGATGATGGCCCCGCTCGCGCTACAATAAGCATTCCCGCGCCGAGTCCGTACTGCCGGCCTCGTTGTAGTGGCCCCAGAGGGCGTAAATCGCGCCGATCTCCTCCGCGATAGTCGCGACGAGAGCCATTCACCGTTGAAGCGCTGCACCCGCTTGAGGAAAATCGTCGTGTGGGACAAGGAGTGCGAACCCACGCCGCCCTGAGCGCCGCCAAAGGCGTGCGGGAGCTGGAACTGCTTCTCGATGTCACCGCGCGTCTCTCGGTGAATCGCGTAGGTAATGTAGATCGCAGTGACGGCGCCGAGGTGCGGCGGGTACTAGAGGAGACAGAGCTCAGAGCGGTACGCGTCGTTGATGATGAGCCTGGAGGCGTATGAGTGAGTAGCGGGTGCATGCGATGGGGCGAAGAGACCTACCATGGGCCTACCAATTAGTACCATGCCATCCGCACTGTGCAGGGTGGTCGACTGACTCGACATCGCGGATGTCCTCGCCGGCACGCGCTTGCCTGGGCCTGAGCGCAGCTCGTCGACCCTGCACCTGGTACTGCTTCACTCAGTCTATCGGGCCTTCACAGTTATATGCGCTGTACTCACTGGTCCGAGCTACATAGCTCAAGAGGCCAGTGGCCATTGACCATCGCCCAGCGGCCCATCGTGGCTTCCGCGAACGCGGGTGGCGAGAAAGCGCGCATGGCCTCCAAGCCGCCACCGCCGTCTCCCGCCCACCTCCTCCGCACCCACGGTGCCGCGATAAAGGCCCTCGCGTTCTCGGACGACAATGAACGGCTCTACTCTGGCGACGCAGATGGCACGGTCGCTGTTACCAACACGCGCACGCTGCGGCCCGTCGCGGTGTGGAAGGCGCATACCGATGGCTTGCTTGGGATCCAGGAGTGGGATGGACAGATCATCACGTACGTCGCGTTGTATTGTGCTGGACATCCTGAGGAGTAATCCTATGTTAGGCATGGCAGAGACAACAAGCTGCACGTCTGGCAGCGCGTCCAGGAGCCCGCTGCAGCTCTGGGCAACTCTGCAGCCCCGTTAGGCCTGCAGACGCCCCAGCTATGTTATTCTATGGATGTGAATGCGCTGAACTACTGCCGATTCTCGCTGCTGCCCTTGGCGGGTGCTTCTTGTACCAAGGAGTGTCACGCTCTCATCGCGGTGCCGAACCTCGTCGAGTCTTCCTTTGTAGGTATCCCTCCTAGAGGGACCACGAATTGAGTGAACTCAGCCATCAATTGTTGTAGGCAGACGTATGGACGTTGTCGTCTCGGAAGAGGATGCATGCTGCAATTGGCAAGGGGGGCCGCCCTGATGTCCCGTCCCTGGACGGCCGCAGTACAAACTCCACTGGTACGTACGATGCATACAAGTCCTGCCTTCTGGATTTAACTGCATATGCATACAGGCATCATTATGTCAATGCACCTATACGAAAATACGCATCCGCACACTTCCGGCCGCACGAGCCTTCGTTTGCTGTGTGGTTACGAGAACGGTGCTGTCACATGCTGGGGCTATACGCGCACGGACAAGGAAACGTCCATCGAGGGGATAGGCTGGGACGCGCTTTGGAACGTCAGGCTGCATGTAGAGTCAGGTATGTAATTCCCCTTGTTTTGACTGTTGTTCAAGTCTAAAACTCGCGGTCAGTGATGGCGATGGCAGTTTCCCGGGACAACTCATTCGCGTTGACAGTCTCTGCGGATCATCTCATCGGTCGTTACGACATCAGGGTCAGTGTGTTTGGCTGTCCCCCGTCCAACGTTGCTCAGGCATTTTTCTAGACAATTGAAGAAGACAATGCGGACGCGGACACAGCATGCACGGCTCATAGAACAAAACACCCCGGCAACGCGTCGATTGACATTCACCACGATGGCCGAGTATGCGCAGTCGGTGGATGGGATGGCAAGTATGTACCCCCTTGCGCAACGGCGCACTCCACGTTGAACCTGTACTCGTAGAATCCGGCTGTACTCTACGAAGAGCCTGAAGAGCCTCGGCGCGCTTGAATACCACAAGACGAGCTGCCAGGCGGTCGTGTTCGCCCGACCATACCCACCGAGCGGTGCCGAGGGTAGCACGAACACCGACGAGGCCGATGACGAGATGGACGAGGGGGACAAGGTTGAGCGGGGACGATGGCTCGCTGCCGGTGGGCAGGACCAGCGCGTCTCGCTGTGGACATTGATGGACTTTGACGGGTCGCGGGAGAAGTAGGAATATCATTCTTACCATCCATAGCCAGTTCTCGTAGAGTAGTATAACATGACCAGCTCGTGAGGGTCTAAAGCCGCAAATCGGAAAGTCTTGAGCCTGCATACCCGGGGCCATGGTCTAGTGAGGTTGCGAGTGCCGAGAGAGCCCGAAGTCGCCCGAGGCCGCATAAAAGTGACCGGTCACGCGTCTCTTTCCTCACCACCCATCCCCGTCGTCCTCGTCGTCGCCCATCCTATCCTCCTCACCGCCCACGACGCCCGCCATGTTCGCCCGCAGTGCCGCCCGCAAGCTCGCCGCCCGCCAGTTCTCCACGTCGGCTGCGCGCAACATCAATGTCACCGTCCTTGGCGCTGGCGGCGGTATCGGCCAGCCGCTCTCCCTCCTCCTCAAGCTCGACCCCCACGTCACGAAGCTCAACCTCTACGATATCCGCGGTGCACCTGGTGTCGCCGCAGATGTGAGCCACATTGACACCGCCAGTGAGGTGCGCGTTTCGTCCGGCCGGGTGTGAATGCGAACGCGTACTGAATGCAACGTCATCCCGCAGGTCGAGGGCTTCGAGGCCGACAAGCTCGAGGAGGCTCTCGAGGGCGCGGAGGTCATCGTTGTCCCCGCTGGTGTTCCCCGTAAGGTACGTAACGTAACAGCATCTCCACTGAGTCGCTTCTGATGATAACCTTTCTAGCCTGGCGTGAGTCTGCTCGTATGATGCCCGTATTGCCGCAAGCCTAATTCATTGCAGATGTCCCGTGATGACCTCTTCAGCACGAACGCTTCCGTCATCCGCGACCTCGCGACCGCTGCCGCCAAGGTTGCGCCCAAGGCGCACCTCTGCATCATCACCAACCCCGTCAACTCCATGGTCCCGATCGCCTCGCGCGTGTACGACAGGGCGGGTGTGTACGACCCGAAGCGCATCTTCGGTGTCTCGACGCTCGACGTCGTCCGTGCGTCGCGCTTCCTCGCGGGCATCGTCGGCGGGGACCCCGCGGACACGCCCGTGACCGTCATCGGCGGACACAGCGGCGAGACGATCGTGCCTCTCTTCTCGCAGACGCCTGCGGCGAAGCGCATCACCGGTGAGGCGTACAAGAAGCTCGTGCACCGCGTGCAGTTCGGTGGGGACGAGGTCGTCCAGGCCAAGGCCGGTGCGGGCTCGGCCACTCTCTCGATGGCGTACGCCGGTGCGAAGTTCACGAACGCGCTCTTACGCGGTATCGCGGGCGAGAAGGGCGTCATCACCCCCTCGTATGTCCGCAGCCCGCTCTACGAGAATGAGGGCATCGAGTTCTTCGCGTCCAACGTCGAGCTTGGCGTAAGTGCTCACACTTGCTCTGTCAGATTCGCTACTGACGATCATATCCATAGCCCAACGGTGCTGAGAAGATCTACCCTCTCGGCCAGCTCACCGCTGAGGAGGAGGAGTACCTCAAGGCCTGCAAGGATGGTCTCAAGAAGAACATCCAGAAGGGCTTCGCGTTCCTCGATTAGATGGACCATCTAAAAGCATGTACTAGATGTGTTTACGTCACGACGTAGACCATTAATGCTGTATTTTGCCCCTGCATGCGTGAGTTACTGGGGAGACTTGCTCGGCTCGACGCCCAGTATCCTCTGTCTACAGCATCCCGTGGTATCCTTCGTCGCGGGAGCTGAATGCCATGAGCGCACTGTTTTCCGCTTGAGTTGATTGATCGGCAGGCATGAACAGACCTGAGATGGCATGAACAACTGGAACGACTAAGCACTAAACTCTGCTAAGAGGGCTTACCATCTATCCGTGCCTTGTACCCTTCCCTTTCACTACTGTGAAACCATCTTCGTCCACCTCTGGCTCCTGCTTGTGGGCTTTGGGTTGCTGATCCACGAGCATCGGCGCCTCATCCTCCCCGTCCTCAATGCCATCCTCACTCCCGCTTTCGTCCTCCCAATCATCTTCCTCTCCCGCAACTTCCTCCACTTCCACCTTCTTGCCCTTCACCCTATCCGCGTGCGCCTCAAACTTCTCTACCAGTGCCTTGTTCCCCGCTTGCACGGTCTCCCACATCGCAGCCACATCCCTCGCAACACCCTCCGCGCTGCCGTCCTCGAGCATGGTCTCGAACTCGTCCTCCATCACCTGGAGCAGCATATCCTCTACGTAGGCCGCGTCCGGCGCAGGGTGCTCCCGCTCGAAAGCGTCGACGAGCTCGGACGCAAGCCAGGTGCGCTTTTCCGCGCCTGCGGGGCCGCCCCAGTTCTCGGCGACGGCGAGTCGCAGCGCGGGCCAGATGGCGAGGCGGGCGATGACGCCGCGCGCGAAGAGGACGGAAGTGGTTGGTGGGATGGAGGGGGCTGGGGCTGAGGTCGAGGCAGACATGGCGGACGCCTTTGAGTGATTAGCCTAGGTAGGAAGACAGACGTTATATTGTGGCTGCAGCTGGGATCGGGCAGTGGATGGACATCCTCGATGAAATCTGCTCAGATCGTGATCTCGATCTGCCCCACGTGCATGCATCGTTCGTGAGATCCAGCGATTTTTGGGACTTTAACCGTGACGCGCTCAAGGACCCGCCACTTCCACTCAGTATACGCGACCGTCGGATTCATACAAGACGAATAGCAACATAGATCCTTGGTCAAGGTCTACTATAACCATGCTCAGCGCTGTCGCAGCCCGAAAAGCGCGTCTCGAGGGAAAGCAGGTTACAGTCCAGGCCGCACCACCTCCAAAGCGAGCCGCCGTCTCCGCTGAATCTCCAAAACCTACCACACCTCCATCGAAACGCAAGCCCAGCGAAAGCTCAACCAAGCCTGCTAAGAAGAAACGAAAAAAGCAGCAGAAGCCCGTGCAGGATGCCGCAGAACGCTACTTTGCCGAGGATGCATTCAAGATGCAGCAGGATGTCATAGTTGTGGGCGACTCCAGCGAATCAGAGGATGACTTCGTCGATGCTCAGTTCGCGGAAGAAATGGGTGCCGCAACAGCAGGACCGAGCGGCAGCATGTCTACGGGCCCACCGATCAAGTCCCGGAGGCGTCGAGCATGGTCTCCAAGTGCTCCTCTGCGCGATTCCTCGGACGAAGAGGATGACGATAGTATCGACGACGACGTTGCCGCTATACCCACACACCCTGTCGTCGCCCCCGTGGCGGGACCGTCAAGGACGATGCCTAAGGTACTCTCGACGTTCCAGCCCGTCCTGGGCCAAAACATGTTCTACCTCACCCCAGAGGAAGCAAAGACACTCGACTTACAGTCGTCGCAAAGCGACGACATCGGCACCCTGATCGTACTGCATGCCTCGGACACTCTTGCTCTCCTAGGCACTTACTGCTTGACTGTCCTGCAAGGCGCTGTATCCCTCACGGGCAGCATCGTATCTGCATCGCATACGTGCCACCTGATATTCGCTCCGCGCTCGTCGCCCATCCCTGTGATCAGGAGCGTTGCGGCCAACCTCAGCCATCGGACTATAGAACTTCCTGATCGTATTCGACCAGCGGTTGGTTCCGGCGCTGCAGTAGTATTGCTACAAGAACTACAGACGGGTGTGGAGCGGCTAGGTCTCGTGTGCCGCACTTTCGAGGGTGTATTTTCCCCATCACGGTTTCAAAGCAAGATGTCCACCATTGATCTGAATCTTCGCGGTGTCTACATGGTACGCTCGACCGTTCCCAAATCAACGCCCTCGCTGACCGCTGTCTGCTACAGCTCCGGACTGAGACGTCTGATGCCTCGCCATTCATTATGCCACCATCATGGGAGGCAGCTGCATCTTCCATGGTCGCCCATGCTGCAAACCCGCACGAGATGAGCTATTCGAGGTCCGTGTACCTCGTCAAGGGCCCTCGGAACACCGGGAAGAGCACCTTCGCGAAGGTACTGCTGAACGCACTTTTGACAAGGTCAGTGTTTCAGCCTAGAGTATGCTCGATGACTAACATGAATGCAGATATCGCCGCGTCGCGTTCCTAGAATGCGACTTGGGCCAGTCTGAATTCACTCCGGCGGGAATGGTGGCGTTGAACATCCTAGATGCCCCTGTATTCGGTAGGCACTGCTATCCGCGATTCCCAGCGTTATCTCATTCACAACTACAGGGCCGGCGTTCACACACCCGGGCCTCCCTTATGCGTCACATTTTGTCGGAGCAACGTCACCAAAGTCATCACCATCCTATTACCTCGAATGCGTTTCAGCTCTCATACAGTCATATAACCTCGATGTCCAGCACGGCGCCCTCCTGAACGACTACGACGAAAAGGGTGTAGACCACGATAAGATTACGGACACAATACCACTCGTCGTAAACACCATGGGCTGGACGCGCGGGCTCGGCTCCGATTTATCGCTCAAAATCGAAGAGGCAGTCGAACCATCCCAGATTTTTGAGCTCGAGGCGCCCCAGGGCGATGATGGATACGCGACAAATCCACCCTTCGACGGTACACCGTCGCGGATCCGCGCCCCTTTATTGGCACATGGCCCTGACGGCGACGACAGAATACGTCGGCTGGAAGCCGTCCCTCCGTCCGCCGCGTCCAACTTCTTCACTGCTGCCGATCACCGCACTTTGTCCGTCCTCTCATACTTTCACGCCACGTTCATTTTACCTTCTTCTGACGCCACGGTGGCGACGGCGACTTCGGCATCTAGCTGCGTCGCACGAACGTGGGACGTCACACTTCCACTGTGCGCCCAGCTGCCATACGAGGTGGACTGCCAAGCCGCGTTTGACCAGGTCGTACTTATCGGCGCTGGCATGGAGGATGTGGTACCCTCCGAACTCGTTCACGTGCTCAACGGGGCGATAGTCGGTTTGGTGCAGTGCGAGGCCGGAACCATGGACGACCTAACAAGCGACACAGAGTTGTCTGTCCCCGGTCTGCCTTACACACAAGGGAGCCCGCCTCCACCGTCGTTCTCTTCGAAATGCTGCGGGCTCGCTCTCGTGCGGGGCATCTCTCAGTCCGCGACAGGCACGTTGATGCACATCATCACGCCCGTCCCGTCAGAACAGCTCGCAAACGTTCGCGTCCTGATCAAAGGCGAGCTGGAACTGCCCGTGTGGGGGATGCTTGACTTCCGGAACACGCAAGGCGACGTCGCTGGCGTCGAGCGAGACAACGTGCCCTTCCTGCGCTGGGGCAAGAGCGAGGGCGTAGGCGCGGAACGAAGAAGAGTGCGGAGGAATCTCATGCGGAGAGGGCAGATGTAGGTATCATACAGCGATAGTGTCCGCCAGCTCGAGGGCAAGTGTCCTGTCCGCCTCACGAAGCAATGCTCATTCGAACGCGATCACCATGTCTGGCCCCTTCGTTTGGAGCCATCGTCGCCAGATTTTTCGATATGCCGGCGTCCATGGAATTTTGTGCAGGAAGACCTCTTCGTCCGTCAGCATTCTTGTGATCCGCCGCATCTCCCTGCGATCGCGACTGCTGTAGTTCTTCATCAACTTCGCTGCCTCCTTCAGCGTGGGGTGGAGCTATGGTGCGTAGTCAGCACTGACTATGAACATTCTCTTAGCGAAGCTGGGCATAGATCAATGCAGCCTTACCGGACCACGAAACACCATACGGTGCCATTTGCAGAACGTCTTTGGGGATATGTGATACTCATCCGCATCGTCGACTGATCTGCTCTCCATTTTGTCTCGGTACGGCGGCAATGACTTGGGGACATAGTACCGCACGAGGGGTACGTCCGGAGGTGTGGTATTCGCGTTCGACGCATCCAGACTTCTCTGTGCTTCTATCGATGTCTTCCAGTATCGTGCCTCTTCCTCGGGGCCAGCATAGCGAGAGAACAGCGGGCGTCTGGGTTTCCACAGCTTCGCATGCAAGGATGCGATCCACTGAATTGCCCTGCTGGTGCATTCTCTGCACCACACGACGCCCGTGGTGACGACGTGGATCTTTACACCTGCTCTATAGGCTAGCAGGTAGGTCGCACATGGGAGAACGAGCGGCCAGCCGGCGGCAAATACTTTTGCGAGGATGCGAATGGTAGTAGCAGCTGACTGACATTATTCCGCGTCCGCTCAGGAGCTGTTTCACGATGAACTCGGATGACTCACGTAGGGGAAGTTCTTGCATGCCACGAGACCATACATTCTGTGAGATTTTCACTCGGGGTGCCTGCGATGGTCGGTGTCTAGTCGTGGATGCGGGGTTAGCATCCAGTACCTCGCGTGTGCGACGGCACCACGGTGACCTGTTGCTGTGCGCCATGCTCGTTCAATGCGGAGAACGTGAGGTGTGTAGTAGTCGAGCTTAACTCTGATGTTTCATGAAATACACGTGGGACCCGGATCTCCGGCGTCAGACCAATAAGTCACTGCGGCATAAGAGTTGCAGTTGGAGGGGCGGCGCGGAGATTGTTGTCAATGTCAGTGTGGGGTCGACACGTACTGTGCAGCTCATCCGGGCATGCGTTCCTGTCATTACACCAAACGAGTCCTCTTCTGTCCTGACTCTACAAACAACTGACGGGTAGAAGTTCCGTCGCGTATACATGGGTCACACCACCGCGTTGCGTTCCGGAAGATGCCGGAAGGCCGCAGCGAATCGAATCCGAGTGAGTCGTCTTGAGCGACGTGACCGTCGACGACGACAACTTCAAGGGCGTGGTGGAGTATTGCATTCAGCATGCGTTCCTCATCCTGGAATTGTGTACCGACTCGAATAACAGCTCATACGAAACGCGAATGCAGGCGAGGGTCGAACCATTCAGGAGTCCAAAACCTAACGATGATCGCACTCGCTCTGATACTGTAATCACGACTCTGCGGTTGTGAGTATGAGGCGGGTCAACTCTCAGGCTGATGCTGAAGAAGCTCATATTCTGTACAGATTGATCTTTCACGGGGCTAGAGATCCAATAGGCTTCATTGGCGTTCAAGCTTGTCTGACTCCGGCTCCCGCTATCAGCCGTATCACCTCCAGGCATATTGAACCCAACAACTCGAAGGTGAGTATTAGCTCGATTATCCGCGACTTCCCTGTGCAGTCTCAGGACATCGAGAGCGAAGGGGCTTCTCAGTGATGCGCTTCTCCGTTCAAGGCGCAAATGCGCATCTCTTGAAAGTGCCGTGCATGCAGTTGACTAGACTCAGACGCTCTTTCGCACAGCTCATATTAAGCTCCTCTTCTATTGTAGCACTTCAATGATGAGGTGCGCGGCCGCGTCACGAATCCTCCAAGTGTCCAGCAAACATGACCGCGTGCCATCACTGCCTCGCGCTCAGGCCCTCGGGTCACTCAGAGTCATAGGCAGTTTGACATGCCAGCGACCATGACATTCAAGCTCAGGTTCTCGACTAAAGCTTGCGCATAGCTGTACATTGCGCCACTCTCAGGCGCAAGTCAGTACGGGGCCTGGATACCTAACGAAGCCTTGAGTTTCAGGGTGCCGAAGGCGTCTATATCCACCGCTTTCGCTGCTCGCCATCCTCTTCCTATGCTATCACGCAGTTGAAGATATTGGTCAGTACGCCCAGGGCTGCGGCTCAATGCACAACTTGGCCATCGCATACCGGACGCAGTAGACCGCTGATTACAACTTACGACAGATTGACTACATCCAGACATCAACTCATGACATCGGCACGTATACGGAATTGCGCCTCCTGCACATGGCGCTCTATTGAACAGGTCGGTGTGAACACAAGTGGGTTAGCTATAATCCGGGGCTCGACTTGAGACTTACACACGAACTGGGACCCCCCACAGAATCTTCGTGTACTTATTGTCGGTGCTCAGCACCTAATTTCGAACGTGAACCACAGCGAAGGCGAAACCCGAAAATCCAGGGTTTGTGGCAGGCAGGCGAAAGGCTGCGAACCCAGGTATCGCCTGCCCAGACCCATAACCATGTGTAGCTCGCACCGACAATCTGTATAGGCACGTCATCCTTACATGTTGTATAATAGCGCCGCGCTTCCTATTCCGCCCCTCCGACACAGTCGACACAATGGCATAGCGCCTCACATAGGCTCACTGCTAAATGTGTCTTGTTCGACACAACTCATTATGCTTTGGACATGGTGGTGGGGTGCAATGCGCGCCATTTAGCCTCTGGTCTAACCTTAGATCGTCGACTGAGGTCGTGATTTTGCTATGTTCAGACACCGATTCAAAGAGGATCTGGAGCAACACGCGGCGGCCCTGTATCCACATAAATTCCGTAGGAGAATACAGGTGCCCTGCTTCACCGAAGGACACCCCCTCTCCCTTCGAGCCATGGACCCGACAAGCATTCGAATTGGCTTGTCTGGCGTCATTCTCGCCATTCTTCTCTACGCCGCCTGGCACAGATACAAGCGAAACCGTGCGAGGACATGCGAGCACATTCGCGGCCCTCCTTCTCCGAGCTACCTATTGGGTAAGTCGAGTAACTTGCATATTCAAGCCCTGTCATTCACTCGTGTGCTTTTATCTGCGATACAGGTCACATAGTCCAACTCACTCGTCAGGATGAAGTAGGCGACCTCGAATACCAGTGGATGAATGAGTACGGATGGGCCTGGAAAATCAGACACTGTCTCGGCGTAAATATCCGTGCCATAATATTGTTCGTATCTGCTAACATCGCCTACTGATATGTAGAGAGACGTGCTCTTCCTCGCCGATCCCAAGGTGAGCAAGAGGATCCAACATTTACGCTATGTTTTCTTACCCAACATGTGATCTAGGCGTTACATCACGTATTCAGGTCTGGCTACGCCTACGCCCGTACGACAGATTCCAAGTTTATATCCTGGTTGCTCATGGGAGAGAGCATTCTGTTCACTGATCGTGAGTTCCTGGACGGCTAGTCCATGTATGTCCTGACTGACATTTCATATCGCCGGTTCAGATGCTCAGCATGCCCGGATCCGCCGGACGATGGATCCCACCTTTAACACAGCACGCGTGCGGGCCTTCTTGCCTATTTTTCAGCGTTCCTCGAAGAAGGTACACCTCCCTGCGCTTGTGGCGTGTACGATTCTCATGCATCAGCATCTCCACCACTGTCACAGCTCTGCCAGAAATGGCGGCACGAGCTCACGGGTCGGCCATCGATGCCAGCGATGAACGTTGCTCCATGGTTCTCGAGGCTGACACTTGATGCTATATGTGAAGGTCAGTCTAGCACGTCTGCAGGCGGGTTATTGAAATACAACGGCACTCATTTGTTGCTACTCAGCTGGATTCGACTTCAATTGCGGCGCGTTGGATGAGGACTTGAATGAGTTCGTGGGTGTGTACAAGAATATGTTGTATGTATACTCTTTGTTTCCACATTTACCCAGCTGAGTCCATTTATCATCTTCTATCACAGCCGAGACTCGATGATGCACCCGACTACGGGCTCGTTACTGTTCCGACATTTCTGGCCGTACATTCCCGAGTCAGTCTTGCGTGCCCTTGTCCGTCTCCCGGCCAAGCAATTCGTGCGCATGCGGCATGCGCTACAGACCATCAATCGCTTCTCGGAGCAACTCATAGAGCAGCGGAAATCGGTAGTGAAAACGCAACGTGGGATTGATAGCGGCGATGAGCACGGCAAGGATTTGATGAGTATTCTGGGTTCATAGTTTCCCCTCGCGAGGACTTGCCTTGTTTCCGCTAATACACCACAGTCAGGGCCAATACGTCAGAGAATCCGAAGTACCGCCTGACGGACAGCGAAATGACCGCGCAGGTGGCGACATTCCTTCTTGCAGGTGTGTAGCAATGTTTGGGACTGGCGGTCCCAGTGATTGCGGTTGACAGCCGATCACGTAGGGCACGAGACATCAGCAGGCACGCTCACCTGGCTCCTTTGGGAGCTCGCGAAGGATGTCAACTACCAAAGGAAGATGCGTGAGGAGATTGCGACTGCCCGCGCCGATGTCATCGCCAGGGGCGACGCCGACTTTACGGTTGCCGATCTCGAATCCATGGAATACGTGAATGCGGCCATCAAGGTACGGAAGCAGGAGCGGCTTCCTGAAATTGAGCTCATTTGGCACTTGCCGCATCCTGTCAGGAAATCATGCGCCTTCATCCGATCGTTTACCTACTGGTGCGAGTCGCGGACAAGGACGATGTCATTCCGCTGTCCAGACCAATTACTACCGCCACCGGTGAAAAAATTAGCGAGATCCCAATTTCGAAGGGGCAGCACATTAGCGTGTCATCTTGGGGCTACAACCGGTATGACATTGTCTGATATGATTGCGTTTCCCGCTGACGTATATATGCCAGATTACCAGAGGTGTGGGGCGAGGATGCTCACAACTGGAACCCTTCGCGCTTCTTCACAATTGACAAGGAGAAGCAGATCAGTGTTGGCGTGTTTGCGAACCTGTGAGGCATTATTTTTCATTAATCGCTCGCAAATATTGACCCTGAACAATAACTAGATTGACTTTCGGCGGAGGAAACAAGTCTTGCCTTGGGTGAGCCTTTACTGAATGGGATCCATGTCTTCATGGCTGAGATTTTGCGATCCTAGATGGCGCTTCACTGTGCTTGAGGTCCAGGCGGTCCTCGTCGATTTGATCGAGAATTTCGAGTTCGAGCTTCCGGATGAGAAGCCCGATATCCAGCGCGTCCCTGCAGGTGTCACCATTCCAATCATTAGGAACAACATGCATCTGGGTTCGCAAATGCCGCTGAAGATCATTCCAGTCAATCCTGCGCCGCCTGCCGCTGGGTGAGAGTATCACGATGCCTGACGCTATGCGCAGACCAAGTTTGAACGAGATGTATTTGTATTGGTGACTTGTTCTCGTATTGGAATTTCTATGATCGCAAAGCCTTGCACGGCTCGAAAGTCGAATAATACGATTTCGAGGGTACACATCATGCTGCTATACTCGGTACCTTCATCGACCGGCAGCTGCTTCGAGCGCTTGAGCGCTCCGCCGTTGACACACCACCAACCCGCCACCCGCGACGTCTAACCTTCACTAGCTTCACTACCAAGACTACTTACATCGACAAGGTCAAGGAATTCGTTGTGGCATACACGTCCGAGTGCAACCGCAATTGTACCTTCGCCTCAAAGCTTGAAGCGAGTCCAGACTCCAGGGTGAGTCCTTATTCCCACATTATGTTTGAGAGCCGGCGTCATGGTCTCACAATGTCTCATAAGAATTCGAAGCATTCGACGAACACGAGTGCTGCAACCGGAGACTTGTGGCCGATGACGAGGGCATGCTGATGCGTCTCCAGGACCTCCGCTATAAGCGCCATGCTGCGACAGCTTGCGGAGGGGTCACAGTAGGCTGGGCGTAGTCGAAGATGTCCGGCCTGCGCTGCAGGCTTTAGGCATGCTGGCAGTGCTGCAGGTGGGCCTTTCCAAGCACATTGTCCTCGTATGTTCCAATTCTTGTGCTGTGGCTTCGGAGTTCGAACAGCGCACTCACCTAGTCCACCTGTTCCCACTTTGACATTAGAGTTCTCGAGCTGCTCGAGAAATTTGAGTTCGCCGCCCCCCAAGACGTCGACGACAAGCCAGACATCCAGCGTAAGCCCGGCGCGAACGCTTTCGAGAAATGTATCCAAGAGTGGGTAAGTCTCCGATATTTATGACTCGGGTGTTGCTGCCACTGACAATCTCGTCGGGAGTGTAGGAATTATGGTGGTGCGTACCCACCAACTTCGTCTAAGCTACGTAGCAAAGCAGCAGAGCGTACATACTTCAGTCGCACGGGCGCTTCACTCCATCCTTCCTCCGAGACTGCTGATGGGAGGCTGATCACGAAGTTGTCTTGGTTCGAAGTTGGCAACCCCAGAAGTCGGTGTAAAGCGAGAGGCCCAATGGCAACTCAGCGACGAAAAGGCATTCACGAGTCTGTGTCTATCCCCTTTCAATTTCCTATATACCTGCTGAAAGGAATACAGTCTGCTGGATTGTGATCGATAGCGATTATTTCCATACAAAAGAGCACTCGCCGGCAGGCGGCTCGACTTCCCACACCCTTGCTGTTCTCATGCTCCTCGGTCTCGTGCTCCCCTGGTATGAAGATTGGCACCGACTGTAGACGGGAGCCATGCCCGAAATTACGAGGGCCTGCTGATGCATGGTCTGGGACCTTCAGTTCTCCGCCAATTTCCGTGCTTCCAATCGTGGGCCTCGAACTCTTGCGCGCAGCCGGGGATATGCGCTCCCCCGCTTCTGCGTTGTGTACGCGAGTATGCCCGTGACAGCATATCCCCGACTCCTCCCGAAGGGAGGGAGGGCTCTGTCAAGTAGAAACGATATTGCGCCGGGGATGCCGTGTCGCCGTGGGACATTTTCGTCCATATACGGTACGCGCGATACCGCATAGGGAAACTGTCCACATGCAAGCCGTGCGCTCGCGTCTGACCGAGGCTCTGCCTGGCTCTGTGTTCCGCTCGTGCGGCCGGATCTTCCTCCGGTTTTTTCCGAGCATATATAACATGCCTCCTGCCACTATGATCGAGACATTCACTTCAACACATCTTGTCTTACCCCCTGAAGCAGCTGCCATTTCCATGTCACAACAACTAACTAGTATTGCCCCTACTTCCCAACTACCAGACAGGGCCTTGGGCTCAATACTAGTTTTACCAGACAGTGTCTCAGGCCCACTACCAGTTTTACCAGATGATTCTGCAGACTATATACCAGTCTCATCATCAGACAGCATACCACATACAATTGCAAGTGTCCCTAATGACACAGTCCAAGGCATCATGAATAGCAATCCTTCATGGTTCTATTATACTGATGATTATTACCTGCAGCAATTACAATCCCTTACCAGAGCTGAATTATGGGCTGCTGTTTGTACATGTGTTGATCAGACACAAGGTATCAGGCAATCCAAAGCATCTTTGGCTAAGCAACTACTGCAGCATTTCAACTCATCTAAAGTGTTATTGGCAAATATGTCAGATGTTCTCCTGTGCCAAACATGCAACTGCTCTCTGCTGCTCAGTTCACCATTCCACTGTAGATATATAATTTTGAAGCATTACTATATACAATTATATGGCTGCAAGATTCTGAAATGTCTATGCCAATCTCCTATGCTTTCCAGTATAGCACATGATGTTGCTCATTCAAGTACAGTTCCTGATATAGACCCTCATATTCTCAGCCAACTGAAATGTTTAGACAAGGACATTTTAGATCATTGTTACACCATATTTCAGACTGACCACATGAAGAGCAAAACAAGAGCAATGCAAATACTGGTTTCCAAGATATTGGCCATTAAGCAATATATCAGTGACTTGAGTATTGCTGAAGTGTACCAACAATACTTCACAGCTGTGACATACAGTGGCAACATGTTATCTAATGTGCCAAATCCATGCAATATTGTTGAAAGTATCTTGATTGCATACTATGGTGATGCTGTGATAAATGCAATATTCCATAACACACTCCCAGAAATAAGGAAACAGTGGCAAGTTCAGTATCAAAGAGACTATAGAAGGTTGAAAAGACAAGACAAGAGCATACAACTAAAGCAATCATACCTCAGTGAAGAAATGAATTGGCTTACCATACCTAGCACTGAGACTGAGCTACAATGTGCATACAATTATTGGAAAGCAACACAATGGCATTCTCCTCTCATCTGCTCTGTGTGCTCTAGCAGTGCCCATAGATTGAAAACAAAGATCTATGATATGAATCAAATCCCCAACATAGTGCATAACATGTCTGTTTTGCAGGTACATGACCCATGGATTATTCAGAAATGCATTGTACAACAAAATTCCAATGAGTTCTTGTATGGACATGAATTTGATGGCTTCATGTTGGATAAAAAAGGGCTGCTATGCAGTGATCCTATCAATCACAGAATAGCACTATGTTCAGACTGCTACAATTCCCTAAAGAAACCAGCTATGCCCAGATATGCACTGGCAAATAATCTATATAGAGGTCATCTTCCTACTGAATTTTGTGACCTTACATGGGTTGAAGAGATGGCATGTGCTATTTATCATATCACTGCCCATGTAACCTGTTTGTATGGATTTTCAGAACCTGGACAGCCAAAGATTTTTCATGGAAACACCATAACACGTGATATGAATGTCATATCAACAACAACAGTGCTTCCTAGAACTCCTGCAGACATCACTGGGTATCTCTCAGTTGTATCTATTGGACCTCATAAAATCAAAGCCAGTGACCTGGGCAATACATTCAGAGTGCGAAAAGCCAAAATATGGCATTTTCTTCTTTGGTTGAAGCACCATAACAGATTATATGAGCAGATCCTGTTGGATCAGAGTAACATAGATCAATTTCCAGATGATGGTGTTCTTCCTGGTGTTGATGCTCAATTCATCCAAGACATTCACCAAAAAAGTGATGAAATCTTCCAAGAAGAAACAGCAGGTTTTACAGAACATCCTGCAGAGGCTTTTATGCATGACAACTCTAAACATGCAGATGATCAACCAACTGTACTGCTGGAACACACAGGTGTATCTGACCCAGAAGGAGACAGCATTAGTATACAGTAGTGATGCTGATACTTATGTTCCGCTTTAGGTCTATGTTGTACCACTAAAAGCGGAGTTTGAAATCTATGTAGATTATTGTATCATCTTATCTACACCACCCTCACTGCTCAATCGATGTTCATTCATATTACGGTTCAGGCACCCACATGGAGTCGGGGACGGCGCTTGCGCCGCTACAGGAATTTGTATATATAGCCAGGCTCGAGGCAAGGAGCTCTCAGCCTTCCCATCAGTCATACTCACTCCCCGAACCAAGGTGAATGATATCCGCTATGAATGACCGGGATGATTATGCTCACTGGCACGTCGACCTGACAGTGATCTGTCGATCTCGTATTGCGTGGAATCCATGGAGATCGTGCTCGTACTATGCGTAGCCGCTATCGCAGTCGCACTGGCTCTGCTCCCCAAGCTGTTCAAGCGTTCACCGTTCAGGCATATTCGAGGACCACCGTCGCCTAGCTGGCTCTATGGCAAGTTTACTTGTTCATACTTTCTCGCTAGCTCGATGCATTGATCACAACCCCACTAGGTCATATGATAATGACCTCTCGCGAGAAGGACGTTGGTGATCTTCACTTTCAGTACATGCAAGAGTACGGCTCTGCATGGCGCATGAAGGAGTGTTTCAATGTACGTCTTGGCTCTCCTGTTCAGTCAGCTATCAGAGTTTGCTCACGTATGATTTGATGATCACAGAAGGACACTCTGTGGCTTGTCGATCCTAAAGCGATCCAATATGTACTCCAAACATCAGGGTATCATTACTCACGGACAGTTGTTGGACGACACATTGCCCGACAGATCACCGGGGACGGTATTCTCTATGTTGAAGGTGCGGTCGCCATGATCATGTACTTGAAATGACGACTGAGCCTAGAGGGCCGGATCTCTGGACGACTAGGAGACGACCATGCGCGTGTACGCAAGATCATGAACCCAGCGTTTAGCGCCGCTCAACTCCGCTCCTTCCTTCCACTCTTTCGACGCTCGGCGCGCAGGGTATGCTATGGGCTTACCGTTCCCGCTACCAACGAAACTGACTCAATTGCAGCTTACGATCAAATGGAAGGACTCTCTACGAACTGCCTCTGCCCCCGCTGACCACGTGCTGAACGTAAACTCGTGGTTCACGCGGACGACACTCGATGTCATTGGCGAAGGTGTGTGTCAGTCCAGTCGAGGCGGTTGCTCTGCGTATTAGAATCAATGATTGACAACTACCCTGTGTTCATGCAGCTGCGTATGACTTCCGTTGCGGTGCGCTGGAAGAGGAGGACAATGAAGTCGTCGACGCGTACAAGAACATGTTGTGCGTGTAGCAACGTCCTATTTATGCCACTGTCCGCGTTTCGCGCCGCTCATATTTAACTAGCCGTGATTCCGTGATGTATCCTTCTGGCGCGACCCTCGTCTTCCGCTCTCTTTGGCCATACATCCCCGAACGCCTCATCCGGCTCACTGGCTACCTCCCAACTCGAGAGGCCCGCCGATTCCGACGGACCTTGAGTGTCGTTAATAAGATCTCAAACAGGCTAATTAAGGAGAAGACACAGACGTGTTTGGATAGGAAGGATGAGAATCTCAGGGACATCATGAGCATTCTCGGTGAGTTCGTCCGTTGATGCCCCGGAAGCGGGACTGAAATGAAGTGGACGATCAGTCAAGGCGAACCATTCCGAGAACCCGAAGACACGCATGAAGGACAAGGAAATGATCTCTCAGATGGCGACGTTCTTCCTTGCAGGTGTGTCACATCCTCCTCCCGGTCAGTCGCAGACTGATATCAAGGACTTCATCAGGCCATGAGACCACCGCCTCGATGCTCACCTGGATGACGTGGGAGCTCGCGAAGGATCAAGACTACCAGGAAAAGATGCGTCAGGAAATTGCCGCTGTACGCGCGAAGGTCTCGGAACGCGGAGACGACGACTTCACCGTCGCAGACTTGGACTCAATGACCTTCGTCATCGCAGGCCTGAAGGTGGGGGTCTCTTTGAGCGTACGCTTCAGAACACCCCTGATCTATGTATGGTCGATAGGAAGCGTTACGTCTGCACCCAATCGTGTACATGATGGTACGTAGTGCGGAGAGAGACGATGCCATCCCGCTCTCGAGGCCAATACGGGACGAAAAAGGCAATGTCATCTCCGAAATACCGGTCTCGAAGGGTACGTCAATTAACCTCTCGCTTTGCGGCTACAATCGGTGAGTCTGCGTATGTCTTGGTTGGGAGCTGTGCAACTACGGATAATCATCACGCCCTTCAAAGCCTGCCAGAGGTCTGGGGCGCAGATGCACAAGTGTGGAACCCGTACCGCTGGATGGACACAAACAGAGAGAAACATATCAACGTCGGTGTATACGGGAACTTGTACGTACTCATACTTTGACCGTTGATGTATCCTGATGTGATGCTTGCGTCAAGGTTGACATTCAGTAAGTACTACTAACCCCACATGCCATGACGCTATGAGCCGACTGACATCTTCCCAGGCGGCGGCGTCAAGGCCTGCATCGGGTGAGCATCCGGTCTTCTTGGCTTTCCGCTTTTCGCATGTTAACCCCTTCGTCATAGATGGCGCTTCACGTACGTCTCAGTCATGCACTCCAAACCGGAAGTGGACACTCACCTACATCAGGGTCATTGAGCTGCAAGCGATCGTCGTTGAGCTTCTCGAGAACTTCGAGGTTGCCATCCCCGACGACAAGCCGGACATCCAGCGTGTCCCCGGAGGACTGATGATCCCAATGATCAGGGGAAAGCCGGAGCTAGGGTCACAGATGCCTCTCAAGGTGACCGCAGTTGTGCGTCCGGAGAAGGCAGAAGTGTAAACATCTGGGAGGGATGGTTGTGCTGTCCTGGGGTGCATGTTTCGAAGTTGACTGTAAATCGCCGAGTGGTTGTATGTACAGTTAGTGTGATGATTACCTGACCGCCTCCTCCAAGTAAAGAAGCATCGAGTGGCATTTGAGTGGCATGCAGCGGTCGCTGAGTATCGCATCGGCGTCCAATTTGAAGGCGCGGCCGTGGCATCTGTGGACAGAATACTGAAGCCGTCAATCAGACGCCTGCAGCGTACCATAAGCAACTTTCATAGTGAAAACATTATATAGAAAGAGTGCTAAGCTGTTGTCACATTTTGTGTTCAACGTTCCTCGTTCGTTGTCAACACTATCTAAGTTACTAGTACGCCGTCGTTGAGCGCTCGCCGCTAGCATCCTCATCTCGATCGGGTAACGCCGAGGTCTGAATCTTGCATCTGAGATCGAGAATCTAGCGATCGAGGACGCGACCTCATTTTTGAGTACGAGACCGGTGGCTGCGAAAGACTGTTACAGACTGCTGCTCCCTCAGGCTCACTAGTACTGGCGCACGGCTCGCTGTCCACATATTCAAACTGAGGAGGGACTTGCTCTACAAAGTGGCATAAAGACTGAGTCATACCTCATGCCCGCCCGCCAGACTCAGCGCAAAGAAACGTCGAGCAGAGCGAGCTATAAGTTCACGAGTGCAGCAGACATCAAACGCGCTCTCAGTGCCGCAGATGAACACGCAATAGCGGAAGGTGTGTCAGGTTGTCTTGTAGTGGATTTTGTGTACTCACCACTCTTATCTCCTACTCTAGGCCTTACCGCTCTGCGAAACCAGTTAACCATCAAGCATGACGAGCCGCCTCTCAGTGTCAGTGACGACCGCCTGCTGCTAGTCAAGACATGGTTGGAGAGTCACGGGGGTGCAGGGGATCTGCTCACTATATGGGAAGCCACATCTCCAGTACGTCTTCGTCCATTCGTGCTCATGCGGTGGCTGAGAATCCTGTCACGGTTGTTCAGAGACAAACGGCGGTCCTAGCACCTCTCGTCGGTGTCTTGTCCGCGCTCATCACACTACTATCTCCACATTACCTGTATCATACGCTCGCACAACCGATCATCAATAATCTGTTTCTCCCACAATGGGCACACCGGCTGAACACCTACCTAGGCGGCTCCCATAACGAGTTGATACTGGTCACGCTCAAGTTATTTCATGCATTGTCAAGCTTTGCAAATGGGCGCGAACGCAAGTCGCTCTTTGATGTCTTCGCATGGGAGGCGAAGGTGTGTATGTCCTCATTCGCGGAGGCGGGATATTCCTCAACTTGATCCGCAGTCATTGCCCAAACTCCTTCAAATGCGGCGGAAAGGGCGTGCGGAGGAAGGCTTCGACATCTTGGTAAGGCCGGGTACGTAGCAGTTATCCTCCATGAAGTAAGGCCGCACTTACAGGTTTGCGATATTAGACATTCGCACGCTCTTCGTGCTCATCCTTCTGTCCTTCGTGGACACCGAAGCTCAAGCCTCGGTGAAGTCCGCCTTCCTGGAACAGCGCCGGGACATATTCTCTTCCCTCTTTCGAGGACTGTGGCAGGACCCGTACTCCGTCATCCGTCGAGTACTGGAGGTTTGCTGGACCGGGATATGGTCTGACTTGAAGGTTAAGAGGACACTGAAGGTGCACGTCTTCAATGAAACAGTGCTCGCCCAGGTATGCGGTTGCCTCTCATAGAAAGTGAGCGTGCTCTCACGGCGTCATCTAGTCAATCAGAGTCTACGAACGTGACTCCGCGGAGGACGGCGTCCCCGACCACGTCCCTGCAGACGTCGTGCATCATTTCTTGCTTGCTATATGCACGCGTCCTGGAGTTGGCATTTGCTTCAAGGACAGGGGATGGTACCCACGTGACAACAGCTCCGACGACGGCGTAGGCCTCAACGCTGAAGACGAGGGGGAGGGCACTAGGTTGAAGAAGTTCAGCAAGATCAACAACAAAATCCTTGCCAACGTCCTGAAGACCTTGAAAGTCAACGATGATCCGCGCCAGCAGGAACTCGCTCTCAAGGTCATCGCTGCCTGCCCCGAGCTCGTCGCAGGGTATGTCCGTCCATGAATTTCTATGCAATGCCCCAGGAGCTCACTCACTGCAGCTATTGGGCCGCAGCAGCGCTCACTCTCGAGCCGCGACTCTCCTCTAAATGGATTGCCAACATCGCTTTCTTCGGGCAAGTTATCTCCCTACCAGTCCCCACCTCCTCCTTCCACCTCCTCCCTTCCTCCGGCCCCTCCTCTTCCAACACATCCCCCACGCCACAATATAACCCCGTACCCCCGCCTCTCTTGACCATCACCGAGAACATCCTGCCCGCAGTCAACATGAAGGCGCACCTCTCCCGCGGACTGCAAGTACCCTCCGCGCTCGTGCGCCACTGCAGCGCGCTCGCGCTTGCCAAGTGCCTGATCAAGTACGACGCAGTCGTGCGCGCGTTCCGAGAGGTCGAACTCGCGCTCGAGGAGGACGCGGACGGGCAGTGGGCGCGGAGGCGCGCGGAGGTCGAGAGGGAGGTGCGGAGGCGCGTGCCGGACTTCCAAGTCGTGCTGGGGTTTGCGCAGAAGTCCGCTGAAGGAGCAAGTGTGCGCACGGGAACTGGTGTAGATGCGGCAGGCGATGTGTCTATGGAACAGACGACGCATTTGGTGAACCCTGTTCGAGGAGCGCTCCTCGCAGAGAGCGCCCAGAGGTTGCTGTGGTTGTACCATCGATGTATGCCTGCGCTCGTCGCAGAGGCACGCTTTGACGTCGGCAAGCTCTTATTGAGCTTGCAGAACGTCGTCGATCGTCCGACAGCAAACTCGTCATCGCGGACGGACGGTCTCGACGTCCTCCGGCAGCTCCACGTACTGAGGCTGCTCAGCGAAAGCGATCAATTCAATTGGTCGGGCAAGGCTGGTTAGTGTCTATCCAACATCTCTTAGTAATAGTCTTGTTCTAACATTGTTTCAGGCGGATCTCACAGCAACCTCTACGTCCTCCTCAAGATGTACGCCGTCACCGGGAGCCCCGCCATCCGCTCCGCGACCGCAGCAGTCCTCCGGCAGTCCCTCTCTAGCAGCCTTCTCTTTCAGCACGAGCCTGACGAGCTCGTGCTCTGGCTGAGGTCCCTCCCGGCCACAGTCCGCGCACCCGGCGCGCAAGCCCCAGACGGGGCACCGCTCACTGACGAGAGAGAAGCGGTAATCACGTTCTTGGATGACTGCGCTCAACTATGCGGGAAGGGGCCCTATCGCTACCTCGAGGGACTGCAAACGCTCTGTCGCGAATATGATACCGAGGACGTCGATATGGACGGGACAGGCTATCGCATGGACGACGAGAGCCTCCCTAGCCCACTACTCATAACAATCGCGGAGCAGTTCGCCGCCAAGCTGAAGGGAGAGCACATCTCTCCGTCAGACGCACTGGCGGTCGTGACGTTCGTGCGGAAGCTGGTGTGTCGGCTGATGGGCAAGACGTGCCAGCTCGGCTACCTGGCTAGATACGTTGAGCGGCTGCGCAGAGACGTTTGGCCGTTGTTGGAGTTCGCAGAGTATCCTTCGATGACGGTGGCTTGTCGGTGGGAGGCAGAGCACCTAGAGTCGCTAATCTCGCAGGCCAATTTCTCAGAGGCAGAGTCAAACACCAAGAGAAATCCAGCGATCGAAGTACACCTAGCAAAGGCAGAGTCACAGCCCGCTCGTGAGTCACTGCTCGTCTCTAGCTGTGCGTTCATTACTCATAACATACCCCGGCTATGCAGTGGATTCAGAGGCGGAACAAAGGGTTGCAGCATTCGAGCTGATCGACTGGTTCCGCTTCGTACAGCGTTCGCTTACTGCATCCCAAGTGACTAGACTAAGCTCTGCGGTCGAGAAACTCTACAAACCTGCCCTCCGTGCGCTATTTGAGTACCTCAGGCCAAAACAGCATTGCGTCTGGGAATGCCTTGACGTTACCAACCACTTTACAGAACTGCAAGACCAGTACGTGTCGTCTTCTCGTCAGCCAACTCACACTGACAGCGGCGCGCAGGTCATCATTCGATGTGCTCTTCACTCATTGTAGAGCCTCGCACTTGAAGGACCCCGCCGTTCGCGAGGTCTTAGCTACATCTCTAGTCTCGAAGCTTTCCACGCTCCTGGATGTCACCAGAGGGGTAGTTCTGGTGAACCATAGGCTTCGTGCGAGTCTGGCCGCGGAGGAAGAGCCCGGATCCAAGGATGCACTGTTGTTGTTGGCGCAGGTCGCGAAACATGCTAAAGGCAAGCTGCACTCTGACGAGTACAAGCAGTTGCTTGGACGCGTCTTCGATATGGTATCCGTGAGGCAACTTTGTGAACAGCCGTTGTCGGTCATGCTGCGTGAAGGTGCGTTCTATAGCCGTCTATATGTCAATTGCGCTACTGACGTTGAATCGTAGGACTGTCGTCTCTGTTGGGGTGTACACCCTCCTCTACGGGTGCGCTAGCCGGATTCAGTCGCTTGTGGGCTCTCAGGGCAAGTGCGAAGAGCTTGAGCGATGACGAGGTATGCCTCTACAAATTATCCAAATCTCAACGACATCTCATTTGGTCATAGATGGAAACTACACGGTTGTGGATTCCGTATGCAGACCCGAGTGATCTCCTGGCTCTGCTGGACCTATTCGCCAGCAATGCTTCCATGGCCACCGAACGAGCCGCCATCATTGAAGAGGCCCTTGGCGCCCTCGCCAGCAACATGTCTACCGTCCAACCGAAAGCGTCGACCATTGCTTCCCTACACTCGATCCTGCCGCAATCACTGCAGTTAGAACGGATTCTTGGGACCTTGCTCCATGACCAACTGCCGCTCTGCTACGACGGCCTGGTTCCCGATATGGATGCTATGGATCTGCACGGTGTGATATCTGAATCAAATAGGCGATGGTCGAGGTGCATCGTCCGCCCTGAATCCTTCGTGTCCATTGAAGAGGTCCTCAAGTCTCAACACTGGTCAGACGCCACCGCAGATATCGTTGTCAGCCTCGTGTATCGGCAGCCCTCCGCCCGTAGCGCCGTGCTAGAGTGGCTGAACGACGACGTCACCGCCGTGTGCACAACACACCATCTTGCTCGTGTCTTATTCGCCCTGGTCGACTGTGGATTCCTCGTGACCTCTACCGAACACGATATCACCCACCTCGTCCAGCACTATCGCAAAGTTGTGCGTGGTCTCGCTCGCGGCAAGCACACTGAAGACACCGGACGACTGGGCGCGTTGTACCTCAAGACGGCATGTGCGATGACCGAGCACTTGGGGTCCATACGCGGGCAGCTGATAGCAACACTCCAACGGGAATGCGAGAAAATGAACTCGGATGCAGTGTCTTTCTATCTCCTCCGAGTGCTAGCAGTCCTGTGCCAAGAGGTGAAGACTGAGGTTACCGAGGTTGCCGAAGAGCTGACGGCCAAAGCACTTCCGTGGGCAGTGCGGCTGCTCGCCAGTGGGGAAGCCATCACTTCGGCGGAAATTGAGGCATTAACAGATCTAGGTATGCGCGCTCTTAGATCGATACTCATAGGCTGAGCTATGTTGCAGGCACCATTGCGTCGGCCGTGCCACCAAAGAGCCATTTGGTCGAACCTGTTCTCACAGCCGTGGCGCAGCAATGTCTCGGTAACGTCTCCGCCATCCACTTCGCGCAGGTTCTGGTCCAGGCTACCCCATCATTGAAGGTAAGCATGAGACTCCGCGATCGCATACGGTGTTCGACTCACAATTGGTATAGCCCTTTTCGATCAACAAGTTCCTGCAGAGCATCGTGCAGCACCCTCAGCTTTACGCGTCCTGTGGTCAAGACGCTCTCGTCCGAGATGCAACCGCAGAACTGCTGCTTGTTCTCTTCCGGCTACACCCTGCAAATACATGCCAGTCGACGCACATCGAGCCTTTGCTCCGGCTGTACACCGGAACACTCTCGGCGTCTGACAGGAATATACTAGCCATTTTCCGCCTCTTCGAGTCCGTTCGCAAAACTTCCTGCTCGACTCTTCTCAGTCGCTGGTCCTCGTCGCCCGCTGGATCGTCTTCCAGTGCGTTGGATGCCGTATTGAGCCTGGATCCGAGCCGGGTCCTCAAAACGTGTCTTGACTTCCCGCAATGTCGCCGGATGTTGGAGGACGTGGATGACGGGAAAGTAGCAGTCGACGCGATATACGACCCGGTCCTCCTTTTCTTGCTCTTGTCGCAGGCTCTGTCGTCAAGTCCTCCATCATCGGCTCTCAGCTGGATACAGTTGTTCAGGACAAATGTCGTCAGCCTCCTGATTCGGGCCGTTTCCGCGAAGGATGAGCAGCTACGAAACGTTGCACTGGCTCAGTTGGCAGCATTGCACAAAACTCTTCAGGTGTGTCATCCTCTAGTGGTTCACTCTTCGCTCGTAGCTGACGCTTTTGTTAAGGATGTCGATATGCAGGAGCAGCCTCACGTGCTATATATCCTGAACCTACTCAAAGATGCTCTGTCCGAAGCCCCCAAAGACACCGTCCCGCGCTTACCCTCTTTTACTTCCCTGATCCTTGGACACGCTCTCCGCGCCGTCTTCTATCCGTCCAATTTCATCTATCCTCTCTCAGCACGTTTCCTGATGCAGCGGCCCAAGCTAGACACAACTGACGTGCCCATGCTGTTTGGCATGCTCTACAGCTCCTCGGAACAATGGAAGAAGGAACGAGGCTGGATCGTCCGGTTCCTGAGCGATGCGATGGTCGGGTCCGACGAGTGGAGGATCATGCAGAGGCGGCACACATGGGATCTGCTAGCGAGCTTGTTTCAGAGCGAAGAGCGGGATCGTGCATTGAGACGCGGGATCCTGGAGGTGCTGGCAAACATCACCTGCAATGCCCGCGCTACGACCTCGCTCGTCCTCAAGTCCGCGCTGTTGCCGTGGATCGAGATGCAAATGAGGAGCATGATACAGGACGACCCACTAGCATGGACCAAGATTTTGGCCAATATCGTATCTGTCGTGGACCCCTCCAAAATAGAAGCTGCGACAAGTGGTGAATGGCGCTTGATCTTAGGTAGATGCGTCCTTAGCATCCTGATCAGCCCTTGTAAGTCTTCTCTCGACTCCGCGTCATGTGAACCTCGCTAATGTTGTCCGTCTGTAGCGTGCACTGTATCAGTCTTCCCATATCTTACGGACGTACTCCTCCGGGTTGCGCTCCTACCCGGCACACCTGCACTGGAACTCGGTCACCTTCTCGCGCCATCTTTGGCATGGCTCGAGAAAATGGAAGAGTGTATACACGTCCCTTCAAGCCAACCGCTATCCCGGGATCAGGGCCGCCTCTCGTTACCTCCCTATAGTTCACGCGAGCTATTCGACCATGATCCTCATGACTCTGTCCTGGCGTGGAGCGATTGCGTGGAAAAATTATGGAGAACGTGCATGACACAGGATATCAAGCGCGCAGACTGGGATGCCTTGACGCACCGGCTAGTGGTGTGCAATGCTATCAAGACTGAGAAGAGTGTCGTAGGAGAATGGGCGAGGCAGGAAACAGTCCGAATCCTTGGTTGAGCGTGTTGGGTTTACATTACAGATATAGCATGCCTACCCAGTACCCATAATGTACCCATAGTTCAGTGCGTACCCCGGAGCACAATTGCAAAGTGTAGCAGAGAGGGTCAGTAAGAACTGAAGGTACCGAGGCTTCGAAGTATTGAACGTGATGCTGTTTCTGCTCACCAGCTCAGATAATTGCGTGGCGTAGGCGGCGCTGGGGAAAACTACACTAGTATGCCTGTCTGTCCAATGTACATCTGTTCTACACCACTCCCTAGACGTACAATCTCGTCCCGTGCTGTCGATATGTCTGATTCTTCAGTCGACACCGTCTTCCGCCGGTAGGTGTGCTCCCTCTCCCTCATCCTCGTCAGAAGACTCTTCCTCCACTGTGCCACCCCCCCAGAACCGGTTCACGAGATTGCGCAGCATCCGCACTGGTAAGGGCTGCGGTGATTCGTTCAGCCAATGATATGGTGTACTGTGAAAGTAACTCACCGCTACCTCCTCTTCCTCATCATCGTCCTCATCGTCCTCATCCTCTTCGTCCACTGCATCATCAGCGCCAGCAGGCTCAACACCAGGTACACCTGCCTCCCCAAACATTTCGGCCATGGGCACGAACCCTCCCGGCATCGCATCCCCCGCGCCCTGGCCCGCCTGGTCAGCCACCTGTATCATCAGATCCTCCACCGCCTCAGGGTCAATCTGCTGGAGGATCTGCGCAAAGTGAACGAAGCCCCCGGGGAACTGGCGCTGAAACGCGGGGTGCGCGGCCCAAAAGTCCTCCATCTGCCTACGGAAGACGGGGTCGGGGATGAGCTGCTGGAGGAGCCGCTCGTTCGCCTTGCGGCTGCGGCGCTGAATGTTCATCGCATCCTCCGCGCCGCGGAAGAACTCTGCGTCGTACTCGTTCACGCGCGTTGGCGGCGGCAGCGGGTCGCACGCGAGGTTCTTCGCGTTTGTCACTTCACGCGGGATGAATCCGAACAGCCGCCGGCAGGACGATTCGTTAACTATCGCGTGCCGGTAGACCCCGTGCGCAATCTCTGGTCTGCTGAAGAGCGCGACAAAGCCGAGGTATGCGGGCGAGGTGGTGTCGTATGACGGCGGTAGCGATGTCACGCTCGCGCTGACCGTCTGGGCGAACCAAGATGCTCTCTCGGGTGTCTTCCAGAGTATTGACGAACGTTGTGCGTAGAGATGAGACAGCAGATGGAGAATCCCTGCAGACGGCGTCGGCAGCGAGCTAGAATCCGGATAGACCCGGAATGCAGAATGCCCCCTGACCGACGCCGGAAGGGAGATGTCTGCCTTGTCGGCGAGCAGGGGGACTATTGTTGGGAACGATAGGATTGCTTCTTCAAGCGCGGAGGTACTTGCAGCATGGTCCTGTGGATATCTATGTCTCAGACCTATTCCACCTGAGGATATGAGGATCTGCATACCAGACCTTTCGCCTCCTCGTCAGAGTATAGAGCGAGCGCCCTGGAGTACGCCCATCCCGGCAGTACGGTCGGGCGCAGACGGTTGCGGAAACCATCATCGTCGCCGACCTGCGAGAAGAAGTCCCAGACATCGAGCAGCCACTGGCCCATACTTGCTTTGTGAGCGAGGTAGTCCAAGTGCAAGAGCGCGCCGTGAGGATCCGACCAAGGGTCCAGCGAATAGAGCAATCGTGCAAACTCAAATGAGGTACGCACGCAGCCTCGGCGTTGTAGATCGCTGCGGATGAAGCTTGTCTGAGTCGGGAGGCATGCGGGATAGCGATGTATACGTACCTTATTTGTCGATGCACGGCCAGGAAGAATGGTCGATTCTCCACGTGGTCAAAGTCCAGACGGTGCACGCCTGCCGTGAAGTTGAACGAAGTGCCCAGGAAGGCCCGTTCGTAGCCGAAGAGCGCTCTGTCGATCATGTCTGCAGCTGTACTATGCTCTTCCCTGTGGAAATACACCTCGGACATTTGCAGGAGCGTGTCGCCATGATATGGCATCTGACCCAGGATCTGGTTGAAGCCCACAGGGTCTGCAACACATCAGTGAAGAGCAATGCTCCATATGACACACACATACCTCCCGACATGACTGTCTGCATGAAAGCAAGGGTGACTGAGCGGTACTTCTTACTGTACTCCACTGTCCACACTTTCTCACCGAGCAGTGGCGACCACGCGTGCCGTCCGCGCATCTGCTCTTCGTCCTCCGGGGTGTATAGTCGCGAGGACAACCCTTGCCTGTAGGTCGCGGACCACCAATTGCCCTTGGGGCGCGCGAGTGTCGCCTTCGCCTGCGACTTGAGTCTTGCCGCCGCAGCCGCCGCCCGCTTGGACGGCCCCGACTCTGCGGATTTGGCGGCAGAGATGACTTTCGCGCCGAAGAACTTGCGGAGTTCCGCCTCAGCGTCGAGGTTCTGGAGGGACACGGAGAGCAGGGATGCAAGAGCGGCGGACGTGTTGCGGGCTGCAGGTGAGGCACTGGTCGATGCCACGACCTGCTGCAGGTCCGGGTACTTGATCGATAGCTCCGCGAGCGCCTTGTCGACGTCGTCGCGGTCGTCCTTCTGCTCCTTCGCCTTCAGTTTCTTCGCCGCCTTGCGTTCCTTCTTGGAGATACTCGGAGAAGGCGAAGGGCTGGCTTCATTGTGTGCTTTCACTTCGGCCACCTCGGGAGGCGGTGTGGGGGCAGCTGGGGATTCAGTGCTAGCAGGCTTCTTTTTCTTCTTCTTCTACAAGCTAAGGGTCAGAAACGGGGTGTAGTCACACTGGACTAAGATGGCTCACGAGCCTTCTTCGATTTGGTAGCCCGAGGGGCCGAAGGCGCATCACTCTCCGTCTCCGAGTCCGCTGTATTCATGAGCTTTGTAGATGTCAGCGTTTGGCTGGAGTTTCAAGTGACTGGGGCCTTACCGCCGCAAAACCACCGCCCATAGTCTTCGTGGATTGTGGTACCTCGGCTTCGCTCTCTTCCGCCTCCGACGCGTCGTCTCTTTCTTTTGGAACCTCAAGGGCAGCCAGCTCCTCTTGTTCGCGCAGTTGGCGTTTGTTCAGCCGAGGAGGCATATCGCGGTTCCGGCAACTGTTTCGCGGCGCACTAAGTCACTTCGCAGACACAGAACACTCCAGCAGTCGTGAGTTCACCGCCTTGCCAGATAGTATCCAACAAGTGTTCCAAAGACTAGGATATCTGCAGAAACTAAGAGGTGAGGGTGGAGGAGGGCAGAGTGTAAGTTACCAATGTTCCGAGGTGACTGAGTCTGGAGCGATGTTTGACCTCATGTCACGTGCAGGCTACAAGCTGTGTCGATTTCTCGATATTGCAGAGGGTCTCGTACTGCACATGCACAGGGCTGTGAGCTAACTACTAGCTGTATGTCAAGGTAGACATGATTTTAGTACAGTACCATCCAAGGTTACTGACGGCGAGTTACGTCTCGCGGCTCGCGCGATCTTACAGTGACGGACCCCGAACGTGACCGGCGTCGGCCAGGAGAAGGTAGAAATAGGTACACTGGTCCTTCACACAAACACTTATTCATCATGCCTCTTTGCTGTGTTTCAGCTATTTTCAGAACGTTGGACAGTCGCAAACGCGCGCGACATACGATGACCAAGCGCCCCGCTCTTCGAGAAGTTGGAAAGAGCGGCGCTCACGCCAACGCACCGCTCCTCCACACCTCTACATATGCTCGCTTGAGTCTGTTTTGTTCCAACTGTGTGCGGTACAATGAGAATGGGTCGCGATCACGTTTTCTCGTGGTGGTAGACAGCCTACCAGATCCAACTAACTTATGTACAGCCCATACCGTAAATACTCTCACAATTGAACTTACATCGCAGCTCGCTGCCTCAGAAACCGCAGATGCATCGATGAGTCCCGACACCCGCCGCAAGCAAGGTCGGAAGGAGCCATAGACGCGTTTTGCGAGATTTCTCAGGCTCGCATCTAGGGCGCACGGGATCGCGTCGCGCAGGCCGTATCATACATCTGCATGCCATTTGCGAGGGCCGCGTTGTCCTGTACAGTGCAGTGGGGAGGAAGAGCGGGGCGATGGCGCAAGTGCCGCTTTCTCCAACATCTCGAAGGGTGGAGTGCTTAGTCATTGTATGTCGCTCGCGTTTGCTACTGTCCAACGTACTGAAAATAGCTGTTAGGTACCAGTCAGGTTGCATGGATGCACTGTCTCAAGGATCGGTGGTCTCAAGAAGCCGTTGGTGAGTGTAGATAGTATGGGGCGATGATGTACGTCTAGGGAGCAGTGTAGAACAGATTTAACTAGACAAATATGCATGACTCGACGAGGAAAGCGTCCCACTGCACCTCCCAAGCCAGGAAGGCATCTGAACGGTGAGTTGAACTGACGTCGTAGTCGGTAGGTAAGGGTCGCGCGTAGAGGCTGGCGTATCCTCGTTGCTTTCACACTGGAACTAGGATCCGCGCTATGACTGAATCATAAAGGCGCGGAACCCTCTTGTCGCTGTTCCTTCGTCAGCCTGACATTGACGCTAACGTATGGCCGCAGCTAGTGTTGTTTCTTCAGCATATAACAGAGGTCACAGGAGGCGGTCAACGCACCTGGGTGTTTTGGATGGTCTCAATCGAGGGCGCAATAAACACTCGGACCTTCTCGTCAATCAGACGGTACTTCGCCTTGCCGCCAATGACATGCTTTCCCGGTGCGCCTGTACGGATGCCTGGGACAAATGCCTGCCGAGTGCCTAGCCACCAAGTGAGCTACTACCCGAGACTGACCGCAAAGAAACGCACCCTTGTAGAAGTCCTTGTTTCCGCGCTTGGGTGTGAGCGTCCTCCGGGAGGCCTTGGAGAGCCTAACGAGCGTCGGGAACATGGTCGAGGTACGGTGGCAAGACGAGCGTCGAGCCGCCCGTGCCCGCTCGCGCTGAGCGCGCGCGCGAGGTACGCGAAATTCTCACGCATACCCGTCATGGCTAGAGGCAGCGGCCCCGCCTCCCGCCCACACAGAGGCGCAAAGCGCGGCCGCGGTTCGGCGCATTCAAGCAGAGGAGGACGCGGCGGACACCCACGACGACAGGTGCAAGATGCTGATGATCGCAGGCCAGATAGCGCGGTCGACGAGGAGGAGGAAGGCGAAGCGGATGGCCCTACCGACGAATCCGGGGAAGAGGAAGACAGCGGGCCTGGTGAGCAGACTCAGCCTTCACCTGCTTTACTACTTTGCTCATGGTGTGTCAGAGGTCAGCATCGATGTACCCGTGGCCATGTGGGTGCGTATGTATGAAGTGCAACACACATGTGCGCTGAGTCTGAGGCGCAGGACTTTGACCACTGTGACCCCCGGCGATGTTCCGGCAAACGACTGGCGAGGTTAGGCCTCATCAAAGAGCTGAAAGTCGGACAACGGTTTAGGGGGATTGTGGTGTCGTGAGTAGCCTCGTATATGGATCGTCGACTTGTGCTGACCCCCGATGGAACCTCAATTAGCCCTAGAGGGACACAAGTAGTCAGCCCAGCAGACCGCGACATCGTTCTCCAACATGGCATCGCCGTAGTGGAGTGCTCTTGGGCTCGACTGGACGATGTCCCGTTCGGCAAGATTGCGAGTCCGCACGAACGGCTATGTAAGTCGGTTTGCTCTCCCCGCGTTTACTCTGTTCTGACGGTCTTCTGGCGCAGTGCCGTACCTCGTCGCGGCGAATCCTGTCAACTATGGGAAGCCTTGGAGACTCAACTGCGTCGAAGCAATAGCAGCCGCCTTCTACCTGACCGGATTCAAGGAGTACGCCGATCACCTTCTGAGCAAGTTTGGCTGGGGCGAGGCCTTTTGGAAAATCAATGAGTGCGTCATGCGTCCTAAGGCGCTGTTCGATCTCACGTAGAAGCCAACTTTTCAGGGTGTATCTGGAGCAATACTGTCAATGTAGCACCGCCGCCGACGTAGCTGCGACGCAAGACCGCATCATGCTCGAGCTGGAAGAAAGCTATCAGCAGTCACGAGAAGAGAGCGCGGCTGGTGAGTGTAGGCTGTGCTGTGGTCTGGCTCGCTTCTCACATCTTGTGCAGGGTACGGAGGTGATCTTCTCGTGGAGAATCCAAACCATTGAGCACAGCCTTGCTGCCCCCGGGTATTGTCTATGCCCTCGTGTAAGATATATGAAAGTGTCTCGCATCCTCTCGCCTCCTGTCTTGTATTTATATCGTTCACATCGGCGATCATCACCGCCTTAGGTTTCGATGTCTGGCAAGGCTTGATGTTTACAACGACAGCGATAACGGTAAGATTTGACGCAATCGCATGTTCCGCCGGCTTCACCCCACTCGCAGCATAACCGCTCGAGCACCCAACCGCACAACATCCTTGCCAACATTGCTTAGGCCTCAGGCCTTTCCTGCCCCTGCCACCCCGCTCACTGCTAATCGTCTTCTCCGTGTTACGATACACTCAGGCAGACCCTCGAACCTATTCGGACACCGTTCGGACGCGCTCGGGCATTGCACAACGCAGTCGATGTTCAGGGGAGATGAATGGGAGCGATGTGTTCTTGGAAATTGCCTCTCATCGCGGGCAAAAAGGGGTTTCGTGACTCCGAAAATGCTGGTGCGCCCGCGGTATCTAGGTCTCTTCCATCAATTAACGCGACGTAACTTAGCTTCATGCTGATACAGCAGACCACTTACCCAAGACTTCTCATCGTCTCGTATCATCGACCGCCGAGTATTGTTCCCCATCATGTCATCTCAAGCCAATGTTTCCATTCTCCTGAGATTGCACGGAATTTGCACTCAAGTACACTCCGTTCCCTGCAAAGCGCCAAATCCAAGGCCCGGTAAGGACTTTGACTCAGTGTGCCGTTGATATGGGCTGATGTCGACCTATGTAGGCGCGGTAAATATAGCCAGTACTTTAGCAGATAATCAACTTTTCCGTGATCGAACATCGTGCGTCCGTGCTGAACGGCTCCCTCCACGATTGGCCCGCCGGGAACATACTCACTCGAGATCCGATCCTGTGTCGATGGCCGCGCTGGGATGGAACTTTGTGGCATGTATTAAGGCAGTGTCGCCCATACATACATAGACTGGCGTGCCCTACCCCGCCCCGCATTTGCGCTTGTCTTTCCAGGCTTGCTGTGCTGTGGGGAGTTATCAGACAGACAGTGACCTCTTCGTACTCGAGCAGTGTGCTTATTCTTCGTTGAATCCCTAGTCTTCGGAAACGGAGAAACCATGTCCTCGTCTACGGCAGTCCCCCTTGCGCTTCCGACGTCTGTGCCACTGCTGTATGTCTTCAGCTTTGATAATGAGGTCTTTATATTTTCTGACTGGCATGGTCGCTTTGCAGTGCCGGACCACAGGTGAGACACGCCCTTAACGGGGCACTGAAGGGAGCTGAAGATACGTGCAACAGCTTCTTGGAGTGTTCTTCAACTGGGGTCTGCTGGGTGTACTGACCGTGCAATGTTGTGAGTAGAAGTCACTACGTGTGTTTTGCGCTGACCCACTCCTTCCGCGCAGATGCATATCACGATAATTTCAAGACCGACCGACTCTCCCTCAAATCACTTGGTACGCCTCCCCTCGCTCCATTTCCACCACGGCACTGACAACCCCGGATCCAGTGCTCGGCGTGCTCACCTACGAATGGGTGCAGACTGGGGTCATCACCGCGGCTGCAATGCAAATCTACGTATACGACTACGGGAACGTGCTCTCGGTGCTCGAGTTCCACAACACCTGGTTCTCCGCGACGATCATGTGCGGGCTTATCTCGGCCGTCGTGCAGACTTATTTCGCGTGGAGGATCTTCAAGCTCTCGAGGTCGCGCGTACTAGGCGGGTCAATGGCTGTGTTCATCGTTGCGGTATGTTCTTTAGTGTCAAGAATATCGAGTATGTAGATAATATTGACGTCGGGTTCTGGATAGCTCGCTTTGTTGCAGATGATTGCGTGTATGATCACCGGAGCGAAGGCCAGGCGTCCCCACTGAGACGTTATACGGCGGGCACTGACGTATTGGGTGCAGGAGAAAGCTGAAGGCATCGCTTCCGCGCTTCATGGCCAGCTGCTAACCGTCTCGATCGTGCGTCTCATGCAATTCTGTACCTCTCAGGCATATTGATGATGTCTAGCTCTGGCTTGCGGGGGCTGTCGTGGTCGACGTGCTCATTGCCGTGTGCATGACCTACCTCGTACGTCCGTCCGTGCACTCTTCACCTGCCCCCGTGTTGACGACGGCGTAGCTCCTGAGGAACAAAACTGGGATCGCATCTACAGATGCTATTATCAACCGGATGATCCGACTGGTGTTTGAGACCGGCACCCTCACTGGTGAGTCTCCCCGGTTCTTCGCATGTAAGCGGTCGAACCGACAGGTCCCTCGTAGCTAGTTTATCGATTCTTGTCCTCATCACAGCAAATGTCAAACCGGTGAGCAGACTGCTGCTTCTTCGGAAGATGACGGTTTGACTGATTGCTCGCAGTTGCATGAGACGCTGGTTTACCAGGCTCCCGCTCTGATCCTCACGAAGATGTAAGCATCCATCGAATGCTCAGTTGACATAGTCTTGGATAACCGTGCTCAAGGTACTCGAATACACTCCTTACGAATCTGAACAGTCGCGTGTATCTACGCAAGTACGACGAGGCTACCGTTGAGCTCCCGCCGATGAGCGGGCTCCGCTTCGCCAACAGCGGCGCTTTCGCGCTCGACTCTTCTGCGGGCCAGATGACAACCGCGGAGATAGCGCAGAAGGGCTTCGCGCTCGTGGGCGCGCTCGAGAGCAGCCGTAGCGCGGGCTTCGTGATGCACCGGAGGGACGCGGGCGCAGAGAGTGACGACGCGGTGTCCGAGAAGTCGGAGAAGCGAAGACAGAGGCGGAACTCGATGGTGTAGGATTGTGGACCTCTCTGCACTCGGACTATCTCGGGTGGTGGCGTTTGCTAATGGGGAAGTGCGCGTACTCGCCCACCTGGCATGCGACGTGCGGGGCGTGGCATAGGAGTCAAAAAACGGTGGTTATATGTACGGTTGCTGTGATGTATTATCCGTCTGTCCTGTCAAAAATGAAGCTTCCGTAATCTTGTAACGCGTGAGTATCGTGCCGAACGATGAGCAGCACGCGAACGACGACGACGACGAGACGCGAGAGACCGCGTTTACACGGTGCACGTGACCGTAGGGCGCGATTGCGCCATCGTTCGCCATCGTCTGAGTTTGCAACGCGGACGGACGCGTCTTCCTCCTTTCTTCCTGCCCCCATCTCCCCTGTCTCGTACGTTGTCCTCGCCCATGTTGTCCTCGATGTCTGGCTCGTCGTTCTGGCCGCCCCCGCTGCCCCATTGCTGCCTTCTGATGGTCTCCTCAGTCAAGCACGTGATGCCTTTGAGCGTATGCGGCCGTACCGAAAGTCAAATGATATGCAGAGCAATCGAATTCTATGCAGCTCGAGGGTATTTCTTGGAGACATCCAGAGTCTACTCTGCGACGTCTAGACCGAACGGCGAAGACTCGCCCGAGACGAAGGGAGCTGTGCGGTCAACTGTCATAGTTGACAGTGCCTTCTCCCGGACGGAAGGTTGCTGGTGGGGAGGAAAGACCTACTGTGGTGCGTACTCGGATGTTACTCTGACCCGATCGTCCACGATACAGTCAGCGTATGTACTGCTGTGGGAGTATTCACAGACATCAACTGCAAACGGCTTGCCATGGCCACCGTTAAACTTCCGGTCGTTGTAGGCAGTAGTCTGTCCCCGCCGTTCTCTATACGCAATACCTTCGCTCGGCCCCACTCGGATGCCCATGTTGCACGTTGAGGAACCCCCTGTGTCTGCGTCTACACCCGCCTTATCACCGCCCCCCCCCCCCGCCGCTCGTCGCTTGCGTCCTCTCCCTGCGCGCCTCGAGTACTCGCTGCGGCCGCAGGTCTTCTGCTCCGAGTCACCTGCACACCGTATCGCACCCTCTGTCGTCGGCGTCGTCGGTCGCTGGGACTGCTGCCTTGGGTTCCTACTCGGATGCGTCTGCTGTTCAAGCTCCGATCTTATTTCTCACGCGGACTGGGCAGCCTCTTGCACGCGTGCCGAGCAACGTGTGCCTCGTTCCCCTGTTGCAGGTCGTGTCCGCCAGCTTTGGGGTCGTTCAAGCTTCGTATTCCAAATTCTCGTCAGCCTGCAGCGTCTGGGCGCACTTCTGCCTACGTCTTCTTTGGGCCCCATGATTTTGCTACTCTTGTCTGCGGTAAACCCTACTCCTGCAATCTTCTGATTCGCCGTGTCTGTCGCTCGGCTGTCTTGCCGGAATCAGGAGTGTCCGATATGTGTCATTGTTCATGCTATCGCAGGCATTAGCGCGTAACGAGAACAATGTCTCGGTACGTTACCGCCTTGATTTGTTTCTTACCTATTCCTTTTCGTTCCGCCGTGTGATCACTGGTCCATCTGCATGTACATATTTGTTCCCCCACTCCGTCTATAAAAGCTTGTCTTTGCCTCTCCGAACAGCTCAGTGTGACGCCTCAGTCGCAAATCGCCTCTTGGACCGCCAGCCGCAATGCCTCGTTCCACCTCTTCGTCTTCCTCCCGTTCTCCTGCCTCGACGGCGCCGTCTACCCCACCTGTCGAGTCCGCCCCTGCTTACTTCCTCCTAACACATGAGGCCACCGCACCTTTCCTGAAGACCCTGCCGGCTCAACAAGGGAGTGGCGACCGTGTGCTCCTCCTGGAAGGCCACGGTCCTGCGCGTACGCTGCTGGAAGACGCTGCAGATGTCCTTGAAGATAAGCCGCTCTTCGATGCCACAAAATGGGAATGCGTGAAGACGACCGATGAGGGCGCTGAAGTCGTGTATCACCGCACGAAGCCGTCAGCTCTGAGCTCTGTAGCTGATGCAGTGGCATTCGATGAACTGCATGTTCAGACTGAACGCGTATGTATCTCGGGGATCGCATCGCTAGCCGTTTTGCTGAATATCTTTGCATGACTATGCAGCGGTCGCATGAGGACGTGCTCAACATATGCTCGGCTGCCTGCCTTCGAGTCGTCGTGACCCTACATTCGACCACAGAGGACTCGCTCGTTCTTCATATCCTCGAGCGCCCCGCCGTCACCTTCCCCCGCCTCTCGCTTACCCCGTGCTCGACTCTCAACCCCACAGGCAGCCCCTATAACATGCCCTCCCTCTCCGAGTTCCAAGACGGCTGGCGCGTGTGGGACCTCATCACCCTCGGGATGATCCCGCCCTCGCTCCTCCACAGCAAGCCCATCGACCTGCGGCACAAGCCGCTGTTCTACCTCGGCCACCTCCCGACGTTCCTCAACCTGCTCATGACCGCGCACCTGAAGGAGCGCCCCGTCGAGCCCGTGCGGTTCACGATGATCTTCGAGCGCGGCATCGACCCGCATGTGGACGACCCGGAGTACTGCCATTCGCACTCGGAGGTCCCGGAGAAGGACGAAGACTGGCCGGTGCTCGGTGAGGTGCTCGCGTACCGCGACAGGGTGAGGGAGCGCCTTATGCGGCTGTACGAGGAGCTCGGGAAGGGCGAGCGTACCCTGACTAGGAGACTCGCGAGGACGTTGATGATGGTCCTGGAGCATGACGGGTTCCACGTCGAGGTTTGTTTCCGTGCATACTTGTCTTCATGCTTGGTTTTGACTAGTTCACGCAGACCTTGCTCTATATTCTCATCCAACGCGCCGGCAATGGAATGCTCCCGCCGCCCGGCTTTGCTATTCCTCCGTGGAAGCACCTCGCCGCTCAATGGGACGCAACGCCCGCACCCGCCACTCCCTGTGCCACACTCGGGCCTTGCACGCTCACGATGGGCCACGACGACCAAGAGCCCGACGACATCCTCCCGGACTTTACCAACGCCGTCGAAGGACACGAGTTCGGCTGGGACAACGAGAGCCCGAAGCGCACCGTCGCCGTCGGGAAGTTCAACGTCTCCTGGCGGCCCATCACGAACAGCGAATTTCTCGACTTCTGGCGGGGCGCGGGCAAGGACTGCGTCGGGCTGCCGCCGAGCTGGGTGCTCGGCCCCGAGGGCGAGGTACAGGTGCGCACGCTGTACGGATCCGTGCCGATGGACGTTGCGCGGCGCTGGCCGGTGCTCACGGCGTACGACGATCTCGCGGCGTATGCGGCGAGCAAGGGCGGGAGGATCCCGACGGAGCCGGAGCTCAGGCTGTTCTTGGACACGTACCAGGTCGGCTACGAGGAGGGCGCGAATACAGGCTTCAGAAACTGGCATCCCATGCCGTAAGTTTCCCTGCTTACTCTTCTGTGCGTACCGAGCTGATGAGTTATGTGTAGCGCGACGGCCGGCGGCGAGAAGAACGACGGCCGGGGTTCCAACGGCGGCGTCTGGGAGTGGACGTCGACGCTCTTCGACAAGCATGAAGGGTTCGCGGGCACGGCCATCTTCCCGGGGTATGTACGGCGGTGCATCCACTGCAGCATGTTGACTAACCGAGTCATGCTCTGTAGCTACTCCTCTGACTTCTATGACACGAAGCACCAGGTCGTGGTGAGTACCGTTTCCCCTGTGCTCCATCGCACAAGCCGCTGACTCGGATGCCTTCTACAGCTTGGCGCGTCGTACGCGACCATACCCCGCTTGGGCGATCGCCGCACGGTGCGCAACTTCTACCAACACAACTACCCGTACCCGTGGGTTGGTGCTAGGGTGGCGTACGACTGCTGAAAATTATGATGGGGCGGAGAAGGTGAAGGTCATGGTTCCCCTGGATTCGTTCCGCTGTCCAATCGCTATGCGTATTTCTGAACGACTGTAAGCACTGCATGTACTCATATTACTGTTCTCGACTATTGATCCACTCTTATCGCACACTACACGTGGATTTATGGTGGTCGGGACGCGGATCCTACTGAAAGACGTCGTCCTAACCACCGCCTTTCGTTGCAAAGCCAACGTTCATGTTCAGCGCTCAGTAGTTGTCACGGTAGAGAACATCATCGTCGCCCGTCGGGCTAGCATGCACTCTCACTCACCATGATGAATGTGGTACACGCCCGCAGGTCTGATTGAGCCGTAACTAGTCACAGTGGATGCGCTACCCAACCGCGGCGGCCAAGGAGAAGGATTGGTATTCACGCTGACCAGACAGTATGTATTCAACCACAAAAACCGGTCCAAAAGTAATATTCCTGGTGCGACCCTTGCTGCAATTCTCGTATAGTCACCAACTTCAATTCGTCCAGGTCACCGTCTTTGTCGTCGCAAACAGTCCAGGCGAAGTCTATGATGTTCCACGTGTGAACACGACCGTGCTTTTCGCATGGCTTCGTACCACAGGGCGCGCGAACGAGGTTGTTCGAGCGTAAATCGGTGTGCCACAAATAAATGTCTGATAAATCGTCGAGTATTGCGCACATGTCTTCCCTTATTAAGCCGACTTGTCAGAGAGAACATTAAACCCGGTGAGCGCAGGCACCCGACTTACTGCATGGCTTCGTCCGCATCGTCCTTGACTGTGTAGGTCGCCCCTCCGCGCGACATCACAAGCACGGCCAACAGTGGTGCATCAGGGTCTGGCCTCCAGCTATCCCATGACGAGAGTTCTTTGCCACCAGGTCTATGTTTGTGCACGCCCAATGCCTCATCGTCTGGCAGACGATCATCACGAGTGGAATCATCTTGCGACCCCGCGGGATGATGCTCCAGCGTGAAGTCTTGACTGCTCCAGAGTGGAAATGTTAATTGCTGGCTAGACAAGTCGGCAGTGAAAAATCCGTAGGTATGGGGCGCGATGATCCCCTGCATGTGGCCGCGCCGGTAAATCTGATCGTAGACCCAGGATTCCCGTGCGAGCGTGCGGCAGCGATTGGGCCGTGCAATCTTGACGCAGAGGGTTTCTTCTGGCGGGAGTAGGTTATGGCGGAGCACGTTGTGCTCATCCGATGTAGTCAGAACCTCGGCAGCGTATACCACGGCGGATCTGCCGTCACCGATGCGCTTCCCCAGCTTCAAAGTGAGGCTGCCGTCCTTCGGACGTGGTGACGGCTCCCAGTCCAGTCTAACTCGATATGTACTATGTGCAGAGTGATACTGACAGGCAGGGAAGTCGCCTGCCCTGGACAGTGTGATGGCCTGCGGAAGATCATCGCCCATAAGGGTCAAGGTCGAGAACATTTGGGCTGGTTCCTGCAGAGAACAATCAGCGTACAGACAAGGAATAGGACATCAGCGTGCGCACCATAGATATCGTGGGAAGGCTGAAACGGCGGACAGTGGGTGGCGAGGAATGGCGTATGAGTGCTACCTGCGGGTGGCGCAACTTGAATCCGAACTAAGTCGAACACAGGAGGTCGCTGATGATATATTGAATAATAATGATATATAGCAGTGCCGACGCGGTCACGTGATTAAGTCTTCGTGGCGTCCTGTTACTTGTGGCGGCGGCCCGGCGCACGGTTGCTTGCCGCCAGTTTTCAGTGGACTCTTTGAGTCTCTGATGGGATTCCGATCAAGTACTCGAGCGGGTTGTTGCGCCGTGGAACAGGCGTGCATGAGCGGGGACGAGCGTCAACTGGGAGATCCTGTCAGTCGGTAGGTGAAGGGTTTGAAGAGGGCAGCCTGCAGCATATACGACGCTGATCGGCGGCCACCAGCGACGCGCTTTCCCAGTCTGACATGTATATTGTCGCCGACTTTCGGCGTTGGTGACGGAACCCAACAAGGCTTCGTATGATAGTACATACTACGAGAGAAGACAGACTGGCGGCACGGGAAGTCGTTTGGTCTTGACTCGGACATGGCGATGGCCATAGGCTGGTATGTCGTCGCCGGCGAGAGTCAGTGCTGAGTACATATTGTCGTCTCCTGCAGCAATAGAGAGGTTTGTAAGATGAAAGTGTGATTTTGTTCAACGCACCATTTCTGTACGATCCATGACGCGGCGTCGGAGAATATACAATGACACCTACTTATACTGACGCAACTTGTGATGACGAGCTAGTAGGGTATACATTTGTATCACACCCCATCACCGCTTCAGTTGTCCGCTTGAGTTTCCGGTACCTATGTAGTTACAAATGTTGAGAGTGGGGGGTTCTTGATGCTTGCAAGCAATAATATACACAATGGCCCGGGTCACCGATGCAACTGCAACGAAGAGAGATACCTTCATGTGAGCCGGCGGACCCACAAGGGTAGCGTGATTCCCTCCTCCCCCGCAATTCCCGGTCGAGGCAGAATACCACGCTTGATCTCTGTCTTAGTTTCCGGGCCATCCCTGAATTCGAACGCGTAGTTCCGAATCAAGACGGCCAGAACCACCTGTAATGTAACGGCTTCCAATCAGCATCTGAGACGAGCGTACTCCTAGTCGACCTACCTTGAACTCGGCGAGGGCGAAGTGCCGCCCGGGACAAAATCTCGCGCCGTCCGAAAACGTGAGCATGTGTCGGTGCCCCGAAATCCCCTGTGCGCGCTGAGGGATGCCGCCTTCGTTTATCCAACGCTCAGGCTTGAATGCCTTCGCGTCCGGACCCCAATAATCGATCGACCTGTTCATCATATGAGCAGGCACAAGGACGACTTCACCTTTCGTGATGGCAATGCGGTCGACCACTGTTCCTGTCGGAGTCGTCATTGGAAAGGCCAGTGGCATAATATCGTCTTCGGCCGCCTGAGACTTTGGTCAATAATCACCGGCAGATGGTAACTGAATAAGGGACTAACCACTCGCTCGGTCTCCGGCAGCGGGGGATGGAGGCGCAGAGTTTCATGCACAACGGCGTCGAGATATGGCAACTCGTGCGTGAGCTGATCCCATGTCGGATCCTCGTTGCCGAACTCTAGGAGCTCTTCGCGTAGCTTCTGTTGTACTTCAGGTTTCTTGCAGAGCTCGAGGAGGCACCACTGATAACATAAAGTGAGCGACAGTAAGGAGAGCGATTAATCACGGTGACATACCGACAAGCTGACTATGTGGCTTACTTAGTGAGCTGTTTATGAGATGAGCATGAGCAACGTACTAGACGTTGTTTCATAGCCTGCGAGGATCAAAACCTTCATCTGGGTCGCGTAGTGTTTCGGTCAGGAACAAAAAGAACGGTTCAATCATTTGGTCTTTACCTGTGACAGAACCTCATCCTCCGACATGTGCAACTCGGAATCAGTCTTCTCGGCTTTAACTGCACAAAATGAAGCTGTTAGCTAGTTACAAAATTCGCAGTCCGTGTACTTACTCAGGAGTCCAATGATAGATTTGTCTTCGGTCTTGATCTTGCCCTCGCTCTCCTTCCTCGAGTTCTCCAACAGCTCCTCGGCAATCTCTCCCATGCCTTCATTGAGTCTATCGATGAGCTTCCGGAAGTCCGTAGGCAACTTGGTGACCCATGGGAACACCATGCCCACGACGAATTGCATGGCACCTCCCAAGAGGCTCGGCTTCAGGTTCGCGAAGTCGTTGAATGTATTCGCGACCGCTGAGGGCTTGCCCAGCAGCGTTCCGAAGTCGTGTGAAAAGCCCGCGATACCGATGGTGTCCAGTCTGCCAGAACAGCGTCATGAGTGAGTGCCAATACAACGGCATCAGTGAATGACTAACGAAACATAATTCATCCTGCAAAGAAGAGTTTATCAGGGCGGGCCAGCGTCACGAAGACAGAGAGGAAACGTACCAGCGTTCGACGTCAATTACGGCTTTATCACCGGACTCGGCATCGATGATACCATCCCATGCGGTCTTGAGCTGGTTGCGCAGAGCGTCATCCGATGAATGCGCATCACGATGTCAAATACTCAACTTTGTACGCTGAATCATAGAATACAGAAGTCAATCGTCTGATGGCCGCATTGCTGAAGGCAGGAGACAACGCCTTTCGGTGCCTACAAACATATCAGTACGGTACGAGAACATGACATCATGGATCGGAGGTGCCTACCTCTTGTGTATGTCGCCCTCAGCCCATAGAACGCCACGCCCAGACTGCAACGCGTTTTAAATCAGAATGTTTCGACGCCATAGTAGACAAAAGTGGGTCACTCACGATGTTCTCGGTCGCGTGTTTCCAAAAGGCAGTATACACGTAGCCAGTCGTTTCTCGCGAGAAGAAATGCAAGACGGCCTTCGGATCGCAGAGCACGACTTTCGACGTCCCGAGTACAGCAGGCACGCGGTAGACAGGGCCATACTTCTCCGACCATTCTTCGTACAGCTCTCCGGCGTCCACCAAGTCGCTGACCACCTTGCTAGTACCGAAGAATAAGCTCGGGTTGGGTGGACCTGCAAGAGTCGTGGTGCGTGCGCGTCGACGTCGTTCCTCGAAGACCTTTAACAGCACCCATAACGCGAGAACGCCACATAGGGCGCGGAGTACTGCCATTCGCACTCGGAGGCTCCGGAGAAGGACGAGGACTGGCCGGTGCTCGGTGAGGAGGAGGAGGAGATGGGTCCATTTAGCCGCAATGTACGCGTGTCTACTACACGTGACATGCTCGCGTACCGCGACAGGGTGCGGGAGCGCCTCATGCGGCTGTACGAGGAGCTCGGAAAGGGCGAGCGTACCCTGACGAGGAGGCTCGCGAGGACGTTGATGATGGTCCTGGAGCATGACGGGTTCCACATCGAGGTTTGTTTCTATATGCATACTGACCTTCGCTTGGTTCTGACTAGTTCACGCAGACCTTGCTCTATATTCTCATCCAACGCGCCGGAGACGGCATGCTCCCGCCGCCCGGCTTTGCTGTTCCTCCGTGGAAGCACCTCGCCGCTCAATGGGACGCAACCCCCGCACCCGCCACTCCCTGTGCCACACTAGGGCCTTGCACGCTCACGATCCGGGCCACGACGACCAAGAGCCCGACGACATCCTCCCGGAGTTTACCAACGCCGTCGAAGGACACGAGTTCGGCTGGGACAACGAGAGCCCGAAGCGCACCGTCGCCGTCGGGAAGTTCAACGTCTCCTGGCGGCCCGTCACGAACAGCGAATTTCTCGACTTCTGGCGGGGCGCGGGCAAGGACTGCGTCGGGCTGCCGCCGAGCTGGGTGCTCGGCCCCGAGGGCGAGGTACAGGTGCGCACGCTGTACGGATCCGTGCCGATGGACGTTGCGCGGCACTGGCCGGTGCTCACGGCGTATGACGATCTCGCGGCATATGCGGCGAACAAGGGCGGGAGGATCCCGACTGAGCCGGAGCTCAGGCTGTTCTTGGACACGTACCAGGTCGGCTACGAGGAGGGTGCGAATACGGGCTTCAGAAACTGGCATCCCATGCCGTAAGTTTTACTGCTTACTCTTCTGTGCGTATCGAGCTAAGGAATTATGTGTAGTGCGACGGCCGGCGGCGAGAAGGACGGTGGCCGGGGCTCCAACGGCGGCGTCTGGGAGTGGACGTCGACGCCCTTCGACACGCACGAAGGGTTCGCGGGCACGACCATTTTCCCGGGGTATGTACGGTGGTGCATTCACTGCAGTATGTTGACTAACGGAGTCATGCCTTGTAGCTACTCCTCTGACTTCTATGACACGAAGCACCAGGTTGTGGTGAGTATCGTTTCCCCTGTGCTCCATCGCACAAGCCGCTGACTCGGGTGCCTTCTACAGCTTGGCGCGTCGTACGCGACCATACCCCGCTTGGGCGATCGCCGCACGGTGCGCAACTTCTACCAACACAACTACCCGTACCCGTGGGTTGGTGCTAGGGTGGCATACGACTGCTGAAAATTATGATGAGGCGGAGAAGGTGAAGGTCATGGTTCTCCTGGATTCGATTCGCTGACCAATCGGTACGTGTATTTCTGAACGACTGTACGCACTAGGCCATGTACTAATTGTAGTACTGTTCTCGACTATATGTTCTCGACTATTGATGCATTCTCTTATCGCACACTACACGTGGTAGCCGGGACGCGAATATCATCCTCCGAGTCAGACTGAAAGGTGTCGCGGTCAACGCAATGTATTTCGTGTCGCCGCCACTCTCTCGCACGACCCGGGTCAAGGCGTTGGGCGCTGGGGCGTCGAGTGCCTCCGGATGGGGGCGACACGCCAGGCTTTTGAACATCTTTATGACGACTGTAGATTTCGCATAGCTAGCGCATTGTCCTCCAAGCATTTGCGCACCCATTCGATTGCGCGAGTCCCGAGTGAGCTTGGCATGATCAACAAAGGCCCTTGTGTAAGTACCATGACGGAATATCACTGCAAATAAGCATTCGTAGTCATAGTGACTAGACAGCATGTATTCAAGTACAAGAACCGGTCCAAAAGTAATGATTCTGGTACGAGATGTGCTGCAAGTTTCGTATAGTCTTCAACTTCGATTCGTCCAGGTCACCGTCTATATCGTCGACAAGAACCCAGGCGAAGTCGATCATGTTCCACGTGTGAACACGACCGTGTTTTACGCATGGCTTCGTACCACAGGGCGCGCGAACGAGGTTGTTCGGCCGTAAATCGTTGTGCCACAGACAAATGTCTGATAAATCGTCGAGTATTGCGTGAATGTCTTCCCTTATGAGCCGACTTGTCAGAGAGAACATTCAATCCCATGAGCACAGACACCCAACTTACTGCATGGTTTTGTCCGCATCGTCCTCGAGTGTGTACGTTGCTCCTCCACGCGACATCACAAGCACGGCCAGCAGTGGCGCATCAGGGTCTGGCTTCCAGCTATACCATGACGAGAATTCTCTGCCGCCTGGTCTGTGTTCGTCGCCCATCAGTGGGTCATCGTCTGGCAGAGAATCATCACAAGTGGAATCATCTCGCGACTCCACGGGATGATGCTCCAGGCTGAAATCTTGACTTTTCCAGAGCGGAAATGTTAACTGCTGGCTAGACAAGTCGGCAGTGAAGAATCCGTAGGTATAGGGTGTGATGATCCCCTGCATGTGGCCACGGTGAATCTGATTGTAGACCCAGGATTCTCGCGCGAGCGTGCGGCAGCGATTGGGCCGTGCAATCTTGACGCAGAGGGTTTCTTCTGGCGGGAGTGAGTCATGGCGGAGCACGTTGTGCTCATCCGATGTAGTCAGAACCTCAGCAGCATATACCACGGCGGATCTGCCGTCGGCAATGCGCTCACCCAGCTTCAAAGCTAGGTTGCCGTCCTTCGGACGTGGTGACGGCTCCCAGTCCGGTCTGCCTCGATAAGTACCACGTGGAAAGTGATACTGACGGGCAGGGAAGTCGTCTGCCCTGGACAGTGTGATGGCCTGCGGAAGGTCATCGCCCATAAGGGTCAAGGTCGAGAACATCTGTGCTGGCTCCTGCAGAGAACAATCAGCGTACTGACAAGGAGTAGGACATGAGCGTGCGAACCATGAACGTCGTGTGCAAAAGGCTGAAACGGCGGATGGTGGGTGGCGAGGAATGGCGTAGTGGCGTATGAGACTAAGAGTGCTACCTGCGGGTGGCGCAACTTGAACGCAGAAGGCTGCTGAGGTTACCCTCCTATTACTATTGAAGTGTCGATTTAATAACGTTGTTCTGTGCGAAGGGCCGTCTCTTCGATGTCTTGGAATGTTTATGATGTGACCACATGTTCCCAAACACTTACTCGTACTCGTAACTCCGGAGACTTGAGTAGTTACTACTCATGTACTCGATTCTACACCGTTGTATTAGTAGATGCCCATTGTCTGGAGCTCTCTGTCCGTGTACAATCTCCGTTGATTGAATTGAAAACTCAGAAATATATCGTACCGACGGACGATACGTTGTCTCGCGCCGAGGTCATGATCCCAACAGCCTGCAGCATAGATGACGCCAGCGACGCACTTTCCCAGCTTGAGAGATAGTGAAAATTGGTGACATTACCCAACTCGGCTTCGTATGATATACACTACGAGAGATGGCATGGTGACACGCGGAGGGATGGGTACGACCCCTGTGCTGGCCGCAGCCTGCTTATATACCACGACTTAATGACTCGGGGCGTGTCGGTTGGAACCCAACTATCAAAGTCATGAGCGGAGCCGCTGCGAGAGGTCAGCTGGGTGCGCAACAGGTTCTCGGCGGAAATCAGGTGCAGGGCCATACGGACCTATGCCGCTTCCCAGCGTATTGAGGTCGCAATTTAACAGTACCATTCCCGACTGCTTCAGCTTGGCACTCATTGCCAGGTCCCGGCAGGGCGTCGTACTGAATCGGGCTGAGAGACTAGTCGTCACATCACGAAGACGCACGGGCGCTAGATGATCATGCAAATCAAACGCACAGGTGGCTAGCTTCAACAACTGACTGCATTGTAGCCAACATAGCCACAAGCGGATTCAGGATCTGGTGTCCGGAAAACTGTACGTTAGGTGCCGCACGCGTATACGCCACGGTGGCGATAAGTAGGGATGTAAGTTATTTCAGATCCTCAATCGAGCCGTTTAACTCTCAGAGGCAACCTTGCGCCCTCTTCTCCCGCGATGCTCGGTCTAGGGAGGATACCCCGCTTAATCTCGGTCTTCGTGTCCGGGCCATCTCTGAACTCAAAGACGTAGCTCCGAATGAGGACGCAGAGCACCGCCTGCCGCAAAGGGCCGCGCACCAGGTCAGCTCGATCCTTAGGTCAATGTGCAAAGTGAAAACTCACCTTGAACTCAGCAAGCGCGAAGTGCCGCCCGAGACACGTCCTTGGACCGTCCACAAACGTGAGGAGGTGCCTATGCCCTTGGATCTCCTGCGCGGGCTCCGGGATGCCGGCCTCGTCCAGCCAGCGCTCGGGCTTGAACTGCTTCGCGTCCGGGCCCCAGAACTTCACGGACTTATTCATCATGTGGATGGGAACACTGACGAGCTGCCCCTTCGGGACCGCGATGCTGTCGACGAGGGTGCCGTTAGGCGTGCGCATGGGCGAGGAGAGCGGGATGATGTCGTCTTCCGTAGCCTGAGGTGAATCGCGTTGTTAGTGGTGCTCTGCCGGTCGTAATCAATCATTGACGTACTACGCGCGTCGTCTCGCCCAAAGGCGGGTGAAGTCGCAGTGTCTCGTGGACAACTGCGTCAAGATACGGTAGACCGTTAGTGAACTGGTCCCAAGTCGGATCGTTACCAGAGAATTGAGATAGTTCATCGCGCAGCTTCTGCTGAATCTCGGGTTTCTTGCAGAGCTCCAAGAGGCACCACTAGATATGCGTGCCAGTGTCAGCAGCGGGTTGGACATGCTTAAAAGTACGTACCGTCAAACTGACTGTTGGCGTGCCGCGGTGAGCGACAGCAGCGGGAGCATGATTGGACGGACTTACTCGACGTCGTCTCATAACCGGCTAAGATGAGTACTTTCATCTGGGAGAATAATCATCGGTGGGCGCCGCACAAGTAGTAGCCGAACGATCTGGAGCTTACTTGCGCCAGAACCTCGTCCTCCGACATGTGCAGCTCCGAGTTGCTTTGCTCCGCCTTGACTACGATAAATAGCGTGAGTATAGCCCAAAAACGTCGATACTGGAGCACTCACTCAGCAGTCCGATGATGGACTTCTCTTCCGTCTTGCTCTCGCCTTGGCTCTCCTTCCGCGTGTTCTCCAGCAGCTCCTGGGCGATCTCACCCATGTTCGCATTGAGCTTGTTGACAAGCCGTCGGAACGGAGTGGGTATCTTCAGGATCCACGGGAACACCAGGCCTATGATGAACTGCATGCCTCCGATAAGGGTCGGCTTCAGCGTTCCAAAGGCGTCGAACGTGCTCGCGACTTCTGAATGTTTGCCGTGTAGTGTACCAAAGTCGTGTGAGAAGCCCGCGATGCCGATGGTGTCTAGCCTGCGTATCCAGTGAGCTAGAAATACCATCGCATCAGTGGCAATCGACTGACGATACGTGGTTCATCCTATAGGACGATGCATTAGTTGACGCTCCTTTTGGGAAGCAGATTGACAATGTAAAGGAGGTGACGTACCAGCCCTGCACGTCAATCACGGCCGAGGCTCCGGGTTCTGATTCTAATATGCTATCCCATGCTGCTTTGACCTATGGTATCAATTAAGTTATGCCATTTTCGCGTTCGACGTGCAAATCTGTACCTTGTATGCTGAATCGTAGAAGACAGACGTCATCTTCCTGATAGCCGCATTACTGAAAGCGGGCGACAACGCCTTCCTCTGCCTTCGAACGGATTAGCTTATGAGCTACAGCACGACGTGAGATGTATCTCTCTACCTCTTATGGCTATCGCCTTCGGCCCAAAGGACGCCTCGACCGACCTTGGGGCCATTGAACAGGGCGGTGATATAATCGTAGGGATGGTTCTTACCAGGCTTTCGATTGCCCTCTTCGTCATCGTGCTTTGCACATATCCGTACGTCTCTCGCGAATAGAAGTGCAGGATGGCCTTCGGGTCACATAGGGCGATACGCGAGAGCCCAAGGGTAGCCGGGATACTAAACACAGAACCGTACTTCTCGGACCACTCCTCGTAGAGTTCTCCCGCATCCGGCGCCTTGATGATGAATCTACTTGCGCCAAGAAGGATGTTCGGGTTAGGCGGCCCCGCGAGCGGCGTGCTACGAGCGCGCCGGCGTAGATGCTGGACTGCCTTCGACAGCACCCACAGTGCAGAAACACTGCACAGAGCGTTGAACACGCTGAGCGTGGGCAGCACGGACATGGAGGAGGGGGAGAACAACCGGGATATAGGGCGATGTTGGCAGGTCGACTGTTCCCGTGCCTGTCATTGTCATGAGCCTTGCATGGCGCAGGCGGCGGCAGCATGTGGGTGGGAGTTTCTTCAACCTTTCGGCCTACTTGCCATTCTGGGAAGGCGTTCTTCGCAGGCTGCGGACTCTTGGCGGACTCTGAACGCGCCACTGCGCCATTGCCACATTCAAGCTGCCGCTGGCGTCGCCCAATTCGCCAACGCGACATGAGCTATCCTACCGTCCCAAGTTGTCGCTACAGGCTGTATGTTCGTCATCTGTCCTCTGCGATGTTTACATCGTGCTCACAAGTTAACTGAGTGGCCGTCGAAGACGTCGGTCAAATACGATATTACCTTTTTTGGACGTCCGGCTAGCCAATCCCGACTCTCGCCACGGCGGTGATTCATGTTGCTCAGTTGCCTCCACGGTGCTCAGGCTATTAGCGGCCGAAATTCCGCACTCAGGATGCTGGAGGTATCGCGCTTCCGAGAAGATACACCAGGCGCCCTCGGAGCGCGGCCGATGATGATTGTTTGCGTTTGCTGGCCGTGCCCAGCATACCATACCCTACCATGCCACGTCCACACAAGCTGACGGTCACGGTTACGGATAAAAGAACTCACATATGTGTTACAAGTAGCATCCATCATTTGTGAGTACGGCATTGTGGTCATATGTTTGGCACAGACTAGCTGAACGCATGCTAGATTGTGAAGCGATGTATGACCGTCTATCATGCTTCCTACGCTTACACAGTACGCTATCATCGGAGCACCGGGTCTTGTCCGCACTCCACCTACCACTGCCGTGCAATCTTACAAGCTCAAACCTCGGAACAAGTCGCAGCCACGGAACTGTCTATCATCCGTGCGTTGTATCATCCTGTTAGTAAGACATATAAATATCGGAGGACAAACTGAACCGCGCTCTGTCTACGCCATTGATCCCTATTCCAATGTTCGAATTCGGTGGTTTTCTTCCCTCCACTATCATCCTTTGGTTTTCTGGTTTATTGCTACTAATATCACATCGTTACTTTCGACGGCGAGCGTTGAGCACACCGCTCAATGGGCCACCGAGTCCAAGCTGGATTTTTGGAGTCAGCAGACTCATCGCAAGGTCGTCAGACCCAGGTAGCCTGTACCAGCAATGGCAAGAGGAGTATGGACCCGTGTACACCATCCCGGCTACGTTTGGAAAGCCTTGCGTAGTTCTATGTGATCCCAAGGCGATCAAACATTTCTACTCCCGCGAGACGTATGGCTACCAGCACACACCCATGTTGAGAATGGTCACAGAAAGCCTGGTGAGTTCCTGCTTCAGTGTCTAGTTCGGCCGCTGACAACGGGCTCTACGGCGTCGCTCGGCAGGTTGGACGTGGTATATTCTGGGCAGAAGGGGACACATAAAAGGTTTGAACCTGTCATCTCAGACTCATGGCTTTCGCGTCTTAACGTTTGCACATCGTAGACACAGAAAGGCCCTGACGCCCGCCTTTACCCTCGCAGCGATCAAGGATTTGTTACCTGTATTCCATGGCTCTGCCCACAAGGTGAGATTCCGGCTCATTTCGTGACTGAAACGCGCATGACCGTGCCAACAGGTTAAAGTAGCTTGGGACAATATCCTGGCCACTCAGTCTCCCGGTAGTGACTCGGCTATGGTCGATGTACAAGTCTGGTGAGTCATGGCTCAAATTTTCAAGGATTGCGTGGCTCACGATCATGATAACGCAGGATGAATCGACTAACGTGAGCTTTTCTCTCACACTTACCGTTAACGCAAGCCTTGAACAAGGCCCGATTCATAGCCTTGACACGTTTGGCATCGCAGGCTTCGGGCACGACTTCGGAACGCTGCGTGGGCAGCACTGCATGGTAGCCGAAACTGTTGAAGCGCTCAGTGGGCTGAAGGCCGACCTGGCCGGCTGTCTCCAATTTGTCCTAGGTCTGGTGTTCCCATGGGCACTCAAGGTTCCATCTGCCTTCCAGCGCATCAGCAAGCAACTGGACGTCGCTCTGAGCGAGATCGTCAACGAAATAATCGCAGAGACGCGTGGGAAGGGTCAGCCGGAACGCAAGAGTACAAGACGATCCGTTATGGACTTGCTACGTGCGCAAACACTTTGACAGGCCTCACGTTCGACGCTGCTATTGATGAGGTATGGCAGTTCAGGCGGAAAAGAGCGATTCTCGATCGCAAATGTCTACGGAAGAAATCTTATCGCAGGTAGGCATGGGTGCAGTCGCGGCGCAGTCAATCTCACATGATGTCTAGATGAAGGTTCTTCTGCTGACCGGCTACATTACCACATCAAGTGAGCGACCACATTTACTAGTTGTTCTACTGCGTTAACATCCCGTTGAACAGACTGTTTGATGGTGCGTTCGTGATCTGGCAGAATCGGAGTCAGTCTCCGCTAACCGTTCCGGCTGACGCAGTGGAGCCTCGTCGAGCTTTGCAAGAAGCCAGACTTGCAGGAGAAGCTGCGAGCAGAAGTCTCGCAGTTTCCTTGCGGTGACCCCTCATGGGAAGAGCTCATTGACGGCTTGCCCTACCTCGATGCTGTCATTCACGAGACACTGCGCCTTCATCCGCCGTTAGGTGATTTAACCCGGGTAGTGAGTCTACGCATACTATCCATTTGATGACGACTCTCCAACCGCTGCATCGCCAGGCGGTCGAGTACGACGCCATCCCCCTTTCCCATCCGATAGAGACAAAGACAGGTGCAACAGTCGATCGAATATTCATTTCAAAGGGCCAGCTCGTGAATGTGCCCATTCACGCCATGAATACCTCGCCGAAATACTGGGGCTCTGACGCCAAAGACTTCTATCCAGAGCGCTTCCTGACGGAGGAGCGCGTCCCGAAGGGGATTCAAGGACACAAGCATATGTTGACATTCGCGAGCGGCCCGCGTATGTGTCCCGGAAGGTACTATGCGCTAGCCAAAGCAAAGGTGGAAGTTGTTCATCTGTCGGACTGTTGACACTGTCGCTGATTTTCCTTAGGCCGTGTTGTACCTGCTCTTGCGGAGCTACGCTTTCGCCTTCGCAGACGTACCAGATGGCGAGATTGGCATCAACGGGTGGTTGTTGTCGGTACCCATCGTACCAGGCGGGGATGGACAGAGCGTCCCGCTGAGGGTGCGCCGGCTCGATTGATCGTTACCTAGGTGTTAAGCCCGGTTAACGCTAACGCTAAGTATACATTCTCTCGTGACAGAGTAGACTGGGTAATGAGCTGTGAATCGTATAACATTGTTGACACACTTTCTTGTTCTATAAACAGATCCCTCCGAGTTTCATCGGCTTCACATTGTCAGGCGGTCTGTCCTGCAACTTCAAGTATTCACGCAATCACATTGTGCCCCCCGAGGTGAGTCTCATGTTATACATCATCAGCAGCTGATCTGAATTACATGAGATCGCAGACAACTACTGTATGTCACCGTGCCGTGCGTTGAGCAGCCTAGACACCACAATGACCGCTCGTCAAGCCTCGGATCCGCGTCTGTCTCAGTCTGTCACGCCTCGGCCTCAGGCCTCAGGCTGTGCCGCCATAGACACGGTGACGCCGACGGATCTATCTCCAGTTCGTTTGGGATTACTGTTAGCAGAACTCTATTGACATGCCATCCGCGAGCTGAGTTCGCTAAATGGCGATATATGCTTACTGTAAGCACACGTCAGCTGAGTATGTTCTCGGCTTTGGGAAATTGGGAAAGGACTGACGTGGCGTGTTTCAGAACAGTGTAATGAGATTGAGCTAAAAATTCTACCTTATCGCAAAGACCGTAAGATCAAGAAACAGCCGCCACGTCGCTCTTTCGAATCGGTTTCGCTCTGGTTTCAAACTGAGCATTCAATCGCCCTTGAACGCTGCTCGTACAGGTCGCACAGATCGCTCCCGGCCTCATGTAGCTCTGCTACGAGCCCGCCTTTTCAACAAGCCTTGAAGTCTGTTACAGCTCAACAGAATCGTCGATGACTGGTGTCAGCAGTGCGTTCATTGCGTGATGGCGTCTATACACGGGGCTACACTGACTGTATCACGTCGACATCTGGCTAGACGCCTGTGATGGTCCAACAGGTGAGTCAAGTACAGCGTCGGCAATTAGCTACCACGCAGTCTCGGCTGCGATGCTATACTTATGATGTTTCGAGGGATGCAAGTGGGCATCTGCTCTACATCGTCGTGATGTTGACATTGCACGGTCTCTTCGCCTTCGAACTCGTATGTTACTTGACTGTAACACTGCTGCTGGTCCGGCTGTTCTTTGATCATCTCCACCGGCGAACACAAGAAACCTCGTTCAATGGCCCACCCAGCCCAAGTTGGCTGTTCGGAGTGAGCAAGCTACTCGCGCAGTCATCTGACTCAGCCAGCCTGTACGAACGATGGTCGGAGAAGTATGGCCTCGTATACACAATATCGGCGACATTGGGCAAGTCGTGCCTTGTTCTATGTGACCCGAAGGCTGTTCAACACTTCTACTCCGGCGACACATATGGGTACGTGCAGACGTCCGCAACAAGGGCTTTGGTCAAAAGTATGGTACGTGAGATGATATTGTTCATCCTTTTGTGCGGATCATCACCTTCACACACAGTTCGGACATTGCGTCCTTTGGGCAGAAGGCGCAACACACAAAAGGTACCGTGTACACGCTCGACCTTGCGCTGCGACTTACATATCATTCCTTCTAGGCATAGGAAGGCCCTGGTACCCGCCTTCAGTCCTGCAGCAATCAAAGCAATGTTGCCTATCTTCTATGATTCCGCACACAAGGTGAGGTTATGTTGCACGAAGCTGAGCTCAAAGTAACAGTTCACATTAGGTGAAGTCTGCATGGGACAGCATTCTCGCTGCAGAAGCCCCGGATAGCAACTCGACGATCATTGACGTCCAGGAGTGGTGAGCCATAATCTCAAATTGCTCGATCTTAGTGCAACGCTGAGCCAGCGTGCTACATTTAGGATGAACCGGGCCTCGTGAGCTTGCTTTTTGCATTGTGGGACTCCCGGTCATCGTCTCAATGTGGTAAACAGTTTTGACACGTTCGGAATCGCCGGCTTCGGACACGACTTTGGCACGCTACGCGGAGAGCCATCCACTATCTTTCGCATCGTCGATGCGTTCATAACTATGCGCCCGGGGTTGGCCGGCAGTCTGCAAATTGTTCTTGGATTGGTCTTTCCGTGGACCCTGAAATTACCTACGGCATTCCGCCGCCTTGGAGACCAGCTCGATGCCAACTTGGGTGAGATTGCAAGAGAAGTACTCGCTTCGTCGCGTACCGACGAAGGCACCGAAGGCAATACCGGAGATCGGTCTATCATGGGTGTTCTTCGTGAGTTGACTTGTCCTGGTGCATGCAGTCGACGATGCGGCTGACGCCCTACAATTGAGTGAGGGCCGAGAAGAGTGACTCTCAAATGAACATGTCAACCAACGAAATCCTAGCACAGGTCAGTCACAACGCGAGGCACATCGCGTTTGTGCCTGACAGGAGCACAATACGCAGATGAAGGTCATGATGATAGCCGGATACATAACTACTGCGAGTGAGTGACATCTACAGATCGTTTCTGCTACCTCTGAACATCCGCTCTGATCAGACTGTCTGATGGTATGTGTGACCCTCAAGGTGCAGAACCTCGCTTGATGCTGAACCTCCCCGGTTCAGTGGTGTCTCGTCGAGCTCGCTCAGAAGCCCGAGCTACAGAACAAATTACGACAAGAGGTCTCACAGATCCCGTGTGAGGACGCAACATGGGACCAACTCGTTGATGGGCTGCCGTACCTGGACGCTGTCATACACGAGACGTTGCGTCTTCATCCACCGATGGGCGAGACAACCCGCGTAGTATGTCGTAATTCATGAGTATGACACATCACTGTACGCCTAGCTAATGCGTGCCGTACTGTCAGGCAACCGCGGACGACATTATTCCCCTTTCGTATTCTACGAAGACAGCAACAGGCGCAGTCACCGATCGTATCTCCGTGTCCAAAGGCCAGCTCATCACCGTTCCCATTCACACGATGAACACCTCGTGTAGATTCTGGGGTTCAAACGCGAAGGAGTTCCATCCTGAACGTTTTCTCGGGGACAAGTCCGGTATCATGAAGGACCTCCCAGGACACAAGCATATCCTTACATTCGTCTACGGACCACGAATGTGTTACGGGAGGAACTTCGCGATAACGGAGATGAAGGTCAGTTTGCACGACTTAGACTGTATTGAGTACGTGATCAATAGATGCTGATTCCCGCTACTTAGGCGATGCTGGCTGTCCTTGTGTGTAGCTTCGCGTTCGAGATGGTGGATGGGCCAAATGCCGAGGTCGGCGTCATCGGTGGTCTTTTATCTGTGCCCGTCATTGCTGATGGAGACGGGAAGACGATCCCTCTGCGAGTGCGACGGCTTGAATGAGCAATCCGAAAACTATCATAGAGCTTCCTAACGTAATACTTCAGACTTCTAGATACTATTCACATATGATATTCGTAGCTGCCGCTGGTGTCGGACACATCATAGAGAGCGTATGATCTAGCACCAGCATCGTGCACTTCGTGTCGGGCAGACGCGTATAGTGACGAACTCGTAACTTAGCCGTGTGCACGCATTCTGATCGACAATTAGATGCAGTCGAGCCCAGCCGTATCAGCGGTGACCTCGAAAATGTGACGTGTGCGAACTCATACAACCATGTTTGAATGGCAAGGCTACATGTCATATCTCTATTTCTACCTACCAACTACCTATGTACGCGCAAACAATACACTAAACCCTTGTTACAGACCATACCAGCTGCCAGTACTCGTGGTCCAGGGCACCCTTGGGCACCGGAAGCGTAGACAACTCCGCCTCCACCTTGACACTTCCCTTCTTGAACACCGTCCCGTTCCACATCTCCTCCCACGACTCCGCCGAATGACAGAACATGGGTACAGGTGCGCCCGTGGGACGAGTGATGATCGTGCCCTTCGTCGGGTACGCGACGTGCGAACCGAAGACCATGGACCCGGGGAGCGGAGACAGCAGGCCCGCGAGCGACTGCGCGATCTGTAGCTGCTTCTCCTCGCTGAAGAGATGGAAGAAGAACGTCGCGTGGATCGCAGAGAGCCTGCCGGCGAGCGGCGTGAGGCTAGTGAGTTGCGAGAGTTCTGGAGCGGGGTCATCGAGTGGAGTATCAATCGGTGGCAAGGGCTTCAGGAAGGACGGGTCCAATACATCGCCCTGAGCGAACGGGACCGGGAACGTTTCCGGGGAGTCTTTGTAGAGCTGATACCCCATGTCCCAGAATTCTAGTCACGGTAGTAAGCACATTACTGCAAACAGCGGCAACACGAGCGGGATCGGCGGACCTTTGCGAAGATCGGACGCTATGCAGTTCTTGGCCGGAAAACCGTCGAGAACCGGCTTCCGGATGGCGCTCCCGACTGCAGAGCTGCGATCAGTACACATCAGAGCCTGATCGTGACAGATAATCCTCACAGCAAGTCCCCAGGTCGAGGTACAGGGCACCCTCTCTTTCCCGCCCGAGCTTCAGCAGACGCTCGTACGCCGGAATGTGAGTGATCCTCAGTCTGTGTTAACATCAAGGCTCAGTACCGCACTTCGATCTCGTGTAAGCAGATGGACGATACCTCACAAAGTCGAACCAGCGGATACACGGGTACGGGAATACCTACGGGGCCTCGATCAGTACATTCCATGTACGATAAGGACACCAATGCGTACCTCGTAGGCTTCAGCCTGTATACGGACGATGTGCTGAATCATTTCCGCATCATCTTCGATCTTCGTGAATTGCTTATAGAAAGCGAGTTCTTCGTCGCTCAACTGAAAGTAGTCTTCAGTCAGTTTCCCCTTGTGTCCCGCATGTCCCTTGTCAAATTCGGAGAGAGTGGTTGAGTTGCTGTCGGAGGAGGTGAGGTTGTCCGCCATGGCAGAGAGATCGAGGAGGTTGGCTACCGTCTGCGCATCGATCAGTATTTATGTGTTCCGAGCATCATACGAACCAGCGCATTGCTCTGCAGAATTTGCACACCGTTTTGGCGAGGCCGCCATGTGGAAATCTTCGACAACGCTGCTGTTACGTTCCGGTCAGCGCTGGATCTTGAGGCCTTGAGGACTGTACTAAATTCGATCACGCCGTCATTGGTGCCATTACAGCATCACGGCATCATTCTGAAACGTCACCACTGGCACGGACTCGCCGCTTCATAATTTTTCATACATGGCCGAAAGGGCTCGGCTCAATGATCCCATGATCATACAGAATGGAGGATAATCCTGGGTTAAGGAACCCTTCAGTAGCGTTGGGAGCAGTCGAAAGATTGGTCTGGACACACCGCACAATATTTGCGACATTTCCGAGCTGGCAAGTAACTTACTACGGGTTCAGAGTGTTCTAGCTTCAGCGTGCATTCGAATCAGGATCAGAACATATACCCCATATCATGCACTAACACGGGCCCATCATATCGGCGTGAAGGGAGTCCGTCTCCTCGGCAAAGACTCGCGTAGCATTGGCCGGGATCGGTATCTGCGACTCGATGTGCCGATGAAAGCGATAATGAAATGTGTCAGTCACGCAACAAGGGGTGGGAGGAGGTCGCTTCGCGGCACTCAGAACGTCAGGTCAGATGAGGAGGCTTGAGCTACCAGGCTCCTCTGTCCTGCCAGTCGGCAACTTGAAGTTACCCGTCCGCCTAACCGTCTAAGTTGAGTTGCAGTCTGATGGACGCCCCTTGCACGTATGGCCTGAGGTACACCGGTACGTACGCGTCCTCCTGACGCGGTCACGTGCTATTGTTGTGACACGGACAGCGCGATACGCTCGGAACGCCATAAGTTTATGGCTACGTCCTAGGAGCGTTCGGTCAGTCAGGACAAGCTCCAGCTCAGTGTGATGGCAACATGCAGCAGGGTGGTAGAGATTTTGGGACGTACCTGACCGTCAATGGGACATTACGATCGGATTTGCTCGGAGCCATGCATAGAACTCAGCATGGACAAGTGACGGACGACGTGCTGGCGCATCCCGCCTTGTACGTTCGTAACGTGTTTTGATCCCGACCGCTCGCTTTCACGAAGACCGATGAATCATCGTCAAGACGAGCGGGTTGTGACTACAGCCTCGTCGTATCCACCTCTCCCGGCGTTCCGACTGGTAGTCACCCTGCGATGTCGACATGAAGCCTTGCACAGAGAGTTTCCGAGTGGTTTGCGTGGCGAATTTAGAGCAGGAATACTTCAGATAGGCCGTTACGTACGACGGGTGTATCGCTCATGGAGGACGCTGAAGGACGCTGTAAGGAGGAGCAGGCTAAGTTGAGGCTAAGGCCCAGAGAATTGTGGTCGCCAGCAACATGGGGCCGGTAGTACTTACTCAGTACATAATTGATAGAACGCATCCGATCTTCCGTTCGCACGCTGTGGCGCTTGATTCCAATATGCCTGACCGATCACCGCGCGGTCCACGGGTCAATTCGATCAAACGGCGACCTCGGCTGCACTGGTCATTCAATTAAATTAATATTGCAATGCTCGCAAACCACACTGACCGGAAAAATGGCACCGCGCATGAACGAGGACGGTGACTCGGATAGTACGTTGGGATGGCACTGCGTTGGCGAGGGCAGCTTCCCTTTGCGTACGCAATGCTACTTCGGAGCCTCGGTCTTCCTCGCCCGACCACCCATGACAAGAAGGATACCATGGACGAAGAACATTCACATAGAACTATAACAATGTATGTGTACATGTTGACGTGAGCACAGCTGCTTAGTCTGATGCTGTCCGATGTCATCGCACCCGCGCGCGACAGTGCCACCTTCAAGTTGGTGCCACCCTGATGGTGAGTATCCCCGTCGCACAGCTCCTACTACTCATAGTCTACCTTGTCCCGAATCAGTATGAACAACATAGACGACCTCGAGAAGGTTGACCTGGTTGCGCCCCTGGACGACAAGTACTATAATCTGAACGAGAACGAGAAAGCCTTTTACAAGTCTCTGACCGGGATCGATGACGATGAATCGCTCAAGCGACACATCGTTTCCGTGCAAACGGAGGCGTACAAGGTAGGTGACAATATGCCAAGGCGATAGATAATTGTCAAGTGAAAGCTGAGATCATCCAACGTACTACAGGTCTTTCCGTACCCCTGTATCCGCTGGTTCACTTTCGCAAGGTGAGTATATTGCTGCAGTGCAAGTTCTGTACGCTGTAGTAACGCGGCCGTACCCCCTCGCCAGGCTTCAAATCTCCCGGCAGCCTGTTTACGACCAGTTCATCAAATTAGGGAAGGAGCGTCCCGGGGCGATCTTCCTTGAGATGGCATGTTGCTGTAAGTGCAAATGTCTTCACGCCGGCTCGATATCGGGGAACTGATGTACCAGGATGTATTTATTGCAGTCGGCGCCGATGTCAGGAAAGCGGTCGCAGACGGCTATCCTGTGGAGAACTGCGTGGCTACCGACCTCCAGCCTGGTACAGTGCCCATTCCGCGCACATAAAGCAATCACTGATTCGTGTTCGATGTAGAATTCTGGGAGCTCGGCCACAAGCTCTTCAAAGACTCGCTGACGGAGTTCCCCGTTCCGTTCCTCGCTGGCGATGCCTTCGACCAGTCATTCCTCACTCCCTCTCCCATTCAGGCGGTCGTCTCGTCGTCGCCGACAACGCCCCCCACCCTGTCGGATCTGAAGAGCCTCACCCCCCTGGCAGGGCACGTATCAGCGATCCACGCCACGAACTTCTTCCATCTCTTCGACGAAGGAAAGCAGCTCACCCTCGCACGCGCGCTCGCGGGGTTGTTGGACCCCCGCCCGGGCTCCGTCATCTTCGGGTGGCACATGGGAAGACCCGAGAAAGGCGACCTGACTTGGCCTGCCCCTCCCGGTTCCGGCAAGGACGGGTGGTCGTTGTTCTGCCATTGCGCCGAGTCGTGGCGCGAGATGTGGGAGCACGAGGTGTTTAAGGGTATACCCGTGAAGGTTGACGCGAGAGAGGAGGTGCAACCGACGCCCCCGGACATGAAGCTGGAGGGCGCGATAAGACTTGTGTGGTCGGTGACGAGGGTATGAAGCGGGATCCCTCCAATGCAGGCGGAGTTAACTCCGAAGATGGCCTTCACTAGTAGTACGTAGCTAGCTTCCGCATAGCATTGTGTGTCGAGCAGTTACACCCGGTGAATATATGTATGGTCAAGCGCTGTTCCTACCGCACACAACTGAGCTACTTATCATTGGGAGCAGCTTGGTTTAGCAGCGCTTTAGTGCAACCCGCGAATTGAAACGAAGCGAAACTGTCATAGAGATACAATGGGGGCCCAAGCGTCCTCGTCTGTACCGCCATCGACCAGCACTCGGCACTGACACCTCCTAATTTTGACGGCCCCTTCGCCTCACATTGTGCGTGCTCGTCGATTTCCCGCTGAGCTTGAAGCAGGATACGCGTGGCGTACGATTCAGTACCTATTTGTCGATTAGGTCCATGTTGATGCCTATATTGCGCCCTCGGTGAACTCGATATTATGTGGTCTGCACACAATTGAGACAAGATGACTACTTATGTGGCGGAAACTCGGTTGGGATTATATGTTTCTGTCGAACTTGACAAGTGGAAGAGGATTGTCCTAGAGGCGCGGTGGTGCCCAGGAGGCGAGATTAGATAAGATGGCGGTCTACCGCCACGGTCGCCGCTGTCCCCGGCGTCCGCGTCCCATCCCCCGCACCACCAGAACCAGTCAACCACACGGACCAAGGTCCTTCTGCCTCCGGTGAGCCTTCTGCCGCGGGTCGTCTGCACGTCGCTCACCACCATGTCGCCAACGCAGCAGACGGCATGGAACAGTCAACCCCTACCGTCGTCAATCAGCCGACGACGTTCACTCTCCCCCTTTCGCCCCCGACACCACAACAAAAGTACCAGCCCCCTCCGGCGCCCGCTCCTCGCCCATTCGGGACACCTCTAAACGGGACCATTGCATATCAGCATGAAGACCCCCGTACGCGCTTGGAGGACGCGCTCAAGCGGTCCGTCACCGTTGTCTTCTGGTACAAACCCGACAGCCCGCCGATCCGGTTACACGGGGAGGTCGCGACGTTCCCGCTCTTCCAGCTCTCGCAGTTCGCACACCTTGCCGCGGACCTTGGGTTTTCACCTGCAGCGTACGTAGACGCATACAACCCGCATGCACGCGCATGGGAGCAACAATCGATCAGCGCAGTGCGCGCGGTCGAGAGCGAACAGCGGCTGCTGTTCCGCATGCGCAAGAGCCTGTTGGAGGGGCTGGAGGACAGCGAATGTCCGAGTTTGGCTGAGGAGATTCGCTTGCAGCCGCAGCCACCAGAGAAGCCGCATGCCTCCAAAAAGCGACCATCGCCGGATGGGTCTGTACTCATGGCGCCGCCGGTAAAGTACGCAAGGGTAGAATCAACCCTTACCCCGCCAGAGCCCAATGGCACCTCCATCACTCCGAGTACAAGCGCAGACCGAACCCCTGTGTCCCTCAGCATCCCCGCGCCGTTCGTCTCCGTCGACCCGTCGGGGCCAGGCCCGTCCAAGCAGTCCCCGGAGCTCGAGGGCTCCTCCACCCAGCTCACCTTTCAGACCCACCCGCTCGTGAAGCGCTGGCCGAACGACTACACCGTGTTCGAGCTCTCCGCGGGCTTCCGCCAGATGGACCTGCTCGTCGCGCAGCAGCCGTCCCTCACGCAGCGCACCGCGTTCGAGCGCGTGTTCAGCTGCCGGTACGTCAAGTCGACCGTGTGCAGGCACCGCGGCGTATGGCGCCGCGCGCCGAAGGAGCTCCGCGAGACGTTCGAGCGGATGGCCCAGGATGAGCGCGGGCTGTGGAGTGAGTTCATCAAGCGTATCGAGGGAGGGACTGGGAGGACGGATACGGTGGGGAGGAAGAAACAGCTGGCGGCGACGGCGGAGGCTGGGACGGACGGCGAGGCTCCCTTGATGCTGACGCAACAGCCGACACAGTTTGGGGCTGTAGGGGAAGATGAACATCGGCCTGTGATGGACTCGCTGTGCCTACCGCCTGAGGAAGGTAAGACCGTCTGCAATCACAGTAATGCAGGATGTTTGATCGATTCCGGTATAGATGTTCCTGGCCAACATAGCAGCTCGAATGTAACCTTGCCACATAGCCTGAACAACGGAGGTTAGTAGTACTTCATGATTTGCGGGAACGATGTTTGGCTGATGCCATGACCCTGCAGACTTCGGCGGAAATGTCAATCACAGTGGTCTAGTCGGAAACATTTCTTGAATACCGTGTACATCTACCTAGTCCATGTAGTAAGTCACCATGTAATTCCTACGTCCGTATACCATTCTCGTATTGGTGTTTTTTGTTTCCAAGCATGCGTCTGACGTCAGACTAAGTAGCTCGAGATTGCAGATCTGGAGCGTATGCTAAACCGCGGTCACGTGAGGTCGACTCGACGCGTACGCGTCGGTAAGTCAACAATCCAGTCGCTGGATCGATCTCTTCCATTCTCCAAGCAACTCAAGGCCTCAAGCTCAGCTCACCCATTGATTACGATACGCGGCTTTGGGAGCTACCTGGCCCCTACTACCCAGGTTCCATCGAGAAACCTAGTAGGCTCCGCGGACAACTCTGTCACTGCAGCTGGTGGCATGCTGGCTGGCCTGCAGTCGGGTCCCGTCCTGCGCTCAACGTCTCTGCTTGGCCTCGCACTCAGATAGAGCCCAGGGGCGAACAGCTACTGCGATCAAGCCCGCGATGGAGAGCGGATTCCGCACATGCAGTTGAACGGAAAGCTCATGGCTAGCGATCGGATCCGCTCTGACGCGGCTACTCGTTGGTTTGCTGATCGGCTTCCTGTGAACTGTGTCGAATCTGTGGCCGCGTCGAGGAGGTATTAACCCCGCCATATACGTGCGGCAGTAATGGCGTTGTGACAGCAGTGCGCTAATGAATACATTCACCGGACGCTGCTATCTAAACGCAGTACTCTGCGAGAGGTTACTACATGGTAATAGTAACCAACGACCTTTCATAAACTAGGCGTCTTCTGGCTCTCCGGGACCAGGTGATCGACGCCTTCCGATCCCGCTGCTCGCGACAAAAGTCCCACAAGGACTGGCGCTGAGGCGCTGTAGTCCGTACTGAGCCCGTTGAGGGCGATCGCCAAATGCGATCCCTGTTGAAGGTCGTACCAGCGGCGGCCTTGTTGGAAGGCCATCTCGGTGTTCCTTTGGAAGGCGCTCCGAGTTCATCCTGCTGCTTCACATCCTCGTCACCGACCACACGAGTCTTATCGCACCTTCCAACTTGATATCGGGCGGCGTCGGTAGCACCTCCTCCCTCGCCTCGACCTTCACGGGGATGCCCATGAACACCTCGCGCTCCCACCTCGCGCGCCAGGACTCGGCGAAATGGCAGGACATCGTCCACCCGTCTGACCCAGAGCCAGGAGTGGCAGGCCACTTGAACGCTCCTTTCTCAGGCGTTCTCAAGTGCCACCCGAAGATGACGGAGCCCGGACGAGGGTCCAGCAGTCCCGCGAGCGCGCGTGCCAGAGCCAGCTGCTTCGCTTCGTCGAAGATCTGGAAGAAGCTCGTGGCGTGACGCATGCTGACCGCCCTCCTGCAGTCGGTAGCGCCATCCGCAAGCCTGTTCTGGACGGCTTCCCTGCTAAAAACTGCATAGCATCCGATCCTCGCAGAGGTATCCCTTCTGAAATGTGTTCCTGTTGTTTACATCACTGAGCTTCGTGTATAGAATTCTGGGATATGGGATACCAGCTCTACAAGGATTCGCCGGAGTCGTTCCCAGTTCCATTCATCCACGGCGACGTGCTGGACAGGTCCTTCCTCAAGCCCTCACCACCAATCTACACTCCACCGGAGGGCCCCGCGCCAGACCCGTCGCAACTCACCACCCTTACACCGCTTGCCGGCAGGCTCTCCGCGATTCACGCGTCGTACTTCTTCCACCTCTTCAGCGAGGAGAAGCAGTTGCAAATCGCGCAGTGGCTCGCGGGCCTGCTATTTCCGGTACCGGGGTCGATGATCTTCGGCCAGCACGTCGGGTACCCGACGAAGGGCACGATCGTCATTCACCCGACCGGTGAGCCTGTGGCGATGTTCTGCCACTCGCCGGAGTCTTGGGAGGGATTGTGGAACGGGGTGGTTTTCAAGCAGGGCAGTGTGAAGGTTCAGGCCGAGCTGAGCACACTTCCTGTTCCCAAGGGTGCTTTGGACCATACCTGCTGGCAGCTTGTCTGGTCTATTACGAGGGTGTAGTGTACGCTGCGGCCGTTCGCTGGTCGCGGACAATCATATTACTTGTGAGTAGACGTTTCTGACATATTCCTGCAATGAACTTGAAATGACCGCGATTAGCGGAGATTTGTATCCATGCGATACCATGAACTTCCTGACAGCCTCGCGCCGGAACATATTCAATGTCATCTTGGTAGGCAGTTTGTTGCGTAACTGCATTTCCCCCCGGTGGGAACGAGCTTTGGAGCGCGTTGTACTACTTGTAGCTCGGCGTCGGGCCCTCCGCTTAAAAGCAAAAAGAACCGTGCGCATCGAACGCCAACAAGATCAATATGAAAGTTTCGGCAGCCGCGACGGTGTTGAGTTGTCGTTGAGTCTGCTCTTTCCATCTCCATATCATCTGCGAAGCCGGTCCCCCTTACCTTCACAGCAACGGCAAGCAGTCGTGCTGGATTAATGAGGTAGTGCACAACAAGGCTCCAAGGCTCGATGATTGTCTGGCGTCGGCCCAAGTACGACATTGCATTGACAGTTGTACAGTACCATCGCGCATGGCAGTTGTATCACTTCCGAGTCAGCGAATATCTGCCTCTGCCTGCTATACTGAAACTTACTTCACAGCTGTATGCACACCTTGGCCTCATTGTGCCAGTGTTTTCATGCTCTCCACCATCCAGCCTATTATGAGGATACTATCAATACAATACATATCGAGGGATACAAACGATGGTCCTGTTGTATAGTCCGATGGGATGCGCCCGAACAAGGGGTCTAATGCCGTATTTACAAGGGACTGTCAGACACAGGGCGGCGTGCAGGGAACAGAGAGAAAGGAAATCATGATCATATCATCGCCTGGTCGACGAAGAACTGATGACACGCCTCAAGGAGCGCACGCTCGTGCTGTTTCCAGCGCGCGATGACCTCGCCCTTGACATGTGCGCGCGCCTCGTGCTGCACCGACTTGACCGTCATCCGGAACGCAGCCGAGATCGGTCGGTGGTCCGACACGTTCGCCTCGTACCGCAGGTAGTGCAGCTGCTCGACGCGCGATGGCTCGCGCGACCGCCACAGTACGCGGTCGCACCACGCCGGCACGCGCGCCTTCTCGGACGTGTCATACTCGTTGGACCGCCGGTCGTACTTGTACGTCGGCGCGAAGGTGATTGGGCCCTCCATGAATGAGCGCAGACGGAACGCGCGGTTGTTCTTCATCTCGCGGAGCAGCTGGTCGTATGCGAGGAGGCTCTCGATCTCTCCCGCTTTGATGGCACCGGCGACGAAGTCTCGTCGGTGCTCGATACGGTAGTTCATGTCTCCGTTCATCTGCGGTCGTCATGTTAGCAGGAAATGCGGTGGATGGTCTATGTCGTACTCACAAAGACTACCTCGTGGTCGAGGACCATCGAACCGTCCCCTCCGTTCACGTACGCCAATGGTTCCTCAACCGCGTCGGACTCCGGGAAGACAGACTTCTCCTCCAGCATGGCTGCGACATCAGCATTCCGTTGTCGTACGTGGTGTTGACCAGCGGCCAGATGGCAGTTGATGAAGCATATTGACGTGTCGTCGATCACGAAACGCGCGACAATGCCACCCTGCAAGACGCAAATCAGCTCACACGCCGGCCAACGATAGACAGTGCCGACTCACCTTGTTGCCATATCGTCCACCCATCCCCCGCTTGATGGTGGTGATAGCGACGTGCTTCAGCGATATCCGCTCCGTGTTCTTCACGAAGATGCAGCTGAACAGTCCGACCAAGTTCTCCGTGTGTATCACCGTGTACGGTTCATCCGGAGGCATCGCCATCTTGACCGCGAGCACCAAGCGGTCGTACCATTTCTTGTAGCTCGTCGAGACCTTCTGCGAGATCGCGCCGTCAGGCGTCTTGTTCTTCCCGCCGAGGAGCACCGTCTTCGCGGCCATCTTGCGGCTCTCGAGGTCGATGAGCTCCTGGAAGCCGAACGCGATGATGTCGGGGTCGTCGACGCTCTTGAGCGCGTCGTTCAGGAAGTTGATGTTCTCGGGCGTGCCCGTGAGCGTCTCTGGCTTGGCGGAGTCGAGGTTCCAGGAGACGACGAGGACCTTGACCGCCCGGAAGGTGCTGAACTCGGCTTCGCGCTTGATGAGCTCTTGGTCTGTCGGTCACTACTTCAGCAGGTGCATTACGAAGCAAGGATGAATTTGATACGCACCGACCCATTGTGTACCCAACAAGCCGTCCCAGAAACGGAGCTTCTCGTCCCTGCCGATGCTGTACACAGTCAGTCGACCGAGCCTCTCAATGCTCCAAGTGTCCACCGTCAACTTGAGCACGGGCAGCTTCGTATGGGCTTGCCAGCAGTTGGTGGCCACCCACGGCCTCGGCACGACATCGAACGCAGAGATCATGCCACTGCGGCCTCCGGCCCACAACCGGTCGTTCACGCCCTCCAAGCTCAGCACGTCCGACGTCGAGACTTTGACTACCTCCTCGCACATTGGTATGCCGTCCTTTGTGACGAGTTGCCAGATACTAACGTGCCCGCCCTCATGCCCAAGGAAGACCTTGTCTGGCTGAGAGGGCAGGATCGTCCCGGATGTCACCGCGCCGAGGTGTTCAGTAGGCAGCAGCGAACGCCCGGTGCTCCCAGGCGAGAAGACGTCGTACACCCTCACAATCGGGCCTCTCGACGTGCTCGCCACCGAGCCCCCGCCGTTTGGGTCGCGCGTCGAGGTCCACAGCTGGCCGCCAAGGAGCTTCGCGAACTCCTGCTTGTCGGCGATGCGCACGACGCGCGGCTGGGTGTAGACGAGGTGGACGTCGTCCGTGCTGTCCGGCTCGGGTGCGAAAACGAGTACCTTGCCCGCGTCGTCCATCGTCACCATCGCCCGGGCGTGCCGGAACATGTGCGTAACCGCGTGTGCGTGCGCGACTGGCTTGGCCGCTGCGATCGTACCCGAGCGGATGTCAAGCTCAAGCAGGGTACCGTCCTTGCATCCGAGCCACAGGAACGCGCCACGGTCTGTCGCGTTGAGCGTCGGGCGGAACTCCATCGCGGTGACCTTGAATCCGTTCAGCTTGTCCAGCCCGGCATCGCGGCTGTCGATGTTCCACACGGGCGCCTCAGAGACAGACAGGTCATAGATCTTGATGTGGTGGTGATGCGCGACCGCGACGGTGTGCCCGGAGACCGCGACGGTGCTGGTGTACGCGGGGACATGGATGTGGAACTCGGAGTAGTTGTGGCAGTCGACCACGGGCGGGCGGCGCGACGAGCGGGTCATGTCCGGCAGCAACTCCACCTTCTTGAACTCCTCCTCTTCGGACTCGCTCGACGAGCCTGAAGCTTGACGTCGGGCGGCGGGGAGCTTGTCATTGAGACCGATGGTACGCGTCGGCGGTGGTGGGTGGTGGCCGAACGTCTTGCGGTCGATAGTGGGCGATGTCGTGGGCGGTGCTGTATTGGCGTGTGGCTGTAGCGATGCCTCGCCGTCGTGCATTCGCGGTGGGAACCTGCGAGGGGGCTCGTCGACAGGGGTCGCAGTACCTCTGCGGGCGGGTAAGGGTGGCGGAGATGCGACGCTGGCAAGAGACGGTGATGGAGCTTGCACGGAGCTTTTATGGCGGGGAGGTGGACGGGGCGGAGGGATCGAGGGCCGAGGGGAGTGAGAGGCACGCATAGAGTATGGTACAACGTGGGCGGTGCTGACGTCACTCTCGCTGGATGTGCGACTCGAGCCACTTGACGAGAACCCGCTGTCGATGGGAGGTTCTTGCTCTGAAGGGCTGCTATACACAGGTCCGCCGTCAATGAGGACGGACCCGCGCGAGGGTAGCGGCGGTGGTCCGCCAGCCACAGTGCGCTCAGAGTCAGACGCCGAGTCGTCGCCAAATGGGTCTTCCTGCCCGGTGGAACTCGAGGTGCTCTCGAAGGACGATACGCTTGCAGAAGCATGGTGGTTCGGGGCAGGGTACAAATGACGGGGTTTGCGAAGGTGTTCGTCATTGGGGAAATGGGGAGATAAGGGAATCGAGAGGGAAGTGACGGATTGGGAGAGAACACGGCCATGTGCCGGTACAGGCTTTGCGGAAAGAGGAATGGGTGGTGGCGTAGCTCTGGGCGGGGCATGTCAGTGACAGGAACATCCTAACCGTCACAGGAGGCACGTGATGAAGAGACGAGGAGGGCAGAAGATGAAGGGAGGGACGCAGCGCTACAGTACCAACCGTCTCTGGCGGTACCGGTGCCAGTTATCGGCGGCGCTTAACTACGGTTAGACATGCGAGGCAAATACTGTCACCGCAAGGAACCACCATCTCCTCGGAGTAGATGTGAGTGTACAACGGACACTGCTGTGCGACCTCCCGCGAGCCAGCAAGATAGTTCGCGCAGCCCCGTTACAGGGCGCGGAACGGTTTTCAAGCGCTATGGCCGCCGATAAACGGACCCCGCCAGGACCCTTGAGAGAAGGCGGGGAGGCCAAGTCCCGAGCCGGTCTTGTGTGCTTGTGAGATCAGGGCTCTGATCATGCAAGCCCCCTCTCGTCCGGTCTCTGAACATGACCCCACAGCCTGTACTTGGTCTCAGAACCCGAGTTGCTAGCTAGGATCATCTGTCTTCCGGACGATCCTGAGCGTCTGGATGGGTTCAGGTACGACATAGTCAGGACGCTGGCATACAAATAGCCTCATCATGGCTTGACCAACGCAACCCGTGCCTTCGTCCAGATGCATTTGGGCCTGAGGCCCTCGAGCATCCACATTTCGTCCGAATCGGCACCCATGTCTGTTGTCTACGACCTTGCCCTGCTGCCATCGCCTAGATCAGGTAAGACAGAGGAGAAGACCGTCACAACTACTTTGTTCAGATTCCGAGCATGCAACGACAGTAGTCCCTGGGAGGAATCTTATCGGAGACCATGTGCATTCAGGAAAGGCTTCGAAACCCCTACGGCAAGGTGTGTTTCGTCGACAATGCTGCGAACATACTGAAACGCATCATGTGTTAAGGAAGTTCGGAAACAAAGTTACCGCAAAAGGTTCACAAAGTGCACCAGGGTTTTCGGAGCCTCTAGAAGCTGGGATGTCCGCGGTGGCGTATCCCAAACGCCGTCACTGTGCGAGAAGACGCGGAACCCTTGAACAAGCGCACAACCTTGGAAACTGGCAATTTCGTTGCGGTGCGTAGTGTCAACGACCGATCGTGGAGACACCCCGCGCGACGTCAACGGCATGATCCTTGAGAACACATGCACCAAGGCGCGCATGCCGCAGATCATACCGCTCACGCCACCACTGGAATGCCTCATGAGAGGGTTCATGCGCAGCGTCCATGTAAGTAGCCACATAGCAGCGTGACATCCTAGAACACTCCCCCTTCCACACATCACCTTCCCAGAGATGAACTCGCCACAATACCACACCGCTCGCAAGGACATACCCCATACGGTCAATAGAATGGAGACTCACCCAAACTTTGTTACTAACGAAGACACAGACAACCGCTCCGCGGAGGTCACTTCCGAGTGAGGCTCGCGGAAATGAGGAGGCGGTGGAGGCGGTGGTTTGCGCGACAAGGGAGCAGACTTGTTCGGGGAGACCGGGCGAGAGGTCGGGAGGGTAGTTTCGTGCACCAGGGGCGATGACGGCGGGTCCGCTGCCAGTGTCGCGCGCAGAAGCGGACTAGACACTGCCGGAGCAGGCGAGGGTGCCCTAGATGAGCGACCTGGAGGTGGCGGGGGAGGTCTCTTCGTGCCCGTCTTGAGATCTGAGGAAGACGAGGTTGGACGAAGCGAGCGAGCGTCCGGTCTGAGCTCGTTCGATCCTGACGCTGCGCGCGGACGCGGGCTCAGCGGTTCAGGAGTAAGCAGACCATGAGTGCTGATAGGTCGCTTCGGGGCTGGCCCAGCGCTGCTGCCTGCAGCGAGCTGCTCGAAGCGCGAACGCAGGCTGCTGACTGCGGGAGGCGGGGTAGACTCGATGTCAGGCGAGCTCGCCTGTGGATCCATGACTGTCTAGAGTTCGACCAGCGAGAGTGAGAACAGAGAAGCAGCTGGGCGAGCCCGTCGGGGTCGTCTGAGACGGTCGCGGTTGCGAATTGGACGGAGTAGAGTCGAAGTGGTCGGCCTCACACCAATATTGGCTGTACCACTGGGCGTCTATTGCTACTCGCGTCGCGGCGCTAAAACGCATCTGTCACGCCGTACTAATCAGTTACTTGCGTCACGCGTTACGATTCGCGCTTCGCTTCAATGTCACGGTCGTCCACCTGCGTTCTCAGCCGCAGGCTTTCATCTTCTTGGAGGCCGCATATTTTACTCGCCTTGTGAATCATTGGAATTCTATTTGCTTTGACCTGGTGAGCCGCAACTTCTTTTTCCTGATGTATATTGACCAAACTAGCAGGCCGCTATACCGCCTTGCAGTATTCTACGTCCATGCCGCGTCTACGCCTCCTCTGGACGGGCACTCGCTTTCTCGCCGTTTGCGCGGGCGCGGTCTCCGGTGGCTTCCGCACAGCATACGCCGCCTCGTATCATATCTAAAAACTTCGTTACCTCGCACGGCGAAAAGCGTTCGGAGGCGTCGGCGAAGACGGCCTTTCTGCGGACGGAGATGGCTCATGGTCCACGATCACGCGAAGAGATGAACCCGGTACCATCTTCCACCTCAACAGAGGCCATGCGAGGTCCGCCTAATACCTCTCGTGATCGAGGGCAGCAGCCTGCACAATCTCCATTGGGCGCGCGAGAAGTAGTAGGCAGAGCACCGACCAGGGAAGGCGAGAGGTCTACGTTAAAGGAGGAACACGCGTCACGCGTGTCTAGCGACACGGCACCACAGGACGCGGAAACGGAGAGTACGTTGGAGGGGCATGATCTGCCGACGGATGTCGCGCGCAGCAACTACCCAACATCCTCGCCGTTCGTCAGCGACCTCGTTCGCGAATTACGCGGCCTGCTGAGAAAAAAGGGTGAGCCGACTGCCATGAAGCGCCTCCACGCCTTCCTAGACAAAATGCCAGACGACAATCCCACGCGCTTCCAAGCCTTCGAGGCGACTATGCGCATGTTTCTGCGGGAGGGATGCCCCATGGCAGCGGTGACTTGCTATACGCGCATGACGGAGGAGGGATTCCTCTGTTCGATATCCCTGCGCGCGCAGATGATGGTCGTTTCGTTGGTCAACCGGTTGCCTGCGCCCACGGAGTTCTTCGCATTGTTGGAGACGTGGTTCCAGAACAAGCGTTTCGACGAGAGCGCACTTCAGGACATGCTGTTCCTCCTGGACGACGTCATCAGCAAGGACCCGGTCTTCGTTGATACGGTGGCCAAGCTATATCTGCGCTGCAAGCCTCCTGGTTACTCCTTCTCGCGCGGGACCGTCAGCTGGCTAGTCTACGTCCATGCGCGGGCTGGCTCCAAGGATTCTGCGAAGGAATGGATTGACCCCGAGCGCCATGCTGGCGCCAGCAGCCCGAACCCATACACAAGCCTCCTGCGCTTCGTCGACGGCTCTTCAGGAGACGACGAGCTCTACCTCTGGATCATACAGCGTATGCGGGAGTTCCAGATCCAGCCAGACCTCCCCTTCTATAACGCGCTCCTGTTTGCCGAGTTTGCGCGGAGGAGGTACGAGCACGCCTTCAAGATCTATGCGCTTCTGAAAAGCAGCGACGACCCCGCGGTCACCCCCGACGGGCTCACCTTCACGACGCTCTTCCGTGTGCAGCTCGACATGTCCCGCCCGGATACTCAACGGATGCGGAGTATGCCCGGCGCGCCATCCCCCCGCCAACTGTATCGTGAGATGATCGCCTGCCATGTATCGCGCACGGACAACGGCCTCGAGGGCACCCTGACGGACAGCACGCTGGTCTTAGCACTTCGTGTCTTCATGAAGAGGCGAGACTACGCTGCTGCGTTCGTCGCGTTGAAGACCATACAGCACTGCAAGATGCCCATTGACCTGGTAATGTATCACAGGATTCTCGCCTTCCTGATGCAGCGCATCGAGCAGCAGCTGTCATCGGTCGCGGTTCGTCGCGGTCCGCGTTCCTCCTGGTCTTACCGCTTCTTGGGCCTGGCGACTGCCCCTACGAAGCAGCGGCCAGTGTATGATCCCCGCGTGCTGGATGCCGTCCTGCGAATCGGCATGATACGGCGCCTCAGTCTTGATTATGTTGCCCCCCAGCTGGAACTTACCGACGACGACCCTCCCGAGGAACGCCCAGACTTCGATGCGCCAGCAGGGTCAAGCACGCATAAACAGTCGGCACCCACTCGTTCGCCCAAGCTGCCAGAGTCTTCTTTTGATTTCGAGACGTATACCAAGGCCTTCCGGATACACGGCATGCCCACCACTTTGGACGTGACAGGGACCGTGAAATCAAATCCACGCCGGATCTACTCTGCAACGCCCCTCGAGCGCATACTACGGCGCGCCATGCTCGCGGATCGTCCGGCTTCCATCGTGGCGGCGATGAAGGATGTGAATACAGAGCTCGCGATGGCCAAAGAGCAGATGCTTGGGGATCTGAAGAACAAATTGTCGAGGTCTTCGGCTGGGAAGCAAAAACGACGGGATGTCGATCGCAATGGGTCTAAAAAGCAGGCGGACGGGGCTGCGTCGGGGCGGGCGGGCGATAATGCGATTGAGGCAGACGGCTGATCTTCTGTGGTGTCTATACATTAGGACGGTTCATATTATTAGTGTAGAGGAAACTCTGTGGAGTTCTAGTGTTCCCTGGGATAACGATGTTCTGTGATGCGGGCAAGTACGAAAGCGATGAGGACAACATAGACGATTAGGGGTTGAACGTTGAACGTGTACAGGAGCAGCAATGCCCATGAACACGGAAGCAACTTGCAATTCGAGGCAAACCTCTTCGACGCGCCGACTCCAGCTCACGGTCGCGCTTTCTTCTTCGTCGGCGGCGAGCGCGATCCGTCCTCGCGCTCCCTCTTCAGGCCGGAGCCCTTGTACTTGGTTCGCGAGGACGGCGACGTGTTCTGCGCTCCATGGTACTGCGGCACCTCGGTGAAGTTGTTCTGCGACAGCGGCGTCCGGTCGCTGATCAAGCAGCCGCTCGCGCTCTGCACCCGCGCCATCGGGCCCTTCTTGCGCGGCGGCGTCGAAGGCCGCTCCTCCTCGTGCGGCGGCGTGAGCACGTCGTCGTCCGCGAGCGGGTCGTCGTTCTTGCCCTGCTCTGTCAAGACATCATGGAGTATCATGTTGTACGCGTCCCGTACGATGCGGGCGAAGCTGTGCGTGCGTTCGCGCTCAGTACGGAGACGTATGCGGGATGGACGTGACATACCGCTTTTCCTTGGTGTAGATACGTAGCAGGAGTTCTCCGAACTCCGCCGGCATGAGCAACGAGACATCATGTGGGTGTGCCTTCCCCGAATCTGTGCACAATGTCAGTTCGGAAACACTGCACCGTGCAGAGCGTACTCACTATCCGGCTTGTGCTTCGAGTAGAAGCTCACCGTGTCCAAGGGGTTCTTGTCCTTCATCCCGTAGTGCATCATCGAGATGTCGACGATGACGTGCTCAGGGTTGAGCTCCTCGATCAGCGCGCGGTACTGCGCTTCGTCCTTGACCTGCGGCATGCGCTCCTCCGCCTGTGCGGCGCGCACGATCTTCTCGGGCGTGAAGATCTCCCTGCAGTCGTGCTGGAATGCCCACGGGAACACTTTCCAGTCGACCATGCGGTAGAGGTCTCGTCTGTGAATACGGTTCAGGATGTCCCGTGCGGATTGCAGTTCCTGGACGGACGCGTCAACTTGAGGCAACAGCAATGGGAGATCGTCGATGACTTACCGGGCTCTCAGAGGCCTCGATTCGTATGCGAATGTCGTCCGTTAGGTGGAGATACCGTTTGGGGTCGAAGATATCACGGGCGAACTTCATGTGCGGCTCCGCCGCGAGCAGAGCGTCGATGAGCATATATTCTATAGCCTTCGCTGTGTGAAGAATGAGTTGCTGAGAGTGTAGAGTGCGACAAGACGCACTGACCTGTCTTATGGCTGTATACTCGCTTGTGCAAACTAAACCGCGTATGACAGAGCTCGTAGATCTGGTTCGCGTCCTTGATGTGATAGCAAATCTCGTCCTTGATGACCCGAGCAGAGTGGATAAGCCTGTCGTGGTTGTTGAGCAGAGGACGGAGGCGTGGAACACTTCACGTACCGCGTGAGCGAGAGGTTGACCTTCATGTCGATGGCATGCGTATCTCGCGCGATGTAGTCGAACCTAGCCATCTCAGTACCTCCAGTGCCACGGCAGATGGTATATACCTACTTGTCGACGTCCAATCCATTCCTCTTGTTTGCCACGATCTCGAACAAGAAGGGCTTCTCTTTGCGACTGTCCAACAGATGAGTATGCTATCTTGCACACAGATGGAGAACACTCGCCTGCAGCGACCAGGATCACCAGCTATCATCGCTTTGATGAATGATGCATCTTCCTCGGATATGTCAAGGTCATTCTCTCTGATGAGCGCGTCGAACATCATGTCCGACGAGTCTTCGTGACTCCACTCTATTCCGGGCCTACGCGTTATCAACCCCAGCAAGCTTTTGGAAACGACTATGACACTCACAATGCGCGAGGTATGAACATCCCGTCCCAGACGTGACTCCAGGGGCCATGGCCCAGGTCGTGGCACAGTCCAGCAATGGTCACACATTTGACGTCGCGCCGAGTGATATTGAGTCCCGGCTGATAGCTTTGCAGGTGCTCTGCCATGAGCTCTGCCAAATGTGCCACACCTGGAGAGAGCAATGTGCATTAGTTGCATGGTCACTGCCGCGAACGAAGTGGGACGAGGCTAGATCAATGCGATGAGATCACGATGTCGCAGATGGTAGCTCGACGAACATGACCATGATAATACCTGGTCGAAGACAGGCTCATATACTGAACACGCATTGATGTTACGTCGACAGCGCCTTTCTGGCTCAGACAAGTCATGGGCCGCCTGAGGTCTTTGTGTGCTCAGCTACCAGAGAGCATGGGAGCTACTGCTTCTTGCAACCCTTGGTCGAGGCGCTACGTAAACGCCGCATATAGTCCACTTGGGCACAGCGGAGTAGGATACGCACCGAGACTATGCTCAAATCTATTGTGCGATGCTCCCGGCCATACGTAATACGACGTGCCGAGCTGCTTGATGTTACGCAGGCGTTGAAACTGGGGCCTATGCGCGAGAATGAACCTTTGAGTGGATGTCGGATTACACAAAGAGACGGTACGTACGTGTCGATGATTGCACAGACTTCATAGCTGAAAGGGACTGTCCGCGACACGGAAGTCAGACTCTCCCAACGTATGAATACGCGAGGATACGTACTGAAGTCGTGAATGGGATCCTTGAACCTCCGCACGTTAAGCAGCGGCGTCGGCCGCGTCTGCGACTCCTCGACCTTGTCGTCGTTCTCATCCATGAGCCTCATGGTGTACGCACGAGCTGGCGATTGAAATGTGAGATGAGGCGTGCCAGCCGCGCGGGCTGAAGGGATCGAGCACAAGACCAGGTGATGGGGTGGAAGCAAAGACAGGCGAGTGCTGCTTGCAGTGCTGAGTGGCGGCTGTGGACCGGGCACCCTTCCTCTTTTGATTTAGTCGCCGTGACGCGTCGCGACGCGTCGAGGATCGCGCGTCCGACGCGTCCACACATCAGTGGGGCTGCTTAAATAGGCTCCCTACTGACTAAGCTTGACTTGTGAACTGCGATCTCTATTCCTCGGTTACTAGAACTCGGTATGTACATACGCTTCGCCCAGACGAACGCGCTCAGGCTCCTAGGTACATACTATGAAAGTGCATGCGGATATACGTCCGACCACCCGCAGGTTAATAGCCTTCGCTATATTCAGTGTGTATGTCAGCGAGTTTCGGACGAGGCTACCTCCAACTTGAAGTCAACTGCGACGTTACAAGCTTGGGCCCGATGGCTAGGTCATCCAACTCACTGACGACCACTGTCCTGATGCATACGACATAAGTAAAGCATTTCGCGGTCCCGTATGGCCGCAATGACAGACGAGAAACGATGTAGCATGGGGAAGGGATAAGAGAACAGTGGTAAGGACAAACGACTTCGGTGATGCCCAGCAAACAACGGACACGCCCTACCTAGTAACTTACGTTCATCCTCACCCAATTATTCGTCTACCCCCCCCCCCCCATCGGTACCGACCACTCAGTGCCAACTGGGTGCGATCATGATAGCACGGCATCGAGCCGAGAAAACATACAGACTAGGATACTACGTAGGTCGACGATGCGATGCAGGCGATAGCACGACGACGAAGGTGACGACAATAACGACGATGACTATGTAATAACACAGACTGGGCTAGATGCTACAACATGGGTCTGCTTAATGAGACTTGTATCAGAGATAGCGATACATGAACCAGGCAAGGGAGAATGAGTGGACTGTTCAAGGATGGGGCAGCAGACACGAGGCGCGTGTTCAATAACAGGGTTTACGAGGACTACCGTCCAGTGAGAGGGAGAGAAGACGGATGGGACGGGATAGAGAGGATCAACATCGCGCCTAGGGTAGATACCTCACATCAGTACTTCGGGAATTTCCTGATGTGCTGACACTCGCTGACGACATTCCGTCCACATACCTCAGTAGACATCAGCGTGTTCAGCGCCGTCAGCGAGTCTCGGGGGCTCTCAGCACATCAGTGTGCATGGCACACGCGAGCAGAATCACATTGTTCGATAATATTGATTGTACCGTACAGGTCACAAGTAAGTAAACGAGTCTGCATGCAAATCACTCGTACCAGCGAGCGGATGCGTGGGCCGGCAAACAAACCGGTACTAGACAAGCGACAAGTTCTTTAAATGGGCAGATACTAAGTGGCTAGGGAGTATGTACGAAAGCGGCGTGGCGGGCGCACGGACAATCAATGATTTGACGCGGGCAAGCAACGGGCGGATGCGCATGACATGTTCACAGATGGCCGGGGGATGTTGTGCGCGTGTGCGGGCAAGTAGGTCGATGGTGAGGGTACAGAGGCGTGTGACGCAGGTGTGTAGAACACCGCCGCAACGCGTCACAGAGGTGAGAGGGGTGCCCGCCACCAAAGGGTGTGGATGTGTCGAGGGTGAGACAGTGTGCTGAAGGTGGAGAGGCGCGGCCGCGTTCAGGAAGAGCGGGCACGCCGAGTAATGTCAAACGCGCAGAGAGGGTAAAGGAGGGGGGCTGAGGGCGGATAGGCATGGCAGCTTACCGTTCTTGTCCTGTCTAACTCCCCCCTTAGCCTCCTTTGGCATCTTCCCTGCGCAATTTGCACGGCCTGCCTCGCGCTCGTGGCGCGAACGTGGCCGGGCTTGGCCATATTCGCGGGATGTGACGACACAAGTGGGCTGGCCGTAGTGCGCTGCGCGGGCGGGGATCCTTTACTCGCGGGTCGCATCGCTGGTAGCCCATCTGGATTCTGGATGAGTCTTCACGTTGGGCGCGCCGGCGATCTTCAATGTTTGACGCGTCAGCAGGGGCCGGGGAGCTGTGAGATGCACGGGAACAGGGTTGGAACAGGGCGATATCTTGCGGTCAACTCGAAGGCTGCAAGGCCGCGCGGCTTGGCGCGTGTCTGGCAGTGGCCATCCGGGCGCGGAGAATGTCGAGATCAACGCGAGAATCGAGCGCGCTCGACATGCTCGGAGCCTCGGGCACGGGCTTCCGGGCGGCCTCGACTGGGGCGGACTGGGGCGCACACGCGACATAAGGTGATACGGAAAAGGAGGCCCAGGGCGAGTGGTGCCGGTGGATGCGCGACGGCAGGCAAGAGACGATGTGCAATGGGGAGGGGACAGTGGAATGCCAGTCGCTGAGCAGAGTCCGAGGGAAACCTGCCCTAAACGGTAACCGCCCGCTGCCACGTCAACGTTGCCGTCTGTTTGTTTCTTACTCGTCTACTGTCTTTCAACGTCTGAACGCTCACCTCACGACTCAACTTGTCTCCTACGCTAGCTCATCCATTGCCGTGCCATGTACTCTCCACAGAACCTGTGCGTAGAAGAGCACTCGAACTGACGTCTCGTACGCGCAGGCACGACGGCACAGCACACCTGGCAAAAGTCCGCGCAATACCACTTTTGTCACCGCCGCAGTGGGACATGTCTGCGCGTAAGTCTCTCCCTCCACACATATACACATGGCGGATGCTGACGCGGCACGCCCAGGACGGTCGTCCAGCTGGCGAAGGCAGCTGACCTCAAAGTGATTACGAGCGCGGGCTCTTGAAACGAGAAGTTCGTGTCCGTCAAATCGCGAGTCGGTGCGCACAACGAGTGTGCTTGTGGCGAGAATACCTGCGAGGTGAGGTAGACCTGTCGTCGGGAAGGAAATGATCTGACGACAATAGTAGATGAATGCACTTCCGTTCACCTTCGGTACACATTTTGCCACAGTCCACGGCCCCTGCCTGACACAGCCATAATGCTAGCGCAATGTGACGACACAGCATACTTGTGCCGGCGTGCCTCCTCTGTGCGGACATGCGCAGGGTCTGGCTCGTGCGTGACGAAGCGGCATGGGGTGACATCCAGCAGGCCCCTTGACGGGTATGCATGTCCGGGCTGATGTGTGGTATGTTTTCAGCTTGCTTCTGACTGTTCTTCATGCTTAGACTACGTTGACCATCATGAATCTGTGTAACAAATAATCACCTCGACTCGTTGACGTGCAGTAGGTTCATAAATGTGTATGTTGTAGTAGAAAGTGCAGTGTTTGATGCTCGAATATATCTTCTTTAAATCAACCAATTTGCTACCGTGTCTCGTTCAATGTGTCTAGCATGCCTTAGATGCCCCCTTTCCTGACGCTGGATGATCTCTGCTGACGGCCGCTGACGGTTCCTGATACCCGCTGACGCTTTGGGCTTTGCATCTACTGACGGAAATAAGTTGAAATTTTGAACAACATATTCGTCCCTGCTGAACACCGCTGAGCTGCACTGACGTTGCTGAAATCCGCTGATATAGCTACTTCAGTGACGTCAGTGGCCGTCAGCGGTTTCCCCAAAGTTCTGATGCACTCAAAATGTGAGATAAAGGGCGGCAAAAGCGCTCCCGACGAGGACGCCTGTGGCACCAGTACGATGGACAACGCTGGCGCCACTGGTCTGTTGCATCGTGTCAAGGTCGCCCTGAAGTGTTGCGTGAGTGAAGTGGCAGATCGACGACATACGCTACTTACGGAGCTCATCGTCGCCCCAGCACTGGCAATGTTTGACGCGTCCGGAGTGACGGCAGATTGAGGCGTGTCAGGCGGCAGCGCCTCCATCACGTAGTGCATGGGCCACCAAGGGGCAGCAGATACTGTCAAACTCCAGTCAATGATCGTCCTGGCTCCTTCATACACGACTGACGACGTACCGGAAGGCGCTAAGCCCGCCACGAAGGCGAGCGCCACGGGGCTGCCGATAAACACGCTCCGGAAGAGAAGCATTGTGTGAGATGTGAAGGAAAGACACAGCGAGATGTGAAGGTAGGGTAGGGTACAGAACGAATCGAGGGACGCCAGTCCAGATGAACTGGCTGGTCCGAGAAGCCAGACGGCGGATTATAAGGCGGGATACGTACGAATGCGCAGCGCGTTGCGAGTGGAGACGAGCACGCTGCATATTATATAAAACCCTCAACGCTGGGGGAGCCCAGCGAGAGGGCCTTGTACTTCTGTTCAATGTAAATTCCGACGCGACTTCGCGCCGTTGCCAGTGCGCCGAACTCCTACCGAATCTTCCGCGTGTGAGGCAGAACAAACGCAGACCTATATATGGCGACAGCGATGTACAGGCTGAGCTTCTTAGCTTTGCGACCAGGTATGGTATTTCTTGTACTTGGTATCGAATATCGAGGTCAAGAAGGCAAATCGATGAAGGTACAAGAGCGCTTAAGCGCTTCCAAATACAATGTCTCACTGTTTGGGTTTGTTGCAGTGATGGCGAGCCACATTCAAGTTGCTTCTGGGAATTCGCCCTGCTCACCTCCTCCGACACCTGGCGTTCGGACGATGATACTTCAGTGATTTTCAAAGTCTGCTGTATGACTGGAACCAGAAATCGAATGAATGTAGCTCTTCTACTTTATTTCTGATTAGGACCATGGCAGTGAGGTCGTCGGATGCAACTTGAACTTGGTGAGTGCATAGTAGTACCGAGCAGCTTCTAATACACTAGTACTCTCACAATGACTGGGCACGGTGAATCGCTTTATATATTGTTTCGCGTACATGACTTCCAACACAAGCAACCAGCAACAACCCTCATCGACGGTCCGTTTCGCTGGACACCCTGAGCCTGACTCGCATCGTTGAGTCTGGAGGATGACGCTACGTTAATGATGTAACACAGACGGGACGAACTCTAGATCAAAACTTACCACTTCCGGAAGTCGTCCAAAGTCGTTGGCCGTCCAAGGCTCTGGGGTGTCCATTATGGTATATGTCCCTAGGTAGTATAGAGAACGAGATACAGCGGCCACCAAGTCTACGGATCCCTTCGCTACGCGCTTGTGGAAGGCTTTGTGCTTGCATGGCACCCACTTGCCGTCCAAGGTGTTGATCACCATAGACGGCTTGACGAAGTACGGACTCTCAATGAACTCTCCGACGACGAAGGTACAAGTGTTCACAAAGAGGCGATGATTTGTGTTGCCGCTGTCAAAGACCGAATATCAGTCAGTCAGAAGTCCGCGTCTCGCATGCAAGACTCTGCCCACCAAGTCTTTGGGAGATGCGCCAGGATTCAGTCACGGTCGTCGGTCAGTAAGGGCCATCGCGAACCCACCCTTTGCAGGTGATCCAAGGCTGCTTGCGTGATGACTTTCATCGGAAGCGGCGTAAGGACGTCTTCGATCTTCCTGCCCGTCCTGGCGTGTGAGAGACCAGCAGAAGACACCAGCGTCTCGCTAGGTAGGCGAAAGCTGGACGGATTGCCCTGAGTTTCGGAGACGCGTGCCAGTGCGCACTCGCAAGGGTCAGGGGAGGAATCACGTCGGATGACTCTGCTATGTTCTGGCTCCCCGGATCCGGGCCTAGGGCTTGACTCCGACGCGAAATCGGTCAAACTGACCACGGATCCTGCAGTACTTGAATCTGAGTCACCGAGGACAGTATCTTCCTCGCCGCGGGCTTTACCGCGGGAGTGGACTGCACTGGAAGGTTCGGCATTGACATCGGACTGTGGCTCCTCTACGAGAACCGTCGCTCGAGACGGGTTTTCATCTGTCGGAGGCTGTGCGAAACGTCAGGCGGTCATCGCACATTTGCGGATATACTACCACAGACCTCAAATATATTCGTAGCGGATTGCTGGGGCAAGTATCCCCCGACACCTTTGTAGACTTGAGCGACTTTGCTGCGTACGGTACCTAATAGGCTAGGGCGACTTGGACCATCCTGCGCATGAAGTGTCATGTTACACATTGAGAACATAATGCAACGATAACATGCCTTCACGACTTCGACGGCCATGCACAGCGATGCCACTTCTTCCTCGTGGTGGGCAATGGTAGAGGCAAAGCACTCGTTCAACTCGTCGAGATGGAGCTGTTGCCGACGAACATACGATGAGGCATGAATATGATGCACCTCAATCCTGCGAAACCTTACCTGTCTTTGGTTGGACTCGGCGGTGAGCGTCTCTGTCCTCTGCCTTAGTTGCTGATTCTCGTCGCGGAGAAAAGCCGTCTGGTCCTCCATCCCCGAGACCTTCGTCTGCATTGACATTATAGTCATTACGAGGCCATGAACTGCGCGTCTCACCTGTGCAATCGAGTACACTTCCTGGGATCTCTGGAGTAATTCTTGTAGGTCCCTAGACTGGACATGTGCAGTGAGGAGCTGTTTGACTAAGTCTGACACTCGTGCCTATGGGTATATTCAAGAAGGCTTCAGTAACAGATGCGACGCGATAGACGATAGGGATGTCATTACCTCATTTTTGGCACGCTCGTCTTCGAGACGACTGATAGCGCTGTGTGCGTCCCTGAGCTCTTCTCGAGCAACTGCCAGTTGGTGTGTCAGCCCATCAACTTGCTTCTGCGGAACACTTCCGGTTACTCCCTGGGATACGTGGAAACCTTTCGAAAGGGGTACCTCAGACATACACAGATTCAATGCTGCCGTCGTCTGGTAACTGCCGACCTTGAATTACATGTCGTCAGTTCGTGCAAGGCCGATACAGCATATGCGCGTACCTGCGTTCCGTTGTCACTCGGGGCAACGCGCGTCGTGCGAGACAGAAATTCTTCGAGCGAACACTGCGAAGTCAGAACAGCATCACATCGTGGCCCACTGCGACGACTGGCAAACTAAGCTACCTGCATCGCACGCATGCGTTCACTGATAGACACAAGCTCCGTACGTAGAGAGTCGTTGTTCTCCTGACATAGTAGCTATCGGTGAGCTTCTGAAGACTCTAGATGTACGACAGCTGGGGACTTACCTTGGGTGCGAACGCTGCTTCGAGGAGGTCTCTTCGGAGCTCATTGAACTGTTCAAGGGACACCACTCCACGACCGTCTCCCTGAGAGCTTCCCGACTGGTGTTCATAAGTAAGCAAGTGGACGTTCAGTTTAATGAGCCTTTCACACCCTGTCATACCCGAGCTCAATTCGAAGCCGGATGAGCTCGGCAGCTTGCAGAGCAATGACCTCTTGCGCTACGGTTGGCGAGATTTGTACTATAGGGCCAGGCGCACTCATCGACAACACTGATTCAGAGGCAAAGTGCATACAAGGCGATATGTCGAATAAGAGTGTTCAAGATCGATCCACGAGGCGACTGCTTGAGCAAAATTCAGCTAGGTCCGGGGCAAAACAGGAATGAACGAAAGTGACTGCCGTGAGCTACGTCGGCCGTTAAGCAGTAGGAAGGCATGGGCCCGCTGTATATAGGCCTGGAATGTGTGCGCAATGTGGTCGTCAAAAGCCTCGTGGAGGCCGCATTCCCTCTCCAGACTCCCATCAAAGGTCTAGGTCAGAATGCTTCTCCAGGAACATGTGACTGATACGTACGTAGCGATTACTGGGCGTGGCATCCGTGGCACCAGAGCCATTCGACTCGCCCTGCCCTCGATGGGCCCCAACAACATCAATGGCAATGAACGCAATTGAATGGAGGAAATGGCCGTTCCCGGCTTCCGCTTCCCCAAGTAGCCAAGATTGCACTTGGATCCCTGTCTCCCTGCGGGCCGCGCTATGACTTGCGAGCTTCACAGTTGAAGCTGTTCCGTGCGTCGTGAGATTCTCTGGGAGGTGGGCTTGCGTCACTTCGAAGTCGCGCCTCACGCTTCGAGTAGATCAATTATGTCGTGAAGTTCCCGCGCATCACTGTGTATGGGATGAAACGCAAGCATATATAGAAACAAAGCTGCCAACTGAAATCAGAGCAAACATCGATACTGTGGAAGAAAATCGGAGACGGACGTTATACGCCGGATGCATGCTGTGACTTATTGGGTCCGTACAAGACTTCAGGCGTTCTGACGCAAATATTGGTGCAAGGGCGAGTTGAAACCCGTCCTCTGCACCGGGAACCTAAGCGCAGAGAGCTTGCCACACAGATATAACTCTCGCAGCGATCCCCACTCCGTCGGCTTTCCTGATGAGCTGATCACTTCTTGTTGAGTCTGTGAATAGATGAACAACAGTCAAGGTCGCTGAAGGATGTGCAGGCACCTTCTCAGGAAGCCCCTCGAAGTCTACGGCGTTCATAGCTTCCGCTTCGCCCACGGTATATGTCCCTACGTAATAGTAGGCACCCGAAAAGTATGGGATGATCTCCGTAGGGCCTCGTTTCTGAAGCCGCTTGATAAATTTGAGCTTCGTATCCTGCCATTTGTCGCCCTTGGTGCGAAATAACGCCGCTTTGACAAAGTGGCCAGTATCGGGGCAACTGGCCCACACAAAATCGGCCGGGGTGACGATGACGATGTTCTTGATTCCCCTTTGGGAGAGAGCGTATCAGTAACATGTTCGCTTCAAGAGGCAATATAACCTACAGGATCTACGACGCAGTGTGGTATAAGCACATTGAACAGGCACGAAGCGATGATGAGCCTCAGCACACACCTCTTTGATAGCCTGTGGATCCGGCGCCTTGCTTGACAATGCTCTGAACATGTCTTCCAAGACACCTCCCGGCGTCATGTAGAGGCGAGGATCATCATCGTTCTGGCGGACAGTCGACTGCGTCCGGAACACTGAGTCTCTCGGAGGTTCGTCGGCGCACACAATGACGTTACCGATACATGGTATTTGTGAAGACTAAGGGAACATTTGTGAGCAGATTCAGTAGTGTTTACCACCGCCAGACTGACAGACTGACCTCCCCTGGGAGTGCTCGTTGCTCGGCCTGCCGCCTCAGCTCGGCAATCTCGATCAAGAGCGAAACCTCTCTGGACTGGGTCAAAAGAAAACTCAGAACTCGTTCCTCAAGCTACAACTAGGACCTGAGCCACCGACCTTCACTGCCTCAAGATTCTCTTGAGTTATCTGCAGGGTTCTCTGTGTTACCCACTTGTTGAGCCTCGATCCTCTGAGGAACGCAGAGGATGCTTTCTCTCCGAGGCTCTGCTGCGCTTTCTGTATCACAATTGCCTCAGCACACCATGTGAGCGAGTGGTTGTCAATGCCCACCTGTGTCACGTCGGCGATCTCTCCAAGCAACTCCTGAACGTATCGGGAGCACGACGCTAGTTGCTGCTCTGTCCATTGTTGTTCCCGCTACATACGACGATATCAGTCGAGGCTCGCGTAAAACACATCCTGCATTACGGACCTCGGCAAGCTTAGCTCTCTCCCCCATCTCGCTAAGTTTCCGTTCGAGGAAGCATATATCATCGTCTCTTTCTCCAAGATGGGCACAGGCTTGCTTGAATTTCTCTTCAAATCGCGCCTGCGTAAATCTTAATGAGTGCGACAAAGCCGGGCCGTTGCTGGTAAGCCGTGACCTTATCCCGTATCAGGGTTTCTTCTAGACGTGCGCGGGTCGTTTTGAGCGCATCGTTGGACGCCTTCACCAGCTTTGTCACGTTCATTTGATACTCGTGGCATGAACTCACCTCGAGTTCGACGAGTCGCTGCTGCTTCTCATTCAGCTGAGAATGCAATTGGTCGTTGAGGCGCTATGTGTTTGTAGTAGATTAGACCAATGCAAATGATCAATCCCCAACGAGAGCATACATTCACGCTCTCACGTAACTCTCGATTGTGTTCGGCGTCACGGACCTGCACGCAGTGAGTATAATGGAACACGGTTCAGCGGGGCAGACGAACCTTCTCGACGAGATCCCGCAAATCGTTCACCAGGGTTTGAGCCTCCACACGCTCATTCAGTTGTTCCCTCAAGTTTCGTATCTCGGTCTGGACATGGCAATCAATAAGACTCTCGTTCGATATGGCGCTCCATACCTCGAAAGCATTACATTCGCCTCGAAGACGATGGATCTCTACATCTTGCAGCGATGCGATGCTCTGCAATGCCCTAGGGGTATCGATGTCAGCTAAATGCATGATCTCAGCAGTTCGCGATAGTGTTTAGTGTATGATATGCGAACAAGTAGACTCGGTCCACAGCTGCGATTTTGCACAACTGACGAGCGAATATACCCGACCGCTGAGGCTCGAGAGGATGGCGTGCAGAGGACAGTATCCACGCGCCGCGTTTTTCATATGGACGATGGCCTGCGATAGGAGCGCCGCCCATACGTACGTAGATGGTTCTTCGCTTGCAGTTCCCACCAGGCGGCCGCGACGCCTGTCGCTTCCCGCATTCAGTACCAATAGATGTCTTCCTTTACATGCCCGATCTCGAGCTATACAGCGCTCGCAAGCCGTCTTCGTGGAGAGATGGCCACACCTCGTGCATTCTTATCAGTAAACGAGGTCCCTGCTATCAGCCACTCGACTACCACCACAGAGCCTGTACATTGGGAGTATCTGCGTCACTGTCATCTGATCCATCGTTATCTGCAGGCTGAGCAGCCTCGAGCTGGACCGGAAGACAATGCAAAGCTTGCAGTGCTTCGACAAGGTGGGTAGCCAGGGTGTCGTTGAACGCCACTCGTTTGAGAGTGAACTTTGTTGCGCCTAATTCTCCCACCTCGAGCACGTCGCGCAGTACGTTGCGATTACTTTTGTGGCCAGACTGAGCAACTAGCGCTTTACGGACCTAATGCGATGCCTTAGTTAACAGTATGGGTTTACGTAGGCGCCCTTGATCTGACCTTGTCCGGCAACGTCCTGAACTCTTCCGGAGATATAGGATCGATCCCAATGTTTTGGTACGTCCCAAGGTACAGCCAGTTGCCTTCAAGGCGAGTGAGAACTTCGACCTTGAGGAATCGGCGCAAAAGCTGTCTGTTGCCTTCTTGCCAGTGACCCTTCTTGCTTAGTACACGATCGGGCTTCACTGAGAATCCAACGTTGGGGAACTCCAGCCAGTGCGTTTCATCCTTGGCCATTATGATGTTCTTCCTTTGAACACCACTGGGTGTGAAGGCGGACTGAGCGGCTGTATTTGCGTAACCAGAGGAACACGTACTAATTCTGTGTTATGCCATTAGGATTGTTGTTTGGCAACAAACACGTAGCGGACACCTTTTTAGCCTCAACTAAGAATTTGCGAGACATGCTCTCATCACCCAGGACCAATATTCCCCGATCCTCGTCCCTGTATGGGTATTGGCGAGGGCTAGCAGGGACATGTTGACCGCGTTGCAGCATGCCTCGGATGCGCTCCACTTCGGCCTCTAGGTCGGTATATCTCGCCTACCACCCCATCAGCCCCTAGAGGCCATCAGTCGAACCAAATCTTACCTTCAAATCGTCGTAATTTGCTTGCAACCGAGCTACCTGGCCCGTCAAGGCACTGTTTGATTTCTGACACATTCCCATCATTAGCTGGACGGTAGTGATAGGTCGACGGCATACCTCGACATCCTCTACTCGGATACGGAGCCGCTGTGCTTCAACTTCATCTAGATGATCAAGCGTAAGAATGATTCGCTCGACGCCGCTCGGTATGCCGATGTTTGCTGTAGACATTTCGCTCAGCTTGAAGTCTCAGTGAACGTTGCAGACTTTTGGAACTTGAAGGCGAGCGCTTCAGGGACCTTCCAGACTAACATGTGCAGGCAACGGGCGAGAGCGTGAGGACGTGTATACGGTTCTATGAACGGGTGAAAGAGAAGACGCACAGTGTACTGAACCCAATCTCCATGAGGCGAGCGGCGTATTGCATGAGGCGTACCACATCGAAGCTCAACGTCAGGCCGTCGCGCCGTGGACCTCACACGCATCGGCGGAGGTTCCACTCGCATGGTCGCGCCATCGACACCTTCCAATTGTGAGACTCGTAGGTTCACATTTGTTTTAGGCTACCCATTGCACGTATACACGTCAGTCCGTTAGTCTGTAGCATCAGAATTGTCGCTCCCTTCTGCCTGCGCGTCACCAGCGTTGACTTCGGCATGAGAAGCGAGGCAGTCCCACACCCGCTGGTTCATTCCAGTCCTGCTGAAGCTAATCTTGGTCATTGTCACTTCGCCGTCCTCCAACATTCTGCGGAGCTCGTCACTGTGACGCTTGTGACCAGCCAGAGCAACCACACGTCGTTGCACCTACTGGCTGTTGGAAATGTGTCCTAGTTCTCAGAGCAAGGCACTCACCTGTTCAGGTAGTTCTCTGAATAATTGCGCTGGGAAGACCTCCGACGAGACGAACCTGTATGTCCCAAGATAGTGCCACACTCCAGACACGCGCGCCATCAGTTCGTTTGCTAGACGGAGTAGTTTGCCGTGTTTGACGCTTTGCCAGTTGCCCTTCTTCGAGAGCATGCGGTCGGGCTTGATGGCGTACCCCATCATCGGGAAAATGTCCCATGCGAATTCGTCTCGTGCGGTTATTACATTGACTCCTCCTCTGTGAAGATCCGGGGAGTATCAGCTCTGGCTCCCAATCAACGTCAGAGTACCTACAAGGTCTAAGAGGTCGGTAGGCGTCATGCCAATCAAGAAGTATCTTGAGACCACCACGCACTCAATGAGCACATCAGATGACTTACAGCTCTCATTTCTCTGAGGGTGATGAATGGGGATCGAAGAGAAGAGAAGGGCAGCGTAGAAGTCTCGGGCTCGTTCAAAGCGGAGCTCCGTTCAGGTCCTTGAGCATGACATTCCTGCATGGCTGGAAGTAGTCCCCCCAGATGTGCCAATTGCTTTGCTAACTGAACCTGCTTTGCCTGAACGACAATCAGTCTGCGACGTAATCTAATATGATGCCAGTCGCACCTTGACAGCTTCGACCGCTGTTTGGGCTTCCCTCAACTCAGCGGAAAGACTCGCGTTCTGCGCCTGTACACAAGCATTAGTATATCGTGCCATGACCGCGGGTCAAAGCAAGCTCACCTCCACTGAATCAAGCCGTGCGCGAAGATCCTGCATCTCCTGGCTGTCGAGGATTACGTTGCCGATGTTACTTGCCATACGTCCGCGCGCGGCGTGAAGATGGAGGGTGAACGGCCAAATGGTATCCGTTGGACGCATATATCTCGACAGACGGACGAAGGCGAGATTGAATGGTGGTTCTTGTTCCGTCAAACTGTATCCACACGAGGTCAAACCGTATCTACATGATTCACGCCCTAGTATGCCGCACGGTAAGCAATACATTGCAGTGACGCGTCGTGACCGAACGGGCTGGAACGAAAGGAACCTGTCACCTCGACGATCTTCTGCTGTGCGTGCCGACCGTCTACCCCGTGTAAAAGGGCCAGTCTGCAGATGTATGCTATGATAAGTGTCAGTAGTCGGACATCCACGAACGCTCGGATAGCTCCTAAGTCTAGAGCGGGGTGTCTTCATATTCCACATCGCAAATAGGGCTGGAAGTTCTGCCCCGGCACCTTGTCCTTGAGAGCGAGTGGTGGCAACAGCTCGGGCGGCCTGTACATCGGCGAGCAGATTATTCGAAGATTGATGGTATGGAAACCATTAAGTCAAAGTTTGACGAGCATAAGGATGCTTTGAGTGAGACGGAATACATGTTGCAGTGTTACTGCAGCGATGTACGTAGCAGGACGAGGAACCAGTTGGCGTTGATACCACCGTTGGAATGAGAACAGAGCAGCTCGGGGATGTGCATGTTCAAGTTGCGTTGAGGACTACGTCCTGCCCTAAGTCGCTGCACGTGCTCTCGCTCGCTCGCTCGGGATGAAGTTTGTACTGTACTACAACTGTACTACTTTACGAATCCTGTAATGCAGGTGTATAGATAGACACATTCGTGGCCAATGAGTTGCTCGCCGTCGAAGATGGGCCATAAAGGCATCAACGGATGTTCAAGCTTAAGTCCAGGCCGATGCGTTTCTCTGAGCCCGTGCTGTAAGCGCCGAACGCTACATTGTACGAAGCTTCGACGACTCGGAGCGACTCGGATCGCACCTACTACCTAGTGCTAGCGGTGATCTCTATTTGATCTCTATTGCCACACACAATCCACGAAATGACTCATGCAGACCTAGCTAAATACGCTCGACATTGGTTTTATTCTTCGCTGCTTCCCGCTGGACCTCGCCACTCCCCTCTGGCAAGCTCTTGTCCATCATCCACTCCCAAAGCTCAAGCTGATTATACGCCTCCGTCCAACAGTCGTGCCCGAGGCTTGGATATTTGCTGAACTTGACTTCGGGGGCGCCGATCTTCTGGAGTGCGTCGTACATCTGTTTGGACTGCGAGATCGAGATGATATCGTCCCTCTCGCCGTGGTGTATCCTGGTCTACGCTCAGTACGCTGTCATCACCCAAGAATCACTGTTTGGCTCACCATTGCGGTATATGCTTGATGTTCAACGCTAGCAGTGGCTCAACCCCTCCGCATATCGGCACCACGCTCGCAAACCGCTTAGGTGAATGCTGCGCCAGCTCCCACGTACCGTACCCGCCCATCGAGAACCCAGTGGCGTGCACTCTCCGGATGTCGACGCGGTAGTCCTGGATGACCTCGTCGAGCAGGGACGACAGGGCCGGCGCGTTCCATCCATATCCGTACTGCATGTTCAGCGACGGCGTTACCGTGATAAACCGCTCCGCGACGAACTCGCACACGCTCGGTGGAACGGGTGTTGTGCTCAGGTCCTCCTTCGGCACTCGTCGTCCGCTCCGGAGCGGAATGTCGACCTTTGGCTCTTGTCCGTCTTTCAGCCTGTCGTAGCAGAGGATGACCTTGGGCACACCGTGGCGGAGGGTCGCGTAGCTCTCGTTCTTCCCTCTTTGCGACTCGCCTGCACCGTGGAGGAAGAGCACCAAGGGCCATCGCTTCCCGGTCTCAGCGTCGTATGCTTGAGGCAGAGAAACGAAGTACTCGTATCCGAATGCAGACGCCGAGCGGGTCTGCTTGTAAAACTCGAAGGAGATGTGCTTCGTCTCCGCATACGGATGCCCGGGATCGATGCGGACCTGTTTCGTTGGCGACATGGCTCGGTCGAGAAGGCTAATGTTCGATGTTTTCCCCGTCTCTGGATGTGCTGAAGGATAGGCAGTCGTCCCGCCTCTGCCGGCTTTTGTACTCTGCCTCGTACGTCCGGAACATTGTTGGACGGCTTAACCTGGGGCCTTCCGCCATCCTCAACCTGAAGTTTGCACTGCCAGTGGAGACGTCACGTGAAGGAGCTGCTCGGAGTTTGAGGCGACGGTGCCGGGTACGTTTGCTTGAGTCTCGAGGGTATGCCACAGATGTGACTGGTGTCGCTCAAGAATAACATCATGCTGGGCCGGGGCATACCTCCGTTCGACAGCAGCATACGACGGAGCTTACAGTTCGTCCACACGTATCAGCCTCCAGCTTCGTTCAGCAATGACATCCCAAATGAACATAACGGGGGGCAGTACTAAGTAGTCATGAGGGAGCATATGTATGTATGTTGTACAACGCGTAGGCATACAGGTGAGTAGCTAATGGTTCTAGTATTCCGTACAAGGTCCATGATATTGTATCGTATCGCAGAACATATCCATCCAGCACGCATGAAGCCCCCCTCCTACATCTGGCAAAACTCACAGTCGCATTCCTGCGTACTGAACGACATCCGCGGCGCACGCAGCACAAACAGGAGATCGCCGTAGTGGTGTGCATACGGGATTGGGCGGAAGAGTGTGTTCCCTGCGTACCATGGCGTGGCGGCGCCCGTTGCGACCTGCCCCGCGTTATACGGTTGCAGCGATCCGTTCGGCAACGTGTAGCATTGATGACCTTGGGCCGCACTGATTGCGCACGCCATGTGGATCGACTCAACGCGCCCTGCGCGGAAGACCGACACATGCGTGTGGCCGAAACTTGCATTGACCTGGTGTTCCGAGTATTCCAGTTCTTCGGGAGAGAACGCGACATTGTAATCAAGGCGTTTGAGTAGGCCCCGTTCCAGCTCACTGATCCTGCGGGCGGTGTATGGCGCACCGGCCATGTCTGCAATTGTGGCATTATTACAAGTCTCGTCCACTAGGAACTTGTTTGCGACGACCAAAGCGGCGATGAAGTTGTCCTTGGCCTTGTCCGTGGCCTTGTCCGATATCGGCTCGGCACCCGTCTTGTGGAGTTTTTGAAGGAGGATCATCGCGGCTGCCACGACGTTGGGGTGGAAGTTCCCGCGGCGGAGCACGTCCGAGATGAAGTTGGGGAGGCAATTTGGGATATATACGCGCAGGAGGGCCTTGTCGACGTGTCTATCATGGAACATATGGTCCAGAAGTCGTGCAAGCAGAGCGACGCGCTCTGCGTGGGCGGTATACTATACCGACAGGGAGGGAATGTAAGAGTCGATGGAGACACCACGACCGAAGGAGACGTACATGGCAGAGCCCGTTGGCTACGTCGGGGACGTTGAACGTCATGAAAGCGAGAAGGGGATTGAGATGATTGAGGACTATGGTGGGTGAGTGTCAGTGGGAGGGCGGTTTGTTGAAGCTTTTATACGCCTGCTCGGGAGCCACACTCGATGGTTGGCCATGGCCACAGGGCATCACGCGGATGGCCGCACAGGGAGTTTACGAGAAGCCTGCAAAACAGTATCTAAACCCGCAGACAAAACCCTGGACTGGATTTCTGGCGGAGGGGCGGAGGGGCGGAGGGGCGGAGGGGAGGACGCATGTTAGCGGTCTTTCAATGTCATATGCGAGAAAGAAACACGAGTGAATGGATGATTCAAACCGTCAGACAATGGAATCAACGAAAATGATATACTGAATGGTCTGTAGGGTAAAATACACGACGCGCACCGCGTATTTCGTCCGAGAGGGCCATGGTGCAGCATGACTCTTGTTTCACCATGAATTCCGTATAAGACAACTCTTTGTCCATCGTCGTCGAGCACATCGACTAAGCCATAACAAGCGAATGGCCATGACATCAAGCCACGCTGAGTGTGGCCGATCTCCGATGTGATGCCTGTGCAGGCAATGGGCCGCTTCGAAGCCTGTCCGTAATTTCCTCAGCACAAGAAAATTGTCGACGATGAGTACCACGCACCTGAGTTCCAACCGAGGGCGGACGGCGGGCTATAAGCGGCCTCCACCCGGCATAATCTGTGAGATTCTTATGTGTTCAGTGGATCGACCAAGCACTGACGACACGATAGTAGGACTGGGGAGGGGAAAAGGTTGTCTGCACGATTTAGTACTCAAATTGTCCATCAAGGACCACGAATGGAGGACAGTCAAGTGTGGATCAAGCAATTAAATCTTCCACGTCACCAGTAGAGAAGACGAAGGCACTGTAAGCCATGTCCCTAGGCATTAGCGAGTGGTCCGCGGCGCACAAGGGCCAGCACCGAGGCGGAAATTTCCTCAGTCAGACGGGTCACAGAACGAGCTAAAAGCCTGTGCGAAGGGTCCTGTACAACACAAAAGTGTCGGATGCACGATGAATCGCAATGGAGTGCGAGAAGGCGTGAAAACAGTCCTGAACATAACCAGTTGTGGATGTCGATGAGGCGCAGGATTGATTTTCAGCCTGAGTGGGAGGTGAGCTGGCGGCCATCCTTACGTAAGCGCATCACGGGTCACACCTTTGACGCGAGACTGCCTGCCCTGAAGTTGACGCGTCTTGCGCTATCTCTGCAGCCTGTGGATTGGTATAACATAAGTATGAAGGTAGCACGAAAGTCGTACCCCTGGATCTAACCCTTCGGACAACGACGTAGAAGCCCACCGCAGCCGTGGTAAATGCCTTCACACGACGTACATAGGCGAGTGGCTACTCACCTCCCGGCGACTTGAAGTTGCCTGTGCGCAGCTACTGGAGCTAGGACGAGAGAGACCGGGCGCGATATTCAATTTGATACTCCATATGCATAGCAGTGGATCTCTCATGTATCGTCTGCAGAACTGACAAATAGTGCTCAGTTGGCAACGACGTCAGAAAGGCCATAGCTGAAGGTCTCCCGCAACAAAACTGTATCGCCGCTAATCTGGAACCCGATGAGCGATCAACGCTGCACAGAGATACATCCCTAACATCCTCATATACCCATCAGCGTACTGGGTGCGTGGGCACCGTCTCTTCAAGAGCACCCCAAAATCGTTCCCCGTACCGTTCGTTCCCGGCGACATCTTCGATTCCAACCATCTCATGAACATTCCGCCAGTCTACGCGCCGCCCCCCGCGCCGGCGCCCGAGTTCTCAGGTCTGACGAGCCTCACGCCGCTGCAAGGACACGTATCTGCGATCCACGCGGCCATGTTCTTCCACCTCTTCGACGAGGAAAAGCAGTTCGCGCTCGCGCAGCGCCTCGCAAGTCTACTCTCGCCGCTCCCCGGCTCGATGGTTTCCGGTCGGCATTTCAAGGCAGACGTCAGAGGCGTGCGCGACTCGAAGCCCGCGAGGGACGACGCGTCGGAGGTCATCAGGGTCTTCTACCATTCGCCGGGGTCGTGGACTACGCTCTGGAACGCCAGGTGTTCAGGGAGGGGTCAGTGAAGGTCGAGATGCAGCTTAAGCCGATGTACCTGTACGCGGCGCCGCCGCCGGAGGGAAAGCTGTGGCAGGTGTTCTGGTCAGTGACAAGGCTGTAAGGACCTGCGTGGCGGTAAGTCCATGTGTTTCATACCAGAGAAACGCGAACAAGTACTTCCAAAGCAAACACAAGGAACTATACACTAGAGATACAGACACAAAACTGCCGCCTCACGATGCGTCTCAGAGAGCTAAACCCCGATGTCTGCAAGGATCTTCTCCGTCGTTTCCCAAAGCTCCTTCCCGAGCTCGGGATCTTCTGTAGGCGGGTAAACAGAGCCCAACTTCCCGGGAGGCACGATATATCCTCCCTTATACATCGGGTCCTCGCGAATCTCTGGGGCAGCCGCCGCGAATACGGTACTGTAGGCCCCCTTCTCGGGGCTGGTGAAGAACGCGTTGGCGATGAAGGAGTAGAGAGGGGCCTTGAAGGTCCCGGAGGAGTTGGCAAAATTCTGTACACCATCTACCCACAGTGAGCTAGAGAGTCATTGTGGTGGTGGTGATGCATTACCTGTGTTTACGATCCCAGGGTGGACAGCCGTGACGATGATGGGGGCTCCCTCGGCATCCAGCCGCTTCTGGAGCTCCTTCACATGCAGGACACCCATATACTTCGTGAAGTCTTCCACACGACGTCAGCTAACTGGTCATCGCGACGATGACACGAAGAGCAACACACTGTAGCGCTTATTTGAAGCGAGGAGCTCGCCCTTGAACTCGCGGTTAAAGTCTTCAATGGTGCGGAAATGGCAATTGTTCGGGGGCAGACGGTGACCCTCAGACGTGAGCTTCAATTGCTTTGTCGGCGCGGGATCGAGCTTGCAAAACGATATGGAAACTTGCCATCACTATGCGTACATCACTGTCCGGTTCTTGGGCAGTACGCTTGAGGAGGGGAAGCAGTGTTCGTATGAACACATAAGGGCTGAAGTAGCTGTGCAAGGCGAATTCATTACGAGTTAACGACATGATGGAAGGTTGGACATACTTGACTACAGCTATTTCTTGGATACCTGCGCGATTACATATCAGTAGCAAGGACCGATGGCTAGCGACTAGTGGCTGAGAAGGCTGAAAAACGCACCGTCCGACGTCTTACTGAACGGAGTCAACAACCTAGGATGCGCATCTCAATGAACTGGTCCCCAATCGGACAAGAGCGTGTCGTACAATGCAGCAGAGTTCACTGCACACGCCCCACTCGTCAGACTTCACTGTCAAAAGGCCTCAAGCGCAACCTGATGCACTCACCAACGATATCCAAGCGCTGCTCCTTCTCCATGAACGCCTCCGCTGCCTTCTTCGCGTCCCTCGGGTCGCTGTAGTCGAGAGGAAGCCAGACGACCTCGCCGTTGCCCGGCCGCAGGCCGGCGTTGCGCACCTTCTCAATCGCTGCCTTCGCCTTCTCCTCGTTACGCGCGGCCATGTATACCTTCGCACCCCGACGCGCGAGGTACTGAATGGCGGCGCATCCTACGCCAGAACTGTGGGCGGATTGAGGATAGGCAATTAATGAGACTTCCGCACAGACGCGAGCGCTGAATCGTGGCTCGTACTACTCACTTGCCTCCTGTGACGATGATAACATTGCCTGACAGGTCAGGTAGGTCTGTCTCTGGATCAAATGACTTTGAAAAGAGGCCCATCATGGCGTAGCTCAGGATGAAGGGATATGCAATAATGTAGTGCGCACGATGGGAAGGCGCTTCCGAGGCGCTTCTACAAGCTGTGCACTACTTACTAGCGCGCGTAGAAAGTAGTACAGTAGTGCTTTGGTAGTGCTGTTATGATACTTAAAGCCAGCCATAGATACGTCGAGAAGCCCATCAGACACGCTACAGAATAGTAGTTCTACACGCCAAGACCCTTCGACGGTTTCACCCTCAAATCCCACAGCTCCTTACCCGCATACGGTCACCACTGACTAGGAAGCCCATGACGAGCGTGGTAAGCCATTCTGCACGCCCGTCGCCGACCCCCACACAGACGAGGAGTTTGCTGAGGCCTCGATGTCTGCCGCAGACACACTGCGTCTGCCTACCAGCTATGGACCCGACACCTAACGCTTGAGTGTTAGTAGACGGGAATGTCGACGTGAGGAACCAGGCACTGAGGCAGAGCAAGTTTACCTGCAAGCTATGCGGGCCTCGTACATGACGCGCATCCCATCCTTTTTCCTAATGCACGCTCTGGTAAAGACAAGAATAACATTGCTTAGTCGCACTGAGCCTGGGTCTACAACAGAAGATTGACCGTTCACGACCTGCCGGTACATGGAGATGATCAACAGTCTGACTTTTCGTACCCGTTCTGCAAGCCGTAGTAACTCAAAAGCAGATTACTCAGCTAATGAACCCCATCGACTATCGTCGCTGCGATAGACACCTGGGCTCTGGCCGACGACACGATGTTCAATGCGGTGCATTCACGTCGTATCTATTCAACCCGCGCAGGGCTATGACCTATATAGCAATACATATTCAGTAACGGGGCAGTACTCTGGGAAATACGATAGACAACAGCATGGAGGGTACAGACTGAGAATGTCTGCGCGAATTAGTACTCAATTGTCCATCAAAATCCAGCGAAGGAGGACAGTCAAGTGTGGATCGAGCAAGTTAATCTTCCACGTCACTAGTAGAGGAGACGAAGGCACTGTAAGCCATGTCCCTAGGCATAGCAAGTGGTCCAAAGCGCGTCAAAGCGTTCACGAACGAGCGCAGGCTCGAGACGATCATTGCAAAGGTTGTGCGGCCGCAGAGTCGAAGAATTCATGAGGATCAGGATGAAAGCGTCGGGTCTGCAAGAGTCTCCGAGTCATAGAGCGACGAGAATAGTGTGCGATTGAAATTGATGTACAGCACGTACATGTCGATGGGAGACGACAAGAGGAGCGTTGGGTCGGAGAAACGAAAGGCAAATATTCGCCAAGTCTGACACGCTAGTGCCTGCCCTGAAGTACCTGCGGCACGTGACGGATCGCGTTGTGTTCGCGTCGCGTGCCACAGCCTGAGATTTATATTGGCCACACCTGGCCACACCCGCTCTGACTCACCACTGGCACCCGCTCTTCACTCCGTATCGCGAGCTCAAAGTCTCTTTGACAACGTTTGCTTACCCACCTCATAAGGAAATAAAAACCGGTGGAGGACAGGGAGCCTGAGCCACTCTGACCGACTCGGAGACGAACACAACGCTTTAGAATTCCCGTTGAGCATAGGTGCGTCTTGAGCTTCATGGAGTCGTTCCGTAGAACTCATGATATTTCCAAACAGTTGTCATGATTTTAACTCCCTCTGTGGCGCCGCCGACAGCGTTCATCTCTACCACCCCCACGCAGGGCACGCGATCATCGGTGCCCGCGCAACTACCCCTCAGTCAGGCATCTGTGAAGGCTTCGACCCACGAAGATCAGCCTCAACTCTCACACGTCAGTCTATCACAGCTCAGAATCCCGTCCCTGCTTTTGGAGGCACCGACCATCACACATACCATGGCTGCGACTCTGGCTATGTCGCTGCTAGGCCACACGCTGTTTCTCAAAAGCCAAGTCCCTTTGTACGTCTCAAACATGATACCCACATAAAACATCATTCATCTTTGTTGCAGCCCTGTGGTACAGCTAGCCCGAATGCCAGGCGGGCCATCTGACTCTCGCGCAGCCAGGCGGAGAAACGACCTCCTCGCTGCAATTGACACACTCTCGTCTCATATGCAAACTACATTTACAGCTTTATCGACCGCTCTTGCACGGAAAAGGTCCAGCGGCGAAGACACATCTTCGCCTTCCACGGGAACCGCGCATCTTGCTTTTGTTCTCGGGCCGAGCGTCGGGGCTGCGCGCGCACGAATCATATACACCGTCGATGGCCTAGAGGTGAAAGTGTGGGGCGAGCGCGATGATTCTCCTGGTCCGTCGAGCCATCCAGGAGCGAAGAGTGTCCATGGTGGGGACAAGGATGGAGAGGAGGAGGAGGACGGAGAGGAGGAGGAGGAGGAATACGACGACGAAGATGAGGAAGATTTGGAAAGCGGAGACGAGTCTGACAACACTGACAGTCCAGAGGAGAGCGATGAAGAAGCCGCATCCGAACCGCCACTGTCTCGATCACCTTCACCTTCACCTTCACCTTCACTACCAGCTTCTGAATCCCAACCGCACGCGCCTTCACCGACACAGGGCTTATCGGAGAATGTGGCTCCTCTACCAGCACCCCGGCGTGCAACGGCATCACCTCCAGCCCAGGTACAGAGTCAGACGTACGCAGAAGAACAGCAAGCACTGCGGAATGCCGAGCGTCTGCTGTCACGCACTCTCGCGAATGCATGTGCAGAGGACAGCGGAGGCATATCTTCCGAGCTTGGTACGTGTTGCTCCATTTCATTCCAGGTGTATCAACCGACCTTCTGTGTCGTCGGTAGCGCCGACGCAAACCCACGTATTGCTCCGTGCACCCAGACGCTTCGCGCACCCTGCATGGATCCCAAGGCAGAACCTCACGCGCTCACTCGAAGGTACACTTCAGTCTTTCCTCGACGCCGCGTACGCTACGGGCGGCAATGTACCTCCCAAGAAGAAGGTTTTTGCGAAGGGTGTCAAGACGGAGGGTGTCTGGGTAGGGTGCCATGGCTCGGATGTCGCTGGGAGCATGCACCTCGGGGGCGACGGCGAGGAGGATGAGGAGGATGAAATGATCTGGTGGGTGTGGGATGGGAAGATCGTGGGCTTCTCAGACTGGTGAACATCATTGTATGCGTGAGCCTGAGCATCTGTTGCCAGTTCGGACCCGGACTGCCTGCCGGCGCCGTGGGGGATTCAGAAGGCTTGGAAGTCTCAGGCTGTCTGAGCACCCAACACCGTCGTCACGCACACATATTCACTGTCTATACCGATACCTTGCATCCACGAACGAACCAGTACCGTATTCTCTACTGCTGCGGCTCTGCATGAACTTCGAGCTTTCCAGGCGAGGAACGGTGAACCCGGACCGCCAGTACCCGGAGTGACTGTCGAGTACAAATGTTAGAGCAGACGACAGTCACATAAAGCATACTATCCGAGTCAACGTCGACTTCCCAACTTTGTCTCTTTGCATAACTTCGCCGTCTTCATATCGCCATCTGCCCTTGGACTGGTCACTGCCCTGCATCGCCCTTGATGTGGCTCACGATTGCACGCGGCAGGCAGGGTTCAATATTTTATGGCCGTCGTACCGCCGCTAATTGGCGTCATGATACCGTAAACGCTCTGGCCTCGCCCTGACCACCACTGCGCGCGGAGGGGACATGGGAAAGTTCACCATTCATCGAAGAACGTAAAACAACGAGCTTCAAGTCTCGTCGTACGACACCCTCCTCCGCCCTGCCCTCAAATTCCTCTCTTCGGTGCCTCTACTAGTCGTTCCGCAGCCATGGGCCTCTCTCAGTCGAAGTTCAACCCTGCCAACCTCCCAGACCTCTCGGGCAAGGTTATCGTCATCACGGGCGGCGCGTGAGTACTGCTACCTGACAGCCAGTGCAGGATTGACGCGTGCTAACGAGGAGCGCGTTCAACTCTGTAGAGCAGGCCTGGGATTCGCGATAACTCAGCACCTCGTGCGCAAAGGCGCGAAAGTGTACATCGCGGCGCGCCCAGTTGACCGCGCGGAGGATGCTATCAAAAGGTTGAAGGCTGCAGGGCTCGGTCCGGGGAATGGTCAGCTCGAGAGCTTGGAGCTCGACTTGATCGACCCGCATTTCGTGAAGAGGGCGGCGGAGGAGTTCATGCAGAGGGAGAATCGGTTGGATGTGTTGAGTAAGTCATGCTGCATTCTGTGGCGCATTCCGCTATCTGACGGGCAATCACAGTCAACTGCGCTGCCATGTAAGTCTTAGGCTCGCTCGGTGGGTGTCGGGAGGTAATCTGAAACACGCTCTATAGCATGATGTGCCCATACCAAAAGACAAACTATGGTGAGATAGAGCTGTCCAATTGTCGTGACAGTAGACTGACATTCAGGACGCTCAGGAATTCAAGATGTCGTCATGGTCAAGTGAGTCTATTGGTGCCCGGCTGTCGCGTTGAAACTCAACGAAGCGTGCAGCCACATTGGTCACTTCGTCTTCATCAAGACTCTTCTGCCTATCCTCAAGAAAACCGCGAGTGAGCCGAACAGTGACGTCCGAGTAGTGGTTGTACGTCTGCCTCTACTTTTATCGAAACGGAGTCGTACTGAAGTTCAGATTGTATAGGTCTCCTCTGATGGATACGACGCGATCCGGCACGATGTCAGCTTGAAGACAATTGAAGACTTCAATCCGGAGTACAAGGACGCCGTCTTCCCTTGGCCCTCACTCCAAAGATATTGTATGACCTCTCACTTCTCTACCGGGGGTGGCAGGCCGCTGATCCCGGGACCCAATAGGCTTCAGCAAGCTCCTCGTATGTATGCAGGTAGTCCAATGGCAGCGATACTTCGACGAAATGGACCTCCCCATCATCATCCTATCCACGCATCCAGGCGCTGTCAACTCGGACGGCGCGCAGAAATGGCTTGCCACGCTCGGCACGGGATTCCTCGCGACACTCGCGACCTGGATTATCAGCCTTTTCTTTACGTTCCCCGCAATCGCGGCGTATGGCACTGTCTTCGCTGCGGTCGCCCCCGAGGTGCGTGCGGAGCCCCGGAAGTATCGCGCAACGTATATAACGCCGCCGACGAAAAATACTGGGCTGAATGCGAGGGCGCGCGACCCCGTGGCTAGCAAGGATCTGTGGGATTTGACGCAGAGAACGTTGGAAGATATTGGCGTGTAGACTTGCTTATATTGTGTCGGGTGTACTTCTTGATCATGGCTGGCTTATAGAGCGAAACTGCTACGCGTGCTTGTATTATACGGTGTCGACGTTACAGGACTTACAGTAAGTACATGGTTATAGCAAACCTCTTGGACAACTGTACCGTGAGTACTCACACATATGATGATGTATCTAGTGAGTGCCGTCATGCACCGCGCGTGCTGCGTGGCTATATGGACCCCTCCTCCTCCACTGCACTGGCGGCCCGGACCAATGATCCTCGTTCACTCATATCAACCACATCCGACGTAGGGAGGGATAGGGGAGTAAGGTTTGATGGATCTCATAGCATTCATAACCCACGTCACGGACGGCTGGACCAACTGTAAGCACAGAACGGCTCTTCGACCCTTCGCACAGATCGTGCTGTCGACATGGAGCTCTTGACTTACCGAAGGCGAACATCAGGAAAACTGGATGACACTTTTGGCTCGTTTGGCGCCATACGTGAGCTCCAGGATCACACGCGAGCTTGTGTCTCAGGAAAACTCAATGCCGAGCCATCGTTCTCAGGCGGGAGCAACGGTGATCCACGATCTCAGGTCTCGATAGCCGGAACATCCCATTGTCACGTGCTTTCGGGCACACTGCATGCATGAGCTGCATACTCGTCGCTCGAGTCAAGTTGGAACAACAAGAGTTGGCTGGCAGGTAGCTGACAAACATGATGTACTTTAGACCATATCTGAGGTGCTGGTGAGTGTGGAGGTTCGCACTTTGCACGTTTCCTCGGAGGCAAGCGTCGCCGCTCGCACCACGCGCCGCCTACATCGCTTTTGGGACGTGATCACCACCTGGGCCCGCTCTGAATTTCTGACCAGTCCGGAGTCGATGTAATTACTAATGTACAGTAATAATACTATTCCTCTTAGTATCATGTGCCCTTGCACTCCTCGACGCAGCAATACGGTCCAATACCGAGGCTGCAAGTAACTGAAAGTATGGCGCCCCGCGCATGGGATCTTGATCCGATCATCGGGCTGAGCAACAGTCTCATGCCATGAGACAGTGGATCACTGGCGATGTTTCCTGAGCCGCTGGGATCGTGAATGACCACTGGTGAGATGCAGGTCGTTTTTCGAGGGTTTCGGGTTTCCTGATGAATGCGCAGGAGATTGAGTTCACCTTTGGCCCACGTCAATTGAACGGAAGAAGGGGTGTGCGGTAGGTATCATCATTGTATGATCGCATGGCTGTAATGCGGGTGAGATCGAAATCCATCGAAGTCCAATTCTGTCTCTTTTGATTGACCGGACCCAGTGTGTCGCACGAGAGCGTTCCTGTGCAATTATGACCACGAACGGCGTTTGGAGTGCATAGATGCTGGGGGAAAATCCGCATCGGTCGTTGGCCACCGTACGTCGGCGGGCCGGTGCCGACTCGCCTGTCATCTCATGGCCCCTGGAGGTCGCGCCCTTTCGAAGATATGCACGGCGGTGAAATCAATATTGTATTCAGAGCAGCGTAGGCTTCGCCGTATGTTGTCACCCTCTGGCATAGCCGTGAACCGAGGAAAGACAGGCTGGACAATTTCGTTGTGATGCCATTCTTCCACCTACAGCCTCGTCACAGACCACACCATCAACCACAACTTCCACTCCACCGGCGTGGTCGCATAAAGCGGCGCCTCCTTGAACTCGACCTCAACCTTCACCGTACCTTCCTTGAACACTCCACCGTTCCACAGCGCCGTCCACGACTCCCGCGAATGGCAGAAGAGTCGGCTCACGCCTGGCGTATCGTCCCCAGTCGTCAGCAAGCCCCTCACGCCCTTGACGTCGGCACTGAAGTGTCGGCCAAAAATGAGCGAGCCCGGGACCGGTGAGAGCAGGCTTGCTAAGCGCTGCGCGAGTGCGAGCTGCTTGGCTTCGTCGAAGAGGTGGAAGAACATCGCCACGTGGATCGCGGAGACGTGCCCTTGCAGCGGCGTGAGGCTCGTCAGGCCCGAGAGTGCAGGGGCCGGGGTCGAGGGCGGCGTATAAAGAGGTGGACCGCTAGTAAGATAGCTATCATTGAAAATATCACCCGGTACGAACGGCACGGGGAACGACTCTGGGGTGCTCTTGAAGAGACGGTGGCCGAGTTCCCAGTATGCTGCGAGATGATGTCAGGACACGAGCAATAGATGAACCCGAGGGATAGAATTTACTTCGCTCGAGGTCGGCAGCGAGGGAGTTCTCCTGCGGGAAGCCGTCGGCTATTGCCTTCCTGATGTCGTTCCCAACTAGGCATCGTGTGTTGAGTCGACCTAGTACGGTGGTAAAGGTTTGTGGAAGCTCACATGCGCAGGGGATCTCGAGGAATATGGCACTTGGCCGTTCCCGCCCCAACTGCAGGAGTTGGGCATAGGCGGATTGGTGGGAAATACCCGTTCTGGCAGAGGGTTGAGCTTTTATGTTTGAAGAAGATGTGACAGCGACTCACTGTGCGAACCAGAAATAGCGGATGCAGGGGTATGGATACACCTAGAATTCTCGCGGTCGATCCTACGTCAGAATTTCACTAGTAGCCAGGTCCTGCCAGTGGTACTTACCTGGTACGCATCCACCTGTATCTTCTTCACGTGCTGCTTGAGCTCCTCGTCGTTCTCTATACCGGTATGCGATTTCAAGAACGCTGCATCATCTTGGCTCAAGTCATAGTACTTGTCGTCCAGGGAAAGACGATCAATCGCGATGAATTCTCCACTCCTATCGGCCATGATGACTTTGAGATGTTCAATGTAGTCCCGCTATATCGCAGACAGACAACAAGAAGTCAGTTTGACCAGACTCAGCGGGTGGGTGTTAGGCACTGCCTCCGACCGCAACCTCGTATTTAACCGCAGGCCACACCGCGTGTACTTATTTCGCTTGCTGTTTCAGTGGCTCCCAGCTGACCGCAGGGAAGTAGACCCATGGAATGCTTCGAGTTCGTCCGCACCAAACAAAGTGTGCGGGCTGGCTCATGTGTAGGATCTGGTGCCCCGGGCGGCCAACTAAGCTTCGGTGACCAGTCTGGCTGACTGAACACTAGCCTCGCAGAATGACGGTCTGTCTTCCACTCGCGGGATCTAGAAGGAGAACCTGCCGTCGGGCGTAATCACGCGTTGATCTCGCCTTCGAGTGGCATGTGGGCCACATCAGAACTTCGGCGATTTCGGTGACGGGCCGTGACGGGCTCTAACGCTTGCTGAAATTCCAGTTTCACATTCTGTCAGCATATCCGCCGTCAGCAAGACCCGCCACATTTCAGCAAGTTGGGAAAATCTGGCGACCGCGACGTTAGAATCCGTTACACAGGCAGAAATCTGCCAGTAGGAAACCGTAGGGCGGGTAACGAGGCACCCGCAGGGGAATGGTGATATTTTGACGGATAGCTTGACGGTGTCCTGTGAATCAACTTGAAGGGTGATGTCGCACCTGCAGGACGGGCCTGTGGTTTGCTTGTAGGTCTTACACGTGGGCAGTCTCCTCCCCATCCGTTTTCGGGAGGTAGGGGGCCCGTGTCGCTAGGCCGTGCAGTGCTACATAAGTATTGTCTAGTCTCCCCTAGGCAGACTCTAAACACGACCTTGTTGAGGATCGGTCGGGATCTGGCAAGATCCCGACCGATCTTGGGCGATCCCGTACTAGCCCGTACTGTCCTGTATGGTCCTTCCGGATCCGGGCTGGACGCATAAATACGTTACTAGGCCCCTCGATTTTTGTCCAATAAAGCCCTTCATATAAGGGCGAGCGCGACGCGACGCGACGTTGACGCGTCTCAGACGCTCGCGCAGGGTATTGCGCAGGCGCTTAGTAAATACCTCAGCTTAGATACTATATCGGGCCGGGATCTCGGCCACCTGCGGTACTCGGTCATTGCACCCTCACTCTACGACAGCTGCTCTTATGGACTGGAAATAAATACAAGCACATTTATATACATCTCTTCAATGCCTGTGCACGTTTTGAAGCCACCATGTTGAGACCCGGGTTCAGAAAAAATCAATCAATGAGATGATGTCCATTTTTGGTAAGCTGTGGCTGAGTCTCCCGGACCCCTTGTCTATAACTGCGCACCTCACTCGAATCTTATGCCTAGCACCCAAAACAGAGTCTCAAATGCATCTTTGAATATTTCTATAGGATTACAGACCATGAGGATGGGTCCCGGCGATGTACGGAGCTGATGTCGATAGCATGGCCGACATCCTAGTCGGTCCGGTTCACCCTACCCTCTTCACGGAAACAACGCACAGATATCTACTGAGTGAATCCAAATTTTTTCTGATATTTTTATCATGTTCCTGAGATGTTTTAACATCATCCTATACATTGATTGGGGTCAGTGCGGTGAACATACAGTGGAGAGGGCTCGTCGAGTGCTAAGGTGGCCGAGATCCCGGCCCGATATAGTAATATCCACGTCGACCGCATTTGGATGTGGCGTCTCCGGTGGCCGTTGTTTACATACTGACGCCGGCCGGGATCTCGGCCACCTAAGCAGTCGATGCATCCTCCTGAGCCTATGTGTGCATTGAGTGCCCGGGTGAGTGTCTATAACTTTGATAGAACATCCTAGGTATACGGTAAAAATATTTAAAGAATTTGTGGGTCATTGAGATGGCAATGGGAGGGGATTTCGTGACGAGAGTACTGGCGGCTGAGTTAACTATGAAGTCGGCCACGTAGTTGCACATGAGCCTATACGAGGCTGTTGAGTGTCTATATGGGCATCAAAATATTTTGTGACGCTCACAGACATTATCACAATACTTCAACAGCCACTGGGCCTGAGCTGCGAGCACAGTGACTGGATGCAGTCAAGGTGTACAGGATATGCAGCCGGGAATTGCCAAATATGGGCATCACCACACGGATTGATTTTTCCTGCTTGCACTTCTCGGTATATGGACTTCATATATGATACATGGATAGACAGGATAATCAGTTAGACCCTAGTAATTATTCTGTGACTACAGAATATGTTTCAGTAGACAAAGAGGACGGTGACCGACTACCTAGGGTGGCCGAGATCCTGGCCGGCGTCAGTATGTTTTCTGCCAGCCGCTATGGCGAGGTAGAGGGGATTAAGATTGGGGAGTTTGAAATGGCTGGGGCGGGGAAGGGGCGGGGAAGGTGCGGGGTATAAAACGATGTGGCGGACAGTGGCAGGATCGTGGCGATACTGAACATTGTATTGTACTATCGACACGGGGCTCCCTACCTCGCCAGAGTGGATGGGGAGGAGCCTGACATCGTCGGCATGTCCTCGCCTTGCCTTTCTGGGCAGCGGACAATGAATGTTTTCGTGCTCAACGCCTTTACGGTGGTCGCCTTGGGCACTCAATAGCGGTGATCTGGAGTCTAGAGCTGTTCGACCCCATCTAAACCCTTACGGAAACGCATCCACTATGAAGAGGTACGACAGCTCTTGCCAGGAATTCAGACCGGAAAACGAACGATAGCGTCGTTGAATATATCAGCTAAGCAACTCAAAGGCATAACGTGAACAAGCTATCTAAACCACTGTTCTCATGTCATCAATCAATTGCAGGCACAGGGACGTAGAAGGGTAAATTCTGCATTAGATTCTACCGTACGACACTACTCGACAACGACACAAGTTTTTTGTGGTGGAGCGACAATGACACAAGTTACTTACAAGCGTGCAATTATCCATCAGACATACGCCCAACTCGCTGGCAAGTCTCCATCCGTCCCCAAAAGGCGCGAATGAGCGACAAGCCAAACGTCCTCGCGTTGACCGAAGCCGACATGTGCTCTGCATAACGAGCGGGCACTGTTGTCATCAACTGGACATGAAGGATGTGGCACGAATAAACGTGCGAGACTCGAGTTAGTACCTATAAAATAGATCCTAGCTGAGTATGTTCTAAGGAATCCTAATGTCGCGATGTCATTTTTATAGGCGTTGAGTTTAGGGCAGGGAATCTGACAGCCCGTGGGAAGTGTCACGTCCCCTAGTTCGTCGCGCGACGACATCGGACAATCACACAACTGCCAATTGCCAGCGCCGTCACCTCGCCTTCGCACGCTGTCGACGAGGCATTTGCATCGGCGAATGTACACCGAGTTTGTCTCACAGCTGGAAGGCCAACGCAGGGATGATTGCATGTCGTCGCAGACCTTAAGCTTCGCTGACTCGAGACGAATAGCCTATCAACGCGGAGTTGAATTTGATTCGTCATAACTCTCGCAATCCCCGGGCGCGGACTCGCTCTGACTGTCGACTGACTCTTTGCAAGCTCCGGGGCCGAGAACAAGTGAACCCTGGGTTGTGGGGAGATAGATAAGTACTTAGGTGGACACGTCACACGGCCTGCCGCGATACCGCCAGAATTCTGACCAAATTCTGACTCGTTCAAAACACAGGGACCGCATGGTCGTCGAGGAGGAAGGTACGGTGGCTTCTTGATGGAGATTAGGCCATGGCCCATATCTCATATACACAGCATCTGCCAGATCGAGTTGTCCAGAATTATCCCGCGCGCTTGTACTGTAACGGTACATAGACCCTGGTTCTGCATCAGCGTCAGTCGTTCGTCTTCCTCCTCCTCCACGTCCTTCGAGTGTTTTGTCTGTCCCAGGCACGATGGACACAGGAAGAGACCCGTTCTTCAGTCATGCCAGTTGGTCCGTGAGCATACCGGGAACTGCGCAATATGTCTTCGCTCAGGCACAAAAGGCTCGCAACCAAAGTGTCTCGGTGCTGAGTGCTGCACGAGATGAGATCGAGTAGGTGCAACGTTGCATTCATTTCAAGCTGAAATAACATATAACACAGCTTCGCGGATTCCACACTGCTCTATCCTGTTGGGGTTGCTGCGCTCTCGGTCCTAGTACTGCTGTTGCAGCTAACCTTCCATCTTCGAACCCAGCGGAAAGCGTACACGAAACTTGCTCAGTCAGAGCCTTCACCATTAGCTGAGCCTCTCCACGCGCCAGAGGAGAGCGAGAATGCGTCCGCGCTCACAAAACACGTCAAGGAGCATGGAGGCGCCGTCACGATCGCGTTCAACCTCATACGGTCCGGGTCAACTCTGGCTTTACTAGGCATGTCCATATACAGCGCAACCAAAGCCCTGGGCCACACGGCGACGCTGGAGCCCCAGAACTCCGAGATCGTCATCCACGTCGGTACTTGCATAACCTACGTGAGCACTTCCCCCTGCTTCTTTTTACGCGCCCAACGAAACTGACGCGTCATCCAGTTGTACGCGTCAGCGCTCAGCATCGCCTCGGTGCTCGCCGGTCCGCTTCTCAGCACAACTGTCGTTCGCCACCTAAACTGTATCCTGGTCTTGGAGTGGGCGGCTTACGCGTACCGTGACCTCTGGCCCTTGGCAACATTTACGCTCGAGCCCATAGATCTCGACGAGGGCGCGCTGCTCTGGGCCAGACTCACCCTGCTGACTCTCAGTGCTGTCTTCGTTCCTCTGCTAATCCCTCGGCTGTACATTCCCTTCGACCCGGAGGTACGTCGCTGCAGCCACGCGGACAACGTAGGAAGAGCGAAAACTAATGATATTGTGTAGAACCCATGGCCCGACCCGCCCCCAGAACAAACCAGTTCCATCTTGTCACTCTTGCTGTACAGTTGGCTCGATCCGACTGTGAGGCTCGCCTCGCGCGTCGAGCATCTCACAATCGACATGTTGCCCCCTCTGGCCGACTACGATGAAGCGCACAACCTGATGAAAAGCAGTGTTGATGTATGTATGTCTGTTAGCATGCGTGACGCATTTGTTGATGTGCTCGGAAGGAACTCGATCCTTTCAGGGTCAAGACGAAGGGCAGGCATCTCATGTGGGGTCTTCTGCGTGTTTTCCGTACGTCCATGCGCG